CGTCTAGTTAATTTTTAAGTTTATATATTAGGTCTACGTAATTTTTAAGTCTAGTTAATTTTTACGTCTAATTAATTTTTAAGTTTATATATTAGGTCTATATAATTTATAAGTCTAGTTAATTTTAATATTTAGTTAATTTTTAAGTCTATATATTATATCTATATATTTTTTAAGTCTAGTTAATTTTTACGTTTAGTTAATTTTTAAGTTAGTATATTATATATAGGTAGTTTTTATATCTAGATATTATATTTACCTAATTTTTAGGTTTAGATTTTAGGTACTAGCTTAGTGTATACGTACCTATTTTTACGTACTTTTAGGTTAATAATTAATAACCTAATATTTCTAGGATTACTACTTAAAAAAAATAAATTATAGTAGTAATTTATATAGTTTAATACCTTACTATAAAGCTATATATTTAATATAAAATAAGAATAAAACTAGAAGTAGTAATTAAAGTAATAGTAATAGTAATAGTAATAATAAGAATAATAAAAAGTAAATAGTTAATACTATAGAAAGTTTATGACTAGGTTAAACTTTAGCTAAATAAAGACTAATAAATATTTAAGATCTAAATATAAAAAAATAATAGTAATATAATATATTAATTCTTACTCTCTAGAAAAAGGTATTAGTAATAATATTTAAGCTTTAGTAATAGTACTTTAATATCTATTAATAATATTTAGATTCTTAGATATAGTATTTATATAATTACTAATTATACTTATCTAATAAGTAATAATTTCTAAGTTTTTATAGTATATTTTAAAAGTTTATCTAGTACTAAGTATTATTTTAGCTTATAGGTAATAATATCTACTTAGCTATAATACCTGTTTTCTTCTATATAATAGGATAGTTATTAAGACTAAAGAGTAAAAGGTTAGTAGTGCGTTTTAAAGCTTATTTTCTGTAAGGTTTACTTCTTACTATTATATTAATATACTCTTACGCTGCACAGAACACCTAGAGAGCTACCTACGTTAGCTTTTCTCCTAGACAGCCTAAGATATAAATGTTTAACCCTCAAGAAATCCAGTTAGTCTGGCTATTTTTGGCGCCTGGGGTACGTTTGTTTTGAGTCTGTAATGTACGGCTCGACCTGTCTTTCCGCTGACCAACTTGCTGAACTCTATCTCTATGCTCACGACCTACTTCGTGAGCAATTCGTGAATGGCGAGATACCTGACAGCATATGCGGCAGGCCAGATAAGACGGGGCGGTATGAAATTACGATGGTCTAACGCCTTGCCAGCAATGGAGAACAGCAGCTTTTGAACCCGGTATTACATAACCAACTCAGTCTTCCTGTCATTCAATACACGACAAAGGGGACGGCGGCAGTGAAGAAAAGGGTCCGTGTCAGCGAGGCTTGACAGCGTGGTCTATTTTATCCTTTCTCGAACAACTTGGGGAAGGCTCCGCCGTGTCTTGTGGCTTCGCAAATGTGGCTTGGCAAGCAGGTTTCCGGCGCGCCATCTCCAGCAACCAGCAACCAAGCATCCAAACAGCGACATTGAAGCTCTTCCAACTCTGCGATGAAGCGCCAACTTTTGCGGCTAGATACAGTCAGTGTATGCGAAAGCCAGGCGAAACCCCAATTGCCTCACAAGCGCCGTCGCATCAGTCTATCCGAAGCCAGCAGCTCGTCGCGCCGCCTCGGTCCATGTCAACACCCGCTTGCACCCCGCACACCCGAGTCCGACCCCATCGACGAGCATGCACCGTCGCGTGCTGTCAACGAACAAGAGCAAGAGCAACGCGTCTGGTCAGCCCGAGCACAGTCAATCTTCGACTGGGCACACGACGTCGCAGCCAGCGGCGACATGCCCGACCGTGCGAGCCAGCGACGTGCCCACAAGGCCAGCCTGCGCGCCCGTTCCGCCAGCCCAACCAAGAAGAGCCCGGAATATCGACAGAATGGCATGGCGCGCGCTCACGTCTACGTTGATCACGTCTTCGATCCGCCCGCCGACATTGATGCATTGCGCTGTTACATTCTCGGCGACGGATACATGACCGCGCTCGAGGGCATCCCCGCGGAGATGCGGGATCGAGTTGGCGACGTGGCCAACGAGTACATGCATCACTGTCGCGAGCTGGCACGAGACGCCAAGGGCGAGGCCGAGTGGAAGAGCGCTTTGCTCGAGGGGCCCTTTCGCCGCCTCATCAGGCTTCTGGGAAGGGACAGTCTCGCGACGAGCGCATCGGACAAGCCGTGGCGGCCGGAGCTCAAGCCACGCCCACCAACCCTCCGCGATCTCCTCTCGTTCTCCACGCCGCGACTGGACCCCACGTCATCGCTCCCGGCGACAGCCCCAGCCGGCTTCAACTTCACCAGCCCACCCCCGCCGACCGACCCCAGCGAGACGACCACAACGGCTACCAAGTCAACCACCCTCTCCACTAATGACCCAGACCCGAGCAGCCCTCTTACAACGCCCAAGCCCGACATCTTCGTCGGCCTCGCCCGGCCTTCATTCAATGAGATACACCAGGTGCTGCTTGGAGAGTAGCAGGACAGCGGGCACCTCCTCAGCGAGCCACAGCTAGTGCAACAGGGTCTCCACTTCCCCTTCCTCCTCGTCGAAGCCAAGGGCCTGACTGCGAGCGGCAACATGATGGGTGCCGAGAACCAAGCCGCAGTCGGCGGGGCCTGCGCCATCAATATCCTTGAGGCGCTCCAGCGGATCGAGCCCGACTTCCGGCCCTCTCGCATCGTTTTCAGCATCTCGACTGAGGGGCCGCTGCATCAGCTGTTCATCCATTACCACATTGACGGCAGATATCATATGGTGGTGCATCGAGCTTGGAGAGTAACGCTGCAACGCGACTGCACTGAGTTCGTCATTGCCCTTGCACGCATTATCCAGTGGGGGGCAGGCGAGTTTTGTGAGGCTGTTGTTGCGAGTCTGGGCCGTGTTGTTGAGGGCCTGCGAGCTGCATCGTACATCGTGCAATAACCCGCACTCGGCCCAGCAGGCTCACCCTGTCTACCCTCACACTCGCGCTCGTCTCCGCAGCTCGTAGCCCGCAGCCCGCAGCCCGCCGTGCCCAGCCGCTACGCTCAGTCCAACAACCTCACGCCGTTCGACTGGGAGCAAAGCCACGATCACCTCAAGTTCGCTCTTATTCGACCGGGCTGCAACCCGCAGCCCACGACTCTCCGACCCAACGCCGTTGCGCACACAGAACACAAGTCTTTGCAGCTTACAGCTTGCATGTCGCATGTCGCATCGCGCATCTCGCGTATTGCAGCCCACAACCGCAATCATCTACTCAATATGTCTGCAGCAAACATGCGATCTACACATTTCTTAACTGCTGCAATCGAGACTCAATACGCATCAGCATTGAGGCCGATCCTAAGTAGCAACTTCCCATGGTCGATGAACGGCGCAGGCTCCCTCTAGCCAGAAGCAACGAGTCCACTGTGTTCCATTTTAGGCTTCTGGTGAAGCGTTGTTGCGCGTGGACAAATTGCTGCCCCCAAGCATTCGTTCCAAAACCATAATTCAGCGCTGTGCCAGACTACGCTGCTATGTTTGCGTCCTCACCACGCCGACGCTAGCGCGCCAGTCGTCCCGTTCCTTTGACCTCCACCCTCGTTAACGCTAATAGACTAGTCAAGTATATATATTAGCTAACTTCTTTTCATGCTGGCATGCGCAGTAATTGTTATCGTCATAAGGTTGTTCAACCATTACTTTAGTAGGAAGATATAAAAATACAGTAGGCATAGCTAGAAGACTGTTAACGTGCTTAAGTGCGATGTAAGATAGAACTTCAAGACTACCCATTGAATTTAGGCCGCTCTTGATATCTTCCACTTTATTATTTACTGCAATATCTATTCCTAATGCTGAGTGCTTGAATTTGGTTGCAGCTGTATCTAACAAGGAAGTTCTTCCTTGTTAGGATGTATAACGAAGGAAGTTTCGTCCTTGCAAGGATGTGCTAACAAGGAAGAAACTTCCTTGTTACGATGGTCTTGGCACTCTTGTGATTTACGCCCGCTATCTCCGGGCTGTGTAACCCATCCAAACTCTCAACTACCGAGGACGCGCAACTCACGCTGAGATTTTTTCCATACTATCTAAGCCAAACCAGAGTCCATTAACTGTTTCCTGCGCTGCAACTCATGCTGAAGCTTCCTGGAATTTGTGACGCACAAGAATTGCCAATACTAATAATGATACGCAAAGCTCTCTTCTACTACATACCGCTCTGCAGCTTTGACGCGACACGCTCCGTCTGCTAGGGACTGACAATATAACTGCCGTGTCCATCGCGTTGGAAAACCTCAGGTCCGCAGCCAGAAACTCGCTATCTCAAGATGACCAGGACGGATTAGAATTGCGCCGAACAACTTGAGCAGAAGTCTGTACATGTACTCCCATATCCAGGAAAGAAGAGGATACCGTCATGAAATCCTTCGCCGGAAAATCGTCCCGTGAGCTCAGGATATCACCTTCACAGATGGCTAAATAACCTCCTTGCTTGCCGAAATCTCGTCCCGAAACCCATTATACGCTCAGCTGATGCAAAAGCCATTGCTTGCAACACGAGCATAGCAGTGCTGCAGAGGTTACGGCGCATTTCCCTACAAGTCTAGAGCTCGGGCAGTCGTTGTAAAAGAGTCCTCGAGCGGGAATCATGGGGCGTTGTAGAAATGGAGTGTACAGAGAAGACCTTCTGGCACGCATCACCTGGATAATTACAAGCGGAAATTTTACTCAATTACTCACACCAGACGTAGCACGTTCAAGGCTGCATTCGATTCATCTTTCATGGGCGTGTAGAAAGTGCTGCTTCATCGCCGCATCACCCGACGGTATCGTCGTGTCAATGAAACTCTACTATCCTCGAGCCGGGTCTTTTCGAATGTAATCGGTCTCCGTTGACCCCATCAAACGGAAGGAAGATACGCTGCCCATAGGAGATCTATTAGTACTATCTATATCCATCGCCGAGTAGGAATGAGCTCATGGCCCTATACTCTTTGGACAAGCCGTGTTACGTATAAACACGACTCCGTTATTCATCGTGTTCACTACTACTGCAATCTACGGGGCCCTCAGCCAACTTCCTCCGGGACACAATCCAGATACTGATAAAGCTATCATCTCGCCCCAAAACCACCTTCCCCTCAATCTCTCGTTTTACAGCCAGAACAGCCAGCTATCGCGGTCGCTAGAGCAGTTGCGCTCAGGCATCAAGTCACTCGAGTCGCAAGTTACAGACACACCCGACGTGTACGCTCACCCCGCCTTACCACCAAACCAACTCACTATTACATCCCTTAATGCTAACCGACCAACTCCCCAGTTCCATAACCTTGCATCTCTCGCGCCTGCACGCCTAGCTTACAAACCCAACCTTGCAATTTACCCTTGCCTCCCCACCAACCAGCACCTCATCAACGCTTGAAACGCCCAACAACCCCTCCCTGCGCTCTGACTTCACCGCCGCGCGGACCCTGCCACGCGGCTTATTTCTTCATTTGCCCACTGCGTTTCGCATGCTCAACAGCTGCCCGTTCGTACACCCATCTATCAGCACGTGGTTGTCCCGCTGCATCGCGTCAAGAAATCGCCAGCGTCGAATCAAAGGACATTCATCGCATCATCGTGCTGGGAGGTTGAATTTTAACTCCCTGCGCTAGATCATGGTTTCCTACCATTATCGTCACGGAGATCAAGGAATATCTAGCGTGGGGAGTTGGGCTGTTCATGGAGGATTATCAACGTTTAACTACGAGGCTTCCTTCGAAGAGCTGCTCGTGACTAGATCTCGAAGACTCGTTAGATCACCTAAATCTTGCACGACGTACGCCGCACCAGAGCTCCCTAGCGTACGGATGTCTACCTCAAATCACGTCTCGTTGTTGAGCACGTCTTGATCTACCCCACGGGCCACATGCTTTGCATGGACTACTGGCGCAGTAACATCACCGAGGCGTCGCGCAAGGACAGTTGCTTTTCGTAGCTTGCTTTACGTGTGCCTGTAGGCCCTCCGCCATCGGCTCCGCGCAATCACGTTCCCCTACGTCAAGGTCATCGACACCATAATCATTATTGCAACCCCCCCGCTCGTTCGTCGTTATTGATCAGAACTAATAGACTAGAGACACTCTGAGCAACGTCATCGCTCTCTGTCAGGCAGGGTATTCACGTATCTCGAAGAATTTCCTCGGTCCCACACTTTAATCCATGGCACCACGCTCAAACCTCGACATACGACGCTATCTACCGCAAAGATGCAGGACCAGGTTACTCTTCTTCGGAGCGTCGTGAACAATGCCGATGTAGCGGTACCTGGACCCTCACGAACAAAAGAAAATTCCTTCTGGAATCCCCCCGGCGACGCTCCACGTAGAAGCAGACGGTAGGTACCAGAAACGTCGATGGTTCCAGCAGTTCCCGACAGGGTAAGGCTACCAGCAAACGTGGTGTTAGCAAGATATCATAGAAGCCGATGCCGCGTTCGTTAATGAAGCAATGTAAAGCCCAGGTGACTTGGCGACAGCGTCGTTGAGTTACTTCCGCAGTTTCTCAGATCGCAATGAATCATGGTCCCGGTTCCACCGCGGTGCGGAGTATATCATTGTTGAATCTTCTCATTGATTACTTCTGGCCGGAAAGCTGAAACAACAGTTCGATTCAAAATTTCACTTGAACATCTTTTACTCACTGGCTTGTGGGCTCCCACCACCTTCTTCAACACGCCCTACTTCGGTGATTTGGATAACAACCCTCCTTTGATATGGATCTTTCTATCCAACGCTGTTCCTGAGTTGAGTTGCATGAACAACATCCTGTCTATGACATTCCTCGGCTGATCACTTCACGCGCAGCACTCCCGCAGTCACCCGGCGAACATGCTTGACGCAGGTCATGCAGCCGAACTTGGTCCAGGTTGTACCGAAGCAATGTCTTCTATGATCACTTATAAGACTTGCGATAAGTCGGTGCAGAGGGTTAATCACGGGATTAGGACTCTTGCAGTTAAATTCCGAGCCCCGCTTGGTAACGCGGAGCGTGTGAGTGCGTGGCTTAGACAGGTATATCAGGAAGTGTATGTTCAATTGCAGCTTCAGAAGCTGAGATGCTTTACGAAAGCCCTCAGACAAGGCCCACACGCGCGCACGATGAGAAGCTAAGATATCAGTAATAGTAGGCTTTCCATACTATGCGCTGCAATCCTGGCGACGATCTTTACTTCAATATCGTTACGACACTCTTGGCGCCTTTCCAAGCCATACACTTGTCTATGTTATGTTACAAAGTCGACTCTATCCGAATTCTGCCCGAGCGGTGCAAGCGCCCAGACATTCACACTCAAGATGATTGTAAGAGAGGGTTATAAACTCGGCCCTTCCCAAGACCTTTGCACGCGGGGAAAGTCACTTGTCAAGAACAACTGTAAGGAAGTATCGTCGGTCTTTCCAGTAGTCCACTCGATTAAAAGCCCTCGCACAAGATCTACACGTTTTCTAACAAGGAACTATTAGTGGTCAATGTCTCGTATAACGACTTCTGCAGTCGAGTCTTGAAGTATGGGATTTACAAACGCCCACACTGGGAGCATTCTCAACCTGGCTGAAAGCACTGACATGGAGCATACACACGCACGCAAGATGAATAGCTGAAACGTTTTTGAAGATAAAGTGTAAGCCTGAGAGCCCCTTGATTGGAGTGGTATACACGCCTTCTTACAATCATCTCGAGCTACTTCGGCATCACCGCTGACGCGCACTGTCGGCGTAACGCCCGCCGCCAAAGCCGTCACCCAAGGCTGATATATTCTCCTAGTCGCCTGGGGCAACTTCAGCATTGCTGCCAACTCGACTCCAAAAACCGTTGTATGACCCGTCTCGAAAGCTTCCACAGTCGACATGTTGTTGTGCACAACGACGACGCAACACCTCCCGCAACAGTCGAGATGCCCTACCCAAGCTTCTATCGCGAGCCTTCTCAGTCGAAAGCTTTCACTCAAGGCCTGCATGCACGCGACTACTCAATGAGCGAGATGATTAAGCTGTGTCATTCGACGTCTGGTTAGAGAATCGGCCCGGTGTTCCCCAGTCGTCGTTGTGCAGCCCTCCCTGCAACAGTTTCTGCAGCTGATATAACGGTCATCTTCACCATTGCTACGCAAGTGTCCACCAAGGGCTCGCTCAATTAGACTCTTCCTGAAAGAACTACGTTCTCATACGACCAAAAGCTGAGTTGGGACAGCTGAGTGATGGATCATGGGGGGGGTGACTCAAAAGATGGTCGGTCGTCCTCTTACAATCACCTTGGCTGACTTCAGTATCGCTGCCGGCGAGCACATCAATCCTGCATGAATCATTGCATTAATTGCTGCAGTCGAGGTTTGTTCGAACGTTGTATTGGGATTCGCCGACCTTGCCATCAATCGCGACTTGGACAACCGTTGCAACACCCGCCATACCAACACTCACTGTACAAACCTGTACTGGGAGCCGCCTTGATTAACGCCCTCACACGAGGCCTACACACAGATAATTAACGGCTAGGATAACTCTGGAAGACGGTCATTCAAACCATGCGCTCCAGATCTGCATGGCCGTCACATCGCGCACTATACACGCTGCCGGAACTGAGATGTCGCCGCGAGCATTCACCATAGGCGTGATTGATGGATGTCCTCATGCGGATATGTATAGTAATGAGTAAAGAGTCGTGTTTCAATACTCATCACGACTGCCCTACCGTTGGGCTGCCAAATACATGCTTCTGCCATGACCTTGCTCAATCTGAGCCTTCTCGAGGCATGTGCGCGCGCGAACGATTGACAGCCAGGCGATTGTTCCAGTGACGGGTTATTGGTCGTAAGATTGGGCGATTGCCTTGAGATGTCGACTTTCTTCCAATGTCGGGTCGGGAACGTCTGATTTGTACTCAATGTGCACATCGGCGACGCAATACCCCCGCAATAACTTTCACAATTGAGATGCCGCCGAAGGCCTTCATCAGATAAGGGTCGCCAAAGGTGCATGTGTAGCATCGTCCATTTGGTGGAGCGCGGCAGAGTCAACTTGCGGGTTGGGCTTCATCGTGAGCGGCACAGAAAGTCTGACGGGTGGCTCTTGGTAGGCCACATGTACGAACATTGGCGGAGAATCTATTGGGCCTTGAGGAGGCTCGCCCAATTCCAGTCCTCACGCGTGACTCGCACATACACGCACACACAATGGATGGGATTCGGTAGGGCATTAATACACTCGTTCACAGTCTCTATGGGTAAGCGCATGGGACACCGGCGACACGAAGAGCGGGCAAGGATGCGGAGGAGCGGAGATGCCGCAAGAACGACGAATCGATGCATCAGGGGCAACATGGCGTATTGAAGGTGTCACGTACGGGTCTTTGAGAAGGGCTTGGGGACGGATAGCTTTAGTCAGCCAGAGCTTGGAGACAGGCTCATTCCAGCATCTTCCGCAACAGTGTTCACAGCCGAAATATCGTCACTCAAACCTCAATCGGAAGTCCGGCCAACCCGCATCCTCGCCCATAGCATGTATACGCGCGGAAAATCAGCACCTGGGGGGAGATCTGTGAGGAGGGGTGGTTCGAGAGGTAGACAGTGAGCTCGTTAAGCATCTCGATTCTTTTGCAGTGTCCCCTCGGGCATCTCTAGCAACCCCATTAATGTACACATCAGTGTTGCAACGAGCAAGCCAACAATGGGAGAGCAGAGACACTTTTTATAAGACAGAATGGCGTATGTTGCGATGCTACGGCCTCTCGAAGCCACGGAAGAGAAGACAACGCTGAAATTAAGGATTTCATTCACTACAGCCTACAACCGAGGCGTCGGTATCTTATTCAACAGCTCCAAGAGCCGCCACCGGGGTCGCAGCCCACGCTTACGCGCACATCAGTATCCTCAGAATCAAGCTCAGCGAAACACTGGCTCTCCCGTCTGTTCTGCAAGACATGCTGCCACAATATCAAGAGATGTCTCGGCAAAGAGGATAGACGTAGACGACCTCGGCCTATCACCAGACGGGGACTATTTCCTCTCAGACATGTCTCCCGACTTTTCCGAAAACGCGCACATCGGCGTCGCGATGAGCGAACAAGAACACTGCCTGGTGTTACGGGGCAAGAGGTGTATTATAATGACATAGCGTGTCGAAGCTAAGAGGAGGATATTCAGGCGAAGAAAGCGGACATGCTGTCGCGAGGTCAACGTCTCCTGCAACAACCCTGCTCCAGCAACGCTGTAAGCTCGCTGGTAGGCCTCGCCGCGAGCGAATACCGACGCATAGGAAGCAGGCAGCTCGCTAGGAAAGGAGGATACGTCCTGGTGAAGAACCAGGACCTGGGCGACATCGACACGCCATTATTCGTTATAGGCTACACACCCCGCTGGAGATGACGAGACACATGTTCCGATTGTCCCACAACGTGCTACGTCATCCGGTGAAAGACAAAGATTTAGCAGAGGGTGGTGCGCTCCGACGCACAACCGATGGTGAAGGTGAGACAACTCCAACCTCCTCACCGTCGCCTTCGCGCTCGCCACACCCAAACCCACCTTTGCAGCTACAACAACGCCCCCACGGTCCCGAACTCTTCCTCGCACTGATCCCAAGGCCAGAATCGCAAGCGCAAGCGCGTGTTACCCACGCGACATACCAAACACCCCGATCACATTCGTACGTCTTGCTCATGCGCGCAACTCCAACAATGCCCGCGACCGTCGTGCCCTCGCTAACTCATGCGGAACAGCAAGCCAAAATCAATCCAAAGCAGGCCATGTCGCGACACGCATCGACCCTCCACCGCAGTCCCCGCGTGACTGACGCCATGTACCGCCTCGCCAACGCTGAGAACGAAAAGCCCGCCAAGCAGACTGGAAGCTCGACCCAGGTTGACGCGACGAGCGCTGAAATCGACGAAGGCGTTCTGTTCATGACTATCTCCAAGCGGCGGGGTTCGGGGGTGACGGAGGAGGAGTGGAAGGCGCGACATGATGAGGTGGAGATGCGACGAGATTCGGCGACGGAGGGCGAGGGAAAGGAGGGTGGAGATAGGGTGTAAACCTTCGCGCTGCAGCAACGGTTGGATTTCTCATGCAGCTGTGTTTGTGTCGTGGATGGAAGCTCTCTTCCGAGTGGATGTATTGTCGCAGACGATGTTCTGGTCGCTGCTGTCAGCGAGGATAATGAGCCTTCAAAGCGTGAGCAAGCCGGAACTTCCCTGACCAATCCATTATCTCGGTCTCGGCGTTGAACCGGTAGGAATGTGGCCAGTTCATGAATATAACAGTTGCCCTCTGGTAGCCATGGTGCTGTTGAAATCAATCAGTGACGATCTGTAGCCTCTTTCTGCGTTAGCAAATCTGCATGACCTGATTTATGTTCGAACGCCGTCTGCGCGAGATGAATTTGAGGTTCTTATCCCAACATTTCCAACGTTGCCCACAGCAGTATGCAGGCAAAACAAGGGCTCTGATCCTGTTCAGCAGAACGCCTATCTTCCTGGTAAACACTATGTTTCATCAAGATCGAGTAGCCGTGGTGCATAGCAGAGTTCAACCTGGCGCTGTTTGTTTTGGGATCGTACTCTGGTGCTATCTTGATGCAATATTTTCTGTCGGAGTCCGTAGGCTAATAGTATTCCGGCTGGATTGTGGGCAAGCTTCTACTTCGTCAGCAAGCCTGTGCAGATCCTGTGTGCAGTGGCACTTACCCGCTAATCAATTTCAAGACTGTCATCTAGTCTCTTCAACGATTTCTTCCGGAACATGTCAGCCAGCAGCATTCTGACGAAGATGATCAACGATGTATTTAAAGAATCCAGAGCACAGTCTGACATACTGGTCATAGCAACAATATCAAGCTACGTATCACAGTGTCATGTCTGTAGGCAGTCTCAGCTCAGGCAAAGAGTCTTCTCCTGCAATGTAATTTCTGTGCCATGACATGCAATCTCTTTGACATTGCCCTCCTGGTATGCGGGTAGGCGACGGCCGGTAGTATCTTGATTGTGTCGAGCATCAAACTCAAGCCCTTCTACGGCGTCGGCGTGCCTGAGCACTTCCAACTCGTGATGGAATTCCTCTTGCTCAGATTGGTTGGATGGGCATCTGCTGTCGCCTCGTCGTTGTCTTCTTGGGTGATCTCGGGGTAGAGGAGAGCGAGATATGTCTGGTGGGGAACTAGTCTCCCCTGTGACTGCCGCGCCGAAGAGTGCAAATTGGAGATTTTTGACAGCAACGGCCTTGAGCTCTTCTGTTTCATTGCTATAACCGAGCCGTGAGCGGTTAAGCGGCGGTTTCTGCAGAGGGTGGTGTTGCCGGGGTCAAGTGTTCAGGTTGAAAATCCAAAGTAAGGCAATGATTCTTGTGAAAAAGGGTAGAACTTCACGGGCAAAGTCATTCTTGGTTTCGTTTCCAGATCGAGACAGGGCGTCGGAAATGATGTTGCCTTTGCCAAAGATGTAGGTCAGCGTGAGACGGCATTGCCGAAGGTTTCAGTTTGCTGAGCTGAGCGTTCGGAACTGATGTCCCGGTTACTTCATGGAATGAGATGCTCGGAGTTGGCTGAAACAATGACAGGTCCAGCGAGGAATATACATCTGATGAATGCCACCAGTGCGAAGATCTCTCGATTAATGCTGTTCCACTTTTTCTCAACTACGCCGGAGGTGCCGGAAAGTCAGGCAATCATTGCTTCCAATCTGGCAAGGTGATAACCAATGATTTTTCCCTATGCTGCCTTTGATGCCTCGGTTCGGTCAGCGAGCGTGCGAAATTGATCAATTTCATTGACAGGACACACTGCAGGAAGGGTTCTCTTGACTTCTTCAAAACCAGGGACTGGGGAGTTATCTTCAGATTTCAGGCCATGACTGGTCCCATGCGAGCTTCCTTAGGAACTTCGATGTTACCGTCTGGTTCCTTTCGGTGGACGCCTCAGATACTAGCGATCAGTTTTACAGTGTATGAGAAATAGAGGATGTGTAGTTCGCAAACCCTGGCTATGCCACGATCGCATTGCCATTACTGAATAGTTTTCAGGAGGACAACTTGAGGATACCTCGGACGTTTGAAGGTTAGGGCTTGTAGAACTCCCCTACAACCCGGTAACGCAGAAAATCGATAAACGTAACTCCAATTGCGCACTCGTTGACTTCAAGGTACATATTTCAATCCTCTACTCAGGGAGTGCAAGGATAATCATTCTGTTATGCTGGACATATAATGGTACACAGACTAGGATGTCGTCGAAATAGACAACGTGTCCAATCTTGGCTAGATCGGATAGTTAGTACATGTTCAAGGCTAGGAAGCGGCCCGGTCCGTCGACAAGTCTCATTGGCAGTACCATCTAGACTGCAATACAGTAGCATGGGAAGATCGTGACAGATAATTTGGCAGAAGTGTAATCTATCCGCGAAACTATAAAACCCATTGCATAGATCTATCCTTAAAGCGAGCCATAATCTGCAAGCTTCACTGAGTGATTTGATGGATCGTTGAAAGGTCGACCGGAATACGTCCCCAACTACCTTCTGACATAATCGAATACCAATTGCGGTTTGGAGTTACTAGTTTTCTCAGTTTGCCTCTTGTATCGACGAACTCGCTGCTTGAATTGATGAACGGTTGTTGTCTGGCTCCATTGAGATGTTTCGTGACGAAGTCTGCGAATTGGTGCTGAATAAAGTTGGGCTCCGTGATACAGACTTCTCGTGTGAGGGCAGGGGTACTAGTGAGGTCGTGTCAAATATCAAAGCTCGGCTTAGATGGGAGCAGCATGGTTGGCTCACTGAATAGTGTTGAGTACTTTTCCAAAAACGTGACTGGTACACTGCCCGTAGCTGTGTGCCTAGGTTTGGCATTCATGGTGGTTGCATGGATTGACCGGCGAGTATCATTGAAGTGCATGGATTCGATGTCGAAGTTCAGCTAGGTCTCTCACGTTACTCACCATTCTGCTTTAAGATGTAATTGTGGTGACATGGCACGAGTCGGTCGTAGATAGCATAAGTATTACTGAGGGCTGTTTTGGCGCCGAAGCGCAGAAGAAGGGTCACGATTCTCGAGCATGCAATTGTTGAGTGCCCTATCTAGTTCGATGATGGTGGAACATACATCAGATTCGATGAGTGATACTACGACGCCTGTGTCGACAAAGCTGTTAACAGGTGTAATGCCAACATAGTCGCGGAGTATCAGAACTCAGCTTGAAGAGCATGTCGCCACGAGTAACTCAATTTGGTAGATTCGCCTGAGACCGTTGTTCAGGTTACGATGCCATCCTTCCCCCCCCCCCAATACTGAGTAGAGAGGTGCCAATACGAACAAAGAACCCAGAAGAGTAATACAACCAAGGATCATGGCGGCAAATCACAACTATGCAAGTCCGGCATACCAGATGTGTATGTCCTGACCAGCAATGAAAGAGCTGATCTCATCTTCGCCATTAGTCCGTCATGGTCGAAGCACCCGGTCGGTATTGCTTAAGCGCGACCGCGAGATTGGCCACTGAAGAATAGGCAAAACGTTTCTGATTTATACACTTTATAGCTCCAACGCCATTGACGTTGCTTTGAAGCTTTCACGCGAGTGGCACAGTTTTGGAAGCTTGGCAAGGCTCGCACCCATACCCAGAAGGAATAACGGCGAGGTGTTTGAGCATATCAATCTTGTGCTTGAATTTGCTCTCAAGTTGAGCAGGTATAATGTCTACGGTAATGCCGTGATGCGTGCGCATGGTGTCGTTGAAAATCTTCGGCGTCAGGGTAGTCACTATGGGCAATGGAAAACGTGTGGGAAGCGCGGCGGTGCGGTGGTCATAAGTCGAGGCCAAGGGTGACATGACATGACGCATGTGCCTATTGTGTACTCTCAACAAACTCATGCTCACGCCCAATGGCGAGTTCGACGACGGCTAGATCCGAATTTCCATTCACCATCTCCGACACTCGCATGCTTGTGAAGGTGGTGACAGCTCACACTGACAGCACAGAAAATGAGGGTGTGTAACATCCTTTTCCCAGTGGATTATCTCATATGCGCGATCACGGCGCACACGCCGATGCCCTGATGAGTGTGTATAGCGTCGTTCAGAGCCGTTGAAGAAAGGATATCCTACGTATGTGATAGGTCGAAAATGCGTAACAAGCATGGCGCGTTGGGAGAAAGCCGAGGCCGAGCGTTGCATGATGAGATTGCGTGGTATGTATGTACAATCGTGTTGTTGGAAAGGCCCAGTAGGCTCGAAGCAAGGATATAATGCGGGTGTTGAGGCCGAGGGCAAAGTCTACAAGCATAGCGATAAGCATGTTAGCGTTAGTTATCATCACTCAACGAGTTTCATATTCCACAATAACCTTACAAGTTCTATACTCAGTAAGTTTTGGAAAGTTTGCACTTACACCAAGGAACATGCTGGAGCGAGACTGCAAGCAACTAGAAATGCGTAAGGAGCACGACTCGTGGAACTGTAAGGGGACGCTATAGCCTCCCGCTTGTGGTTCTTCTTGATATAGGCAGACATGACATGCCCGGATGACTACACCTGTGGTTCTTGGGAGCCGGCGCCACGTGGTGATGGACATGGGACGTGCAGCGCGTTGGTGACGAGCATGGCTGAGCGCGTCATGACTTCTCCCTGGGCATACACAAGCTCGCGCGTTGTAGTCAAGGACGCTACTGGAGGTATCGTCGCATCCGCTTCCGGGTAGCGAACGGTGATGCGGGAGGTAAGCCGGAGAACGACGGCGGTCGACTCGCCACCAAACCGGTGGGCCGTGCAGGCGCTAAGAGTGATTAGCGTCTATGCGGCGTCGATCGACTTCCCCGGCAAGTCTCCAGCCTTGCCAAGTCCATTCTACCGCCATTGCTTGTGTTTACCGCATTATACATAATTGCGCAATACAAAAGCTCACTTTACTCATCGCGCGGATAGATTTTATTCTGTTGAGCATCATGTAATGCCCCAGCCATCCCAATTACGTTAGGCATATAGTTCGGCCATATGCCGCGATTACTTGTTCAATCAACCATCTCAATCATCGAACTATCGCTCTTCTGGTACTCTGTTCAATATATTCGGCAGCTTCCCGTCATGTCAACAGCGGCAAAGGTTCGCCCCGTCAAGACGATGAGATGGATTTCATGCCGGAACTCGGAACAGGCCCAACATCTCGTACATGACAACTGATCTGCTCATAGCGACGCTCAATCTCGACGAACTTCCAGTTATGGCTCTATCTTCTCTAGCGCCTATTGAAATTTCTCTCTCCGCGCTCCGTCCCGATTCACCATGGGCATGGGACGACTTCCCTCGAGACTGACGCTCAAATGTAGGGAGAAATACAAAATTCCTATCCAAAATACGGACTAATCCTGCGAAAGGTACTGAATCCAGTCCTGTATTCACTTTCCTACTGGAGGATAGAAATGAGGAGGAGGAGGATGAGGAGATAAAGGGGAAGGGGGAGGAGAGGAAGCAGGGCGGCAGCGATTTGTGGTTAGTACACTTGGCTAAGTTGCGCATTCCGCCTTTGCAAGCCGCAAAACTAGACTGAGATTGTATTGCATTGACTAACAAGGCATCAGCGCAGAATGACCAGCACCACGTTTCAAGTACCCATGATAAAATGAGGACCAACTCGAGACCCATAACCTACCAGTTTATGCCCGGGTAGTTACAGCAGCGCATTATGGATCCTACAGCCACGCTGTATACCCAGACCCAATGTGCTACGTTTACGGGGAATAAGATGTTAATCTCAACATACTCCACTGCTCTATTTTGATCTTTCTTAAGCCTGTTGCCATGTTTCTCCGTGCTAGTGTCCATTATCGACGTCGCAGTCGTCGTTCTTCATGTTTGAGTCTTTCATCTCCGTCACCGTCCCAAACACGCTCCTGATCTTGGCCGAGTGCCAGAAGCTGTTCCAGGCCTCCTCCACCTCCGTGAACCCGGCTAGGCTTATGGGCACGAGCATCCAGACCTCGTCGCCATCAAAGTCAGCGTTGGTGAGCGGACAGATCTTGAGCGACGTCCTAACCAAGTTCACGCCCTCTCCTGCCCCATTACGACCTTCATCAGCAACGCGCTGTCAGACCCCTGCAAGGGGCACCTCCCCAACACGACCATGTCTCCGACCCAGCTACATCACGAACAGGAGCAACCATCCTGACAAGTGCCCGCTGTGCGGCGAGTCCAAGAACCTGTCCACGGCCAGGTTCGCGCACGTGAGACTGGGTCTTAATAAGGCTCCTGAGATGATCATGTGCAGGTACAAGCCTACGAACGAGATCGTAAGCGGGATCTTGGCCAAGATGTTGACCCTCAACAAGTTCGTGGATGTGTTTGTGTGTGCTGATCACCAACAGGATCTTAAACACAGACCTTAATACGGCCAGGATCACGAACATGTCACCGATCCTGAACGTAGAGGTGGAGTTGAGGATGAACCCGCACATGTCCGCCGTCGTCTACAAGAGCATGGAGTCGGGCTTCTTCGGGCGTGCGGAGTCGGGCTCGATCAGGGAGGTAGGCTGCAGCTGGTGGACGGGCCCAAATTTGAACTCGATTGCGAAGATGAGAATGAGATCGAGCGGTGAGGCGAACACGAAGGTGGTCTTGTGCACGTAGGAGATTAATCCTGGTATCAAATTGGCAATATCAAACGAGTACGAGTTTAGGGATGAGATTACGGGGCTTGAGTACTACGCAACGATGAACGAGCTCAGAATCGTAATCAACATGGCAAATGTAAACGTAGTCGTAATAGCGAGGAAGTACGTGTGCAGGATGTAATCTCCTTCTCGTCCAAGGTCAAGTTCATAGGCGTGGCGTCGCACCAAGGCATCAGGTTAGTTATAATCCAGCTCGTGGATACAGTCGGGGGCCTCGCGTCGCTCAGGGGCTTCATCAACTCCTCGTTTGTGGATGAGATTAGGAACGTGGACTACGACGTAGTAGGTATCAAGAACCTTGACGTGTATAAGGGCTTAAGCATGCTCAAGGCCAACGGCATAAAGGTGTACGTGTTCTGCTATTAAAACGGGTACGTGGTGACATTCGCCGACAGGCAGCTGACCGTGCTGAGCTACACCATCGCGAGGAGCCACTCGATTTTGGTCCCGATAACGTGTACGCTCAACGTCCTGACCGCGGAGATAACGGTGGACGGGAGCGTCGTCTTTATCAACAAACTGTGCGTGGATAGGAACGTGGTCAAGCCCACGAAACCGCACGTGAAAAGGCCGATGACCGAGTTCGAGAAGCCGCACATGATAATACGCAAGTGCTGGAAGTCGGCCTCAGACGTACCCAAGAACCCAGTCTCAAGCATGAACCACGACGGGCTGGCGTGCATGACTATGTTCAGGACCCTGAGGTTGAAGAAGCCCATAATCGACATCCTCTCCACGAATGGGGTCTTGTGCACGAGGGAGGGCTCGAACCTGATCACGATGGCACACGGGCACCCGCGCATGGTCGAGGGTTCGATCTACGAGATAAGCGTGGACAAGAGCAGGAACCTGAATGAGGTCACGCTGTCGAATCCGGTCGAGAGGTTGATGAAAGACTACGTCTAACGCCTCGGACACCATTAGGCGTGCGATCATGAGCGTGTTCAATGACGTGGAGATGAGCACAGTCCTGCACGACATTCAATGCATGTCCTTCTGCCTGAGGTTGAAGGTGTACAAGAGGGCGCAAACAAACGCGAATGTGTCCAGGAAGACAATTGTGATCTTCGGCGCAGGCAGGTTCTATGAGATGAACACTGAGTAGTTCTCCTACATCGCGATTGACCCCGAGTTAGACATCTCAATCTTGAGCAGGAGGATGAAGAGGATAAGGATCACGCCCTACAACACGAACACGAGCTTCTCCAAGCAGGTGTCCGCAATCACGAACAGGTCCAGGAGCTTGCTCTACTACAGGGACTTGTCTAAGAACTTTATCTCGATGCCAGACGTGATCTCGAGCATGTGCGTAATAGGGATCCCAGCCGTATTCCCGCTCAGCATCTTGTACCACATCAGGGTCATCAACACGCTCTCATGCTCAGGGTAAAGGCGTTCGGGTGTGGATACGTGCACGACAACATGCCAAAGTCTGGGTTCTAAAGCCCACCCGTGCACATAGACGTGGTCAAGGACGAGTTCAGGATCTCAGCCGTAGAGGCGAACTTTGGCAAGTCGACGTGGGTAGAGCCGATTTTGCTCGTGGACTGAGTTTCGAACCTGCGCTTGATCAAGGACTCGACGTACCTCAGCGTCATTGCATCTCCCTTCCCGTCGTCGAGCATGGCCACAGTCGCGTACGTGTTGAGCTTGATCGCCGAGTGTCTGATCGCCATCTCGGTGGTGTCCGGCTTTGGCATCGGGCAGTCGCAGAAGTACGGGATGGCAGCGCAGACCGAGCACTTGGTCGCGATCACCTTGTCGGAGCTGATGATAGCGTTGCTCACGTTGATGGACAGGTTCTGCATCATTATCGATAACAGCTCCGTCTCTCCGGTTCTGGGTGTGCCCGACCTGTTTCTCCCCTTCGGCATCGTGAGCCCGGTTGTATTGCTCGTATACATTGCTAGCATGCGCTCCCCTACGCTCTAAAGAACGGACTTGTGCCTGTAATGCTGGAAGTGCGTGGCGAAGCAGGTGACTTGCGTGTAAACGCAATAGCAGAAGGCGCAGTGCATATTGGTAGTTGGTGTAGATGTAGGTAGGGCGGCCGGGGTGGACTGCATCTTTGCTGAGGGAGAAGAAGGTTCGAGTCGACTGATTGGACACAGGGTGCGTGATTTCAATTGCTCTGGTGTAGTTGGGCGTTTATTACATGAGTAAGTTGGTGGGAATCTATCGTGTGTAGTTCATCTGAGAGAGAATTTGATAGGCTGTGTTGGGATCAAGAGGAGAAAGAAGTATGTGCCGAGCGCGTTGTAGCCATTATTCCGGAATTGTTTGGAGGTGAGAGGATGGACGAATAAATGATAAAAGTCTAACGTTTGGCTGGCAACGAGAGCTAGAACAGAAAGTGTATGTAGTAGCAAAGGAAAGAAAACAGGACCAACTTATTCTACATATATCGTTTGGATCCAGAACGGTTGTGGGGGATTGGCAAGGTAAGGAATGTATCGCCTAGCAAAAAGGGCTTGCTGTGCTCCGTTCGTGCCGTGGTGGAAGGTGGAAAGATGTGGGTTGGGAGTATAAAGGGTCAGGCATAGAAGGATAGAAAATGAGTAATGAAAAACTCTCTGTCAGTGTAAACTTCGGTAATGGTGTTGTGTCAGATCCAGAATTAGCAAGCAATGAGGGTGTACCGAGAAACAACGTAGATGTGTGAAGATCCAGGCAAGCAAGAACCAAGCGTTTTACAGGAATTCTATGGCCAAGACTCTTCTGGTTGACGAAGTTGAACACACGAGCAGAGAGATAGACAAAGATTTCTCGCACCGCGAGAGCGTAACTTCTGCGAGCGAGAAAGACAGACAGAAAACGAGCCTGCACACAGTGTGTCGTGTAATCATTTCACCAAGCCGCGATTCTTGCCTACAAGGATAGTACTGAAACATCATTAGTTCAGGTCTCAGGCGAAGACCACACGGATGTGTACGCGGGGCTGGGATAGGTAAATAAAGAACAACGAACATTCAGAAAAGCATGCATAGGACGGCGAGTTCCAGTGATGCCGCACTGCAGAACAAAGGCGGCGAGACAGTGACGGGCTGGTGCAAGTTTACTCGTTCGCTCGGCGTGGTGTGGGAAATCTATATCCTCGTGTAGTTGTTGACATTTCTTCTCTGGTGTCCTGGCCTAATGCCGTGGTTTGAGCTAGATCAATACATTTGTTGACTGTAGGTTCTTAGGATGCGGTTTGACATGGAGTTGATGATGCACAGGTGAAAACTGAACTCCTGCTGAGTTAGATCCGGAGTTTGATTGTGAGTATCGACGGCTCAGTTCGTGGCGGAGTTGAATGTGCTAAAGCGCACTGTCAGGCTTCTTTCGTGTGCCCGACTCGATCTACCGCTGGTTTTCAAAAGTGCTTGCATTGATGTGCATTCTCAATGCTAGGGAGGGGGAGGGGAGGATAAACTCGAGGCTATTCCTCTTCTTTCTGTGTCGTCGTCGAGTTTCTTTGTTCAGTGTGGTGATGTGCATTGGCGATGCTTCATTCATCTGAATTTAAAAAAAATATATGTGCATTGGAGGAGCAGTTTACCACAGAACAAACTCCATCACCTGCAGCACAACCAGCATACCACGATGAATCATTACCGCCGCAACACTCATCCGAGCTTTACAACCTCATCACGAGATATGACGCACCACCCAGATACCCGCCACCTAAGCACAGCCCCGCGCCTGACCCGCTACTCTGTCAAACTCGCCTCGTTCAACACACCCATTGCGCGGCATGGTCTGCACAATCAACTAGCTGATGAACCTACGAACATGCGGCGCGTGCTTGATGACGCAGTTGGTGGGCGCCGAGCAGTCGGTGGGGGCCGAGGCAGCGTGAATCACGCTAGCCAGTTTTATCGCGCTAATCCGAGAGTAGCGTGCCAAGACTTGCGTGATCGGATCGCGTGCCTGCCCCCAGCCTCCCCCAACACCAGCCTCGTTAGCATCTCCCGTCGCCCTCAACCTCATCACTGTCTACCCCGCCTCTGCAGACTCCCTTTCAACCCATCCGTGCAACCTCCTCCTCACGCACCGATCGCGCGCCTCGGCCGCCGCTACCACCCGTTGCACGTATCGGGTACTCGACTCAGGCCCATCATCCTTGCGAATTTCACAAGGCCTCTGGCGGTTGGGGGCAGGCGACTCTGCTTTGCACTGTGCGTCTGTCTTCTGCCATCAGCGGGGTGGGCTTCTGTTCGGGTATCACGGTCGCGTACCCGGTGTCTGCGGTGGACGCGACGCATCACAACCAGAGTCAAGGCTGCTCACAAAGCCTGGGTGGGCGGGTTCCCTTGCGACGCATCGCGGTGTCGACGAGTTCCTTCGCCGCGATTGCTCCAAGGGGGTTTTGGTAAGTGTATTGTGTGCATTTTGGATAGCTAACAGTATGAGTCTCACAGCCGGCTTCAAGGCGCTGGCCTATCCCGCGTCCAACCTCTCCGACGCCGTATCGCCATGCACCTGCTCGCTACTGTTCAAGTGTGACGACACCGCTAGGACAGCCACTCTCTTGCTTCAAGCTGCGATACTCACTACTCATGGCATGCAAACCTTCGTTATACAGTATGACGCCAACGAGCTGGTGTCTGGCGCTGTAAGCCTCAACAATGGCAAGAGCCATGTCACACAGCCGCAATTGGACGAACTGTTGCGCGACAACAACAACACGCGCTCTGATGTGAAGACTCTCGCCCTGACTGTCAAGCAACCAGGTCCTGTCTGGTGTCCAGCTTCTCTTTCTTTTGCTCCTAGCCCTGGCTCTGAGGCTTCCTTCCGCCAGTTCGTAGATCTTACCAAAGCAACCGAAATAAACATTGTCTTTGACTTCAAGAATCTGCAGCCACTACTCAAGTCCATGTTGAAGTCTTTCGGTAGGGCAGCGAGAGACCTGGCTGCATTTCCAGTCGAAGGGTACCTTACTCGAGCGGGACTGACAAAGGCGAGCTGGGAGGTCTTCGGCCCTGTCGATGTCGCTGAGGCACCGCCTGCTTACGATCATTCTCGCAAGCGGCCATGGCAAGGTGAGTGCGACATCCATTGCATCCACAGCTCCAACTAAGTAACGCACGCAGAAACCTCAACGTCCCCAAGCCCCTCCCCAAAGCGCCTCGCCCGACAATCGCCTCCGCAATCTCCACAGTCGGACACGACCATTCCCTTCAGCCCAGCAGCAGCCGAAGCATTCAGAGCCCCGTTCGAGGAAAAGGCTCGGTTCAAGAAAGAAGTCGCGTTGGAAGAACAAGTCGCGTTCGAGCAACAAGTCGCGTTGGAGGAACAACTCGCGTTCAAGGAACAACTCGCGATCAAGGAACAAGTCTCGTTTGAGGAACAAGTTGCATTCGAGCAACAAGCCCTGTTCGAGAAACAAGCCGCCTTTGCGAAACGTGTCGCGCTCCAGAAACAAGCCCTGTTTGAGAAACAAGTCGCCTTCCAGAAACAAGTCGCGATTGAGGAACAAGTTGCGATGGAGGAACAAGCCGCATTCGAGGTACAAGTCGCGTTCGAGAAACAAGTCTTGCTCGAGAAACAAGCCGCCTTTGAGAATCAAGCCGCCGTCGAGAAACAAGCCGCCTTCAAGAAACAGGCCGCCTTCGAGAAACGAGTCGCGTTCAACTCTCACGCGGCGGCCATCAACGCCGCGGTTGCCAAGCAGCTCCCCGGCTACCTTGACCAAGTCCGGCCCAACCTACTTTCGCAAGCGATCAAAGCCGCCGTTGCCGAGCAGCTCTCCAGCTACCTCGAACAAGCCCTGCCGACCGTACTTGCGAACATTGTCCCAACTCTCTTCGCCCGTCCTCCCACCGATCTCTCCAACTCGTCCAACTCGTCCAAATCGTCCAACTCCTCCAACTCCTCCAACTCGACTCACTCCTCCCACACCCCATCCAGAACACTGCCGCCACTATCCGCTTTAGGCCAGACGTACCTCCCCCACCTCAAAGCGCATCTTACTGATCAAGTCCAGCAAGACCAAGCCAAGCGGACGAAAGAGTGGGAGGAAGTGCTCCACCGCCTCTCAGAGAATGCAGCACGAAAGCTTGAAGAAGAGACAGCAGGGATGATGGACGATATGAAGGAGCACAAGACGGACATGCGCTCGACAAAGGACGACGCTGTGCGAGACATGAACGCTCATCTTCACGATGCGATTGGGGATGCGCAGGACAAAGTGTCGGTATTGCGCGAGGACATGGATAAGGACATGCAGCAGGGGATTGACGTCTTGTGCGACAAGATCGAGAGGCTGAAACAATTATTGGTGAAGAGGGTGGTGGCGTTTGAAGTACGCAAGTATTGGCGGAGGAGGAAGCGTGCGCACCAAAGCGTAGGTCAAGGTATTGTCAAGCGCAAGAGCCCGAAATTGCGTCGTATCAAGCACAAAATGAAGGTGTTGGGAAGACGTCGGTACGATGAGTGGGAGGACGTCTGAGGAAGGAGCTTGCGCGTCTGTCTACACATGCTCTCGATGGCGATATCGGTCGCCTTTGTCAAGAGCTAGGACCTTTCTTTTCTTTACTGTCCCGGTGGACTTCTGGTCATGATATATGAACTGGCTGACATGCCTCATGATACCCAAATAGACTCTCAATTTCATTCAAGCCATGCACTCCATCATCCCTCCGCGCAGTCTGTGTCCGTTCCGCTATGGAAATCAAAAGCATCTCACTTCAACATGGTCGCCAGGAAGCGCGCAGCCTTACATAGCGATTCCAAAAGACGCTTCACTACCCGCGCTGTGGCTAGACATGTGCGCGTGCGTCTATCCTCCTGCGTTTAAAACCAAGCACGATATCTCACGCTCGTTCATCGTGCTATCAGAACGCGATGCGTAGATTGCACTCACACTGCGGGACCACAGGTATGCCACGCTCATGCCACAAGCAACACGCACAGCTAACACAACTCCCATCTCATGGTATCAACTCGACACGCCGATACTCCTCTCCTCCTTCGTTTGCAACATCACGACGCGTCACGACGCTGATACAGAGAAAGTTTGTAGCTGTGAAGAAGCGCTGCTCAGTGTCTGTACTCATCCGGACGTTCGGCTACAACACAGCGGTGTCTGCCATGGCTTTCCTCATGCCATCTCGCGTGCGTGGTGTGCATACCTGCTTTGTAGAGTCACACGATGACGCCGCTCGTCGCCATGGCTCGCACATGACGCGCTCGTGTTCAAGCTCGCATACGGCGTCCTTGGGATTGGAGCCTGACGCTCAGTTTCGCGCACGCCGGCTTCGCGACTTGGGCTCGCGGCTCGGCGGACACATATTTCGACCTCAGACACGAAAGCCTCGCAGGCCAACGATGCATATTCACGTCGCGCGCTCGTCGCCCAGTTGCATTATAGGCTGCACGAGTAGTCACCTCAAGCAAAACCACAACGCGACCGCAATGAAATGCAAAGGTCAGGACACCTGCGATGCGAAAGGTCAGGACACCTGCAAACACGCATCGACAAGGTCGTTGGACTCTACATCCTTCCTGTTGACCTGTTCAGCTCGCGTTTCTACTTCTGCATGGGTATGAATATACTATAGATGCCGGCTCCGAGACGAAGGAAACTCGCTGAAAACTCGACTGTCAACTACACCATGCTCGTCGAGCTGAACGAGAAATCGGCCTGTGGCAAAAGCTGTGCGAGCTTATAGCTGACCCAATTGGGAGCGGGATGCTGAACAGGGTTGAAACCGTGGACAAGCTTATCGCTGGGAAATCACTGCTGTTGTACGTCCGAATGCCTCTTCGAGCACACCTCTTGCGCCCATTTGTCATTCACTGCGACTCTACACTCTAAGTATCTACACAATCACGGCCTCGAGTAGAGCAGTGCATTGCACTTCACACATCCAATTCTAGAGGGGCGTCGAATGGTTAATAACAACAACATCATCGTCGGGATGCGTATCCTGACTGAACCCATGAAAATGTTGACATCAAGTTGCGAGATCCGAAGCCTCACCAGCAATCCATCCACAGCGGATCACTGCATTTGGGGGCTCGGACTCCGGTCTCCATCGTGTTTTGACCCACAGACCGGCCGAGCTTGACACGCCCGTGTCTGAATTGCATGTGCAGCCCTCATGATGTCCAACAACACAAGTTGGCCTACTCATACAGTCGAGACCATACCAGTCTACCTGAACCTGACCCGGTTGATAACGGTGCTTAGTTCGGTTTGCTCATGTCCTTTTTGCTGTCGCGCCCCCACACATGGTGGTGAGACGCTTCTTGGTGGGCGTTTTCGTAGCGACAACTTCATCTTCGCGCAGATGGTCATGGGTCACATTGACTTTTGCTTGACACTGGATACATAGATATGTAACTACTGTAGCCGCCGCAGGTTGCTTCTCTTGAGCGCTGTGAACAGGCTTGTGTAAGGCTGAGTAGAAGTTCTCAAGAATATCAGGGCTTTCATGCAACACTCTTCGAGGCAAGGCGTACAATCGACGCTATAGTCAATCTCTAAATGTAGATAATGATGTGAAGTTGATCTCGGATCCCATTGCCAACAATCAGACAAGGGGGTTTCAATCAGAAAATCCGCGTTGTGAGACCAAGACTACTGGAACGGGCACGAGCTCGTCTTTCCATGTATGAGCTCGCTCACTATTATCACTTCGAGCACAATACCGAAAAATCGCGCTAGATACTCGAGGATGTTCAAGACGCAGATGTTTGGCTGTACTGATCACATTCTTCCAGGGTGTGCAGTAAGCGGTATCGAGGTAGTGCATGTCCCTATCGAAAAAATCATGGTGAGAAATGAGCTTGCAACTTGGACCGACTAAACTCGTCGAAGCGTTTTCTGAGGAAGACCGGCGGTCAAGACTCAGAAACGGGCGCGTTCATAGTTGAGTCCTGACAGATGCGATCCAAGATCAGGAACCCTCAGGGTGTGTTGGACGTATGGACAGCAACCTTGTACCTCCATTCCAGTTTCTACTCGCGCACTTGATCACCAACAACGACTCAGACACAATGCGGAAGAGGAGGGATATCCACAATCAGGGAAATGGAGCAACTATCGACGGCCATTACGAATTCGAGCTCACTGCCGCGAATAAGAAGGGGGCCGAAGCCAGGGGATCCCAAGGGCGAGACCACCGAGCTCAACTTGAGCGACACGGTTATCGTTTTCTACAGCTCGATGGCGACAGATCACTCGGCCTGTAGCTCTTTCTGGACTTTTCGCGACTGCCCGTTCTTTGAGACCGCTCGGGGTAAGATGGAATTTTGATATATAGCTGCGGAACCAATTGTACATCAAGAATGGGTTCAGTGAGGGGGAAACCCTGTGATAATGCTGTGTATCTGGCAGAGCGCGCAAGTGCGGCAATATACTTGTTTGTACGGGGCTTATACTCTCCTCCACCACTGCTTACGCATCCGATGTCCGATCCGGCACCGAGTCTAGTATCAAGTCTTAAACCCGTCGCACCTTCAGCACAAAGTTCCCGCCCAATCATGGCGGCTTACGCATAATTGTACCTACTATACCTCTCTAACTCAATTCTTGCGTATAGGCGGGGCTTCCGGATTTGTCTCAAACGCAGCATGTCTACTGCTGACTAGCTTTATCTCATGTCTGGACTTTGTTAATGTGGTGCGAGACTCCGGATTCGACATCGGCTTTCTGCGCTTCCCCTCGATTGGGGTCCGGGATGTACTCTCAATTGAGTCGCAGTATGTGCGCGAACTTTTGACTGTTTTCTTACTCTTGGATATGTCGTTGATTGCGCTTCTACAGGCATACTACTTCATTTGTAGGCACGGGTATGTTGATATTTTGAATGGAGAGCGGGACGCCGAACGGAAAGAGAGATGGGATTTGTATTCGGCTCGTTTGTTTCTCATCGAGATGACGTCTGTTGAGAGATGAAATTCTTGGCTTGGGTCTGGTTCTGTAGAAGATCGAGCTGGAGAATGAACTCTCAATTCTGCAGCGTCTCGAAGATTGTTTAGCAAGATCTTCGCTTTTATCGTGTGTGTACTTGGAAGTAATTCCTGCAATGCTGTGGAGTAAATCCTTACGAGACAGAAAGGTTCAAGCTTCTAGAGTCTCTTAGTGACATGTCTGCCTGAAGAAAAGCCCCGAGTATAATTTCACATATTAAACCTGACTTACAGCTCAAGCAATCGGAGTTCACGGAGGTGTCGAGGAAGAACAACGTCATGGTAGCAGCGTAATAAACGCCATAATCTTACATGAACACAACAGACTTTTGCAAAGCTCTGGGAACGAATCGGCTTGTATAGCATTATGTACTTGTGGAATTGAAATTGACATAAAAACAAATCATATTGACCGGTATTCTTGGAGCCTCGGTGACTAACAGCTTGTTAATCATGCAAGTATCATCTGTAGTTCCTCCGACGGCCATGTCGCAGTCTCCTCACTACCTATACCTATACCCGAGCCAAATGCTGTCACAACTACACTTGTCAAGACAACAGTAGTTGCGAACATCAAGCACGACGCATCATCTCCAAGATCTTCTTCGTCTTCTTGTCCATGCTCTTGCGTAGGGCTTTGTGCATGCGGCTAATCTCCTTCGGCTTCGGCACTTCGACTATGATATCTTCAGCCGGGTCTTCGTCCTCATCCATTGCGAAAGTCGTCTCGAAAGGTGAGGCATGGAGGACCTCAAAGCTCGTGAGGTGCTTAGCACAGGCAGTGTGATCTGCACATCGGTCAGATGGATGATGGTATGATGATATCGATGCAGGAACTCACCACAGGCCGCGCTCGACTCGTCCACCCACGGCAGGATCTGCCGGGCCAGCCCGAGATTGTGCAGCGCCTGCTGGCCGAGTGGGAAATGATACGGGCACAGAAGCGCAGACTGGGTGCCAGCGCAAAGGGCACAGAACGTCTGGTAGTGTCAGCTGCGTTCTGCTTCGCGCACGAGTAGGAGGAGAGAAGAATTACTGCCTTGCACTCGTCTGACACGTAGATGGCTGCATTAGCCGCGAAGCTTTCTCCACACGAAAAGCATCGCCACGTTGGGCGACAGGGTGTGCTGGGCGTGCTGGCATCCAGGAGCCGTTGCGTGGTGGTTGGTGCTGGACGGACGTCGCTTCCATCGCAGCTGAGAGACTGGTCGGGTAAGACAGAACCGCAGGTCTTCATCAATGGGTGCAAATCGAAATCGCACTCAAAGCAAGGAGCCTGTTCTTCGGCGGAAGGCATACGCGCCTGCTGAGACGGTGAGGTGGCGCACTTGGTCTGCAAGGTGTCAGCGTATAGCTTTAGGTTGCCGTCGGCATCAATGGCGTACCAAAGGCGGAGCTGCAGCGGTGGCATGCGTTGCGGTGTGATTGTCCCCGCGACTCAGCGGGCGCACTGCTTTCATGTTGCTGGTGGTCTGGACATTGTCAGCAGTGGATTGTTACCGTTGTCTGAGGCCATCTGCTTACTATGGGCGGCGGCGGAAGACAGTGTTTGTGCAGTGGGGGCAGTTGGTGGCTCACCGAGGGCGCCAATTCAGTATCGAAGTGACGCATTATCGTGAGTCGATGTCAAGTCGTGCGTTGTAGAGCAGCTTTTGGCAATTGTCGCTGTGTGTAACGAAGGAGGGGAGAAGTTGGCACTTGTGCCGACAACAAACCTGGGTGGGGTCAACGCGTGGTGAAAGTGAGGTCGGCCGTAGGTGGAGGCGCGTTTGCAATGGTCCGTCATAGTCCTATCGCGCGATATGGGCAATGCATCGTGTGCACCACGCTTCTCTAGCTTGCTCGTCTCAAGGGAAAGGTTCGCACTCCAGCCAAGATAGGTGCATTACAGAGTTGGAGATTGAGTATAGAAAATGGATGTTGTCTACCCAAACGATGCCTTCTTCGATGGGTGCTGGCGTCACGAGGAGGTTCTGCTTGTGGTGACTCCGCTAGGGAGCCCTGGGGTGGGAACGTGTCTGAGGGAAAGGATAACAGTCTGCTGGGCAAGGACGAGGAAAGATATTGTAAGAAAAACAATGTTGTCGGTGATGAACATGGTGTTATGTAGACTGAGGTTCAGCACGGGCAAACGAAGGGGTGGACTGTAGGGAAGAGAGAAAGCAAGAGGCTGGGTGTTACACGGGCGTGCACTTTTGCCCGGCAGCCTATACTAAGCTCGCAGTCCAGCGTCATGAAAGTCTTTGCGCATCGCGATAGCGGGATTACTGCGTGTTTCCAAGGAGAGACGCTGGCATCTAGGATGAGGTCGATGGAATGGATGGACAATGAGATGGGTGGATTGAATACACGATGAGATGAGGAGAACGACTGGGTTCCAGCGACAGGGATTGCCGCAACTGAGCGCCCTTGTCCTTGGCCACCGCAATGAACGTGTATCACTCCTTGTAAACCATGCAGAACCACGCTTTATAGACAGGGCGGTACAGATCACCCGTTTTACGGCCAAAACTACAAGATGCTGCATCTCTATAATGCAGCGATAATTATCTTTTCCAAATCATCTCGGGGGCCAAGTCTAGCAAGAAGCCCCTTTGGGAGTCTTGCATCCCCTCCCTTTTCAAAACATCGGGCCGTGATCCGCCCCAGCCGAGCCAAGCCCAGCTAGCCGAAGTTGGTGGATGAACCTTTCCCAACTATATGGTTTTCTACCATTGCAGGCAGCTTGAGTAGGAGAGCGCATTGCTGCGTTCCTGGATGCAAGGCACCCCACGTCACGCATATGCAAAGAGGTTGACTTAAGTCTAGACTGATATGGAGAAGATAAGCTGTCTAGCGGGGTTATTGCACTAGTCAAAGATTTGGAAAATACAAAAAGCACGTGAAATACATTTGTCTAAAATCTAATCTGCTAATAATGCCCACATGAACGCTTGCTCAGAGGATATGCTACGTTGAAATACAGAAACTAGGAAAAAAAAATACATAACGCCGGCAAATACAAGCAAAATCCTATCTTACTAGCTCTTTCCACGCCGATTTCCCTGCTATACTCAATCTTTATGGCTTTACTCTCAAGTCTTCCTCCCCGATTTCTGCATCTTGTTTATGAACTCATTAAGCCGCTGGACCTCTACATCTAATATCATAGCCTCCCTCTTGTAATGGTTCTTTTCGCGATTCATTGACCTCAACCCCATAATTTGAGCCTCTAATTGATCTGCCCATGCCTCTTTTTCATTCTCGAAATCCGTAATCATTGTGTTCTTTTGATACTCGAATTCCGCAAACATTGTTTCCTTTCTACGCCTGATCATTGTCTCCTTTTCACGCTCGAATTCCGCAATCATTGTCTTTTTTTCACGCCTTAATTGCGTATTTTCTGTATGTAACTCTTGAATTAGTGCGTCCTTATTAGTATCTGTTTTTTTGCTGTGCAACCGCTCAAATCCCGCTTCTATCTTATCTTGAAGCTCTGAGTACTTCACTTCCGCCGTGGCATTGGCTTCACACTTCGCGCATGGCGGCGGTTTTTGAGGGAGAATTGGACCAGCATTTATGTTGATGAAGGAGAAGGACTCGTCCTCTAGTTTTATCTTGCTTTCTGTCGTGGCAGTGGCTTCATACTTCGCGCATGGCGGCGGTTCGGGACAAGGAATGCCAGAAGTATTCTTTAGGATCCGGTTGTACATTTCCATCTTCCTTTTCTCTGTGGCATTGGCTTCACACTTCGTGCATGGCGACGATTTTTGAGGGAGAATTGGACCAGCATTCATGTTGGTGGAGGAGAAAGACTCGTCCTCTATTTCCATCTTGCTTTCTTCCGTGGCATTGACTTTACACTTCGCGCATAGCGGCGGTTGGTAAGAGAGATTGCTATCAGTATCCGTGTTGATGAAGGACTCGTCGTCTATTTCCATCTTCCCTTTCTCCGTGGCATTGGCCTTAGGCTTCGCCCATAGCGGCCTTTCGCTGCGTTCACAAACCACGAAACCAGCATTCATTTTGACGAACTCTATATTATTCATCTTCCTGTATCGCGGATAGTCCCAATACACCTTTGTAGACCAGTCCCAAAAGCTATTCTTAGGTCCGGCAGTAGAGAGTGATGTACGTGTCGTGTGGGGTAGGAGACGTTTTGGTATGGGTTTGTTTTGGCTTAAGCTCAGTTTCGCTGGGTGATCTAATTGCGAAAGTGGAAGACTGTGTTGAGAAGTAAGTTGTCGTTGATCTTGCTGTATCCAATTATTAGTTTTGAAGGGAACTTTGTATTTGTAGTCAGGCATAGCTATTACATTGTGAAAAATTCTACTGCAACGTTGTGAATTGGCTTTTAAACAATGTTCTGATTAGGGTTAACGTGTAATATCTACAATTCAGGTATAATGTGTGCACAATGCAGCCAAGTTACTTTACATCTAATCTTGAGATGGCAGTGAGTTAGTTCTGACCTTCATCAACATTGTGTTCTAGATAGCTTTCCTTGTCAAGAAAAGTGCTTGGTTCTGCTAGGATCTTTTCAGCGGAAAAGTGAACGGCCATAATTATCACGATAGCAAAGTAGTACATCAGACTCACAACACTGGCTGATTATAGCAAAAACTACGATGTCTCGTCTGCAAGAGAACGCGTTACAACATCCACCGTCTCACTATAGACCTAAAGAGCCACGAGCCCAGGCTCGACGATACGAAGTGTTGTCCAAGCTGATATCGAAAGTCGAGACAGACGAGTCGCTGTCTGCTTAACGGCCGCCTCGTGCCACTTGAAGTTCAACCACCTCCCGGAGAGAAGAGGGGACAGGTGCATAGTCACAGGGCGTATACCGTGCTCCGCACGACACGGCGAGAAGGCGCTCCATCACCATGATCTAGCTCTCATGCGGCATCGCATCGCAGCAGCTAACGGTCCTATTGAATTCTATCAAGGTGACCATGTGTCCGTTAGCTACTCTACACCGCAACCATCGACCGTACGCGCGCTGGTGGACTGAGCATTGGTAAGCGTCTTCACCACGCTCAGCGAAGCCCCACTAGTTCCTTTGCAGCCAACGCTGGCCATAAGACGCCTGAGAAGCAGCAGAAAAGTACACTCCGGACATGTAAACGCGCAGGTAACATTTCCCCGTATGTCGCTTCGGCCTGCTGCAGTACCTAGTCAGTTGAGCTGAGTATGCGGAGGGGAACAACAACCTGAGCTAGCAGCCTTACATAATAGATCTTTTCTAGCTGACAGTTACGTAACAACCTATCAAGCCACCGATTCATCAACCGTTGATGGGAAGTGTGCCTCTACTGCAAGTCTCACTAAGCCATTATGGTGCAGAACCTCTCGTTGAAATCATTGCAGCACCGCGTTCTGGAAGGCGAGTCGCAACATGCAGCTGGCGAAGGAGCTTTGTTTGTTGCGCCAGAGAATGCGGCTTAGGCTTAGTTGGACGGGCTCATCATGGGATCAGGTATTACACCCACGACTGACAACGACGACGACAACAACGATAAACCTTCCCCGGAAGCCACGACAAGAAGATAAGCTTGCGCAACGCATTTGAAAAATGGAAGCATGGATATACTGTACGCTGGCGCAGGTACTTGGAGTCATGTATAGATTTGATTATCCGGCTGCCGGTATTGTTGAGCCATCAGTGTCTTTAATGCTCAAGTAGTCTTGATCGACATGCCTCGGACATAACATTACCCTACCTTTGCCGGGTATTACCACACGTCTGATACGTGCTGGACATACTGAGCCTGGAAACCTTACTTGCGCAACGGTGAGTTACGTTCAACCACTTGAACTGCGAGGATAAGTCAATCTCTTGACGCCTGTTTGCTATATCCCAACTGTGATCAAGTGCCGGTCACTCATCTATCTCCTGTGTACGAGACACTTTCAGTAATCCGGATCACCATTCCGTGAGCTGCGGAACGACCAATATGTCCCTTTGAAAATGACATAGCAATCTAACTCCATTCTGATCCGCCGTGAAACCTGCTGAACGTATCAACGCGGTTGCCTAACTAGCATGTGAGCTCAGATGTAGCGCTTGGAGTGTCGAACTCAGTCTTTCCTAGCATGGTGGCATGGATCATGTAGGCTGCGGCTTAGGCGGCAATAGACGCAGATGCGTAATGCTTGGTCGGACGAAGCCATTGCCTGTGATTTCAACTGTGTAGGCTTTATCGGCTCCTGTTTCGGTGCGCGTGGGTCCGTACATGCGAGGACGCGGAGTATTGTCGACTCCGGGTATGGCATAATCGACGCCTGGTTGATGGAGAAGTAGCTGGTCAGCCAACTTTGGATGAAAGCAGTCTTTGAGCTCTTTGCAAACGAAAGCTGGTTTCAGGGCTTTGACATCAGCGTCGCTCATGGGTGCACGTTCCATTCTCGCTATGTACTTGATGAAATAATCTCGTGTAATGGCAGCAAGGTATGCAGCGTGGCTTACATCTTTGTCGAACAGTTGTGGCGGGCGCTCGGTCTGGTCCTGGTGGTATGGTTCTGTCCTGGTGATCTGGTCTAGGTGGTGTGCATCGGCTAGACATGCGGCGGCTGCACTGACCGTGCAAATGTCGCCGGCAGCATTTGTTTGTCGTCGCGCGCTGTTCGAGATATTGCCATTGTCATTAATAGTGTCGGGTATGCCTTGATCCAGGCAGTTGAGGGAGCAATGAACAGATCGAAGGGCGAGTGATCGGATGGAGCCAGAGGAGGTAGTTGGTTCGTGGAAATTGAGCCAGTTTGTGCCGAGCATGACACCTACGGCCTCGGTCAATTGCGCGGCGGCGACTCCACCGGCGAGGGCGAGGACGACAGGGTATTGAGTCTTAGTCGTTTGTAGGCAATGATCCTTCACGGAGCTGTGGTTGATGGAACACGCGCTTGATCCAGTGCCTACTAGAGATTTGATCGGTCTTTACTTGTCTGGGGCAATGCGAATGTGTCCTGTGAATTTGAGACGTTTGGCTGTGTGTAGGTGTGACGATTCGAAGATGGCGGCGGCGGATCCATAGTGACTAGGCTATGGGCGACCTCTTGACGAGTGTGGTGGTCGTGTGATGCGACGCGGCGCGCGGAGATACAGAAATGACGCCATCCATGCTCCTGAGTGCGGTTTCACTCAAGAGCTGATGATGGTGTGGCTCTTAGACGCAGCTGTAGTCGTCGATCTCTCTTTAACCCTTGTCGCCGTCGAGTTCGAATGTACCGTTACTCGGATAGGCGTCTGAGTTGTGAGCGTCATACCCAGCGTCTAGAGCGTTCGGCTTTAGGCCGCGGATCTGGTCGAACCGGGTTGGCTCCTTGCGTGGGCAGTTGCGAGCTTGAGGAGCGGTACTCTGTCAGACTTGAAATTGCCTTTTCATCGGCAAGAATAGTCTGCTGCTCCATTGTTCGGCCGGATATTGTTTTCGCTCAGTGCAACGGTTATCAGAGGAGTTGCTATGTGGCTGGCGGTTGCATGACGCTAGCGAGCAGTCGAAGGGGTTTAACAGCGCCGCTATGCGAGGTGCCTTACGATGCAAATCAATTTCGCGGTGGCCAATGTCGTGCGCGCGGGTTCAGTCAAGGAAATTGATCAATGTTTCGCCAGCAAATGACTTGACACAATTCTCATAGCCAGGCGATATTCCATGAGTGATGACTTGTTGAGGACAGGATGGACGTGCATGAACCGGGCCTCCCATTCCATGAGGGGCTCGTCGGCCTCCTGCTCGAGCGAGGCATCTAAGATTTGAGGTTCAGCGTCGACGATCTTCTCATGTATGTTGCTATGGTAGTATGGGTCCAGCGCGATCAACGGGTCGCTGTAGTGCATTGCGCAGTCAGAGACATGTTCAATGAGTTCCTATGCATGGACCTAAATCTTGTCTTCTAGACAGGCAATAGCGGCTCAGCTATCTGTGTAGGTCTCGCACTTGTGAGCGGCCTGTCGCCTCCGCTTGTCGTACTTCGCTCTAGGTTCCTCGCCGTGTCAGAGCTTGTTACCGAGCCACTTCTGCGAAAAGCCAGTGTTGTGGTTGCGCATCATACACGGTGTGGCTGAGAGGTTGAGACTCAGGCGAGATGGGTGACTGTATCTCGCGTCGTCGGGCATGACGAGAGTTGCGGTGGCGTGGTAATCCGTCCCACACGTGTGGAGATTGGGACTGTTGTAGCGGTCGCGGTTGCGGAGGTAGTAGCTTGCGGTGTGATGAGTTGCTCGGAAGGTGCCAAGATTCAAACTTGGGCTTGTTGCGCAGCCTTGCAGAGGCCAGGCCGGATGGGAGCGGTGGGGTTTGTGTAGGTCCTGGACAGGACAGCGTAAAGCAGATCGATTGGGTCACGCCGCTGCAGACGACACGTTGCTTCGCTCTTTTCCTGGACCAGATCGACCAAAGCTATGTCCTTTTCACTACGTTGTGTCTCTGCCATTGTTGCGCGAGCGTTGCTGGTAGCCAGTTCCTTACGCACCCTCTGGAGATTTTCATCCATATGATCGTAGTCTACATCAGAGTTGGCGCGATTGACGAAGTATTGCTCAGCCTTTTTGCGTTCGACTTCATAGAGCTTGTAGAACTTGTCTGCGTCTTCCCGCTCATGGTGAGAGTTCTTTTGCAAAGCATGGACGACCGCCTTTGCTTCAGAGACCATGCCTGTAGCTTCTTCGAGTTTGCTAACGCGAAGTCGGAACTGCTCGTTCTCGACGCGTAAGTCCCTGCGATCGTCGGTGACATCTTCGAGTTCAGCTTCCAAAGCAAGCATGCGGGGCTCTGTCGAATAGAGGTCTTGCCGTCGAGTTTCAGCATAGACATCGTCACCTTGAGCGCAGTTCCCAGCGAGCTCGTGGTCGTGAACGTGGTCGCGAACGTAGTTGTGAACATGCTTGTGAACGTGGTCGTCAACGTGGTCGTCAACGTGGTCGTCAACGTGGTCAACATGGTCGTTGTGTTCAAAAGCGCGTTCATCGGCGCGAGCGCATTCCAAGTGGTGACTAGTATGCTCATTACAATATGCAAACAGTGATCAGCTTGGGAATCGACATCATTCTGGAAGTCAGTGGTGTCTTCAATGAGGAGCGCAGTTGATGGGTTTGAGTCGTCTCCAATGGGGTCTTGGTCTCTCAGGATTGTGTATTCGCGATCCTCATTGTAACTTGCAAGTTACACAGATTGTTCTTTTTCGTACGTGAGTCGCAGCCGTGTGGCGTCTGTCTCGGCGCGGTACTTGATACGGGAATCATGGAGGTCTAGGCGGTAGGTATTCTCGTCATCGTTCTGAATCGTCGTTTCTGTCGACTCCTCCTCGTGAACTGGAGGTAAGAGGGGAATAGGCCAAGGACGGACTGTTGCGGCGCCGGGAGCGACAGATGGAGGGTCGCTGGTTTGGTGGGTCGTCTGGCTGCAAGAGGCGTATCGTAGGAGAGACATCTTGGTCGGCGCCATATAATCCTGGCATAGTTGAAATTGTCGAACATGATGTAATGCATCAGCTATTTCATTTGCCTGGGGCATATACTTCTACATTGTGCGTTTAATACTTGTACAATCAAACATTCGATTATTACTTATCACTCTTCTTGTGCTCTGTTCGATAGAACTGGCCATGCTGATTGCGGAATCTCGGATGAGGTAGATCTGTTGCGTTTATTTGCCTTGTGAAGGGGCCGCACTCAAAGCGGGACGGCTGATTTACAGTTTGCCCACTTACTCTGCTTCAGGAAGAGCCACGTGATCAACCACATGTTTGTAACGTCTTAATGTCGGCAATAGAGCGTCTTTCGACAACACGCTGGGCATCCGGCTCATATACTAGGCTTGGGGGGTGGCGCGTGTGGCGCGGTCTAATCGTATCCGTCTGCCGCTCGGGTGAAATCCTAATGTGATCTTTTGCCGATCGAAAGGTAATCTTAGTGTCGTCGGGCGCGTCGATTGAGTTGCTCAGCTTGTTTCATGCTCTGAAAGGGGCCATCGCAGTATAGTGTAAACGTACGTAACACGTATCACAAGGGACATAGAAATCGGATGATTGATTGCCTCAAGGAAGTGAGGTGTTGGGTAGCGATCAAGCTAGCTTCGTGTGGTAGGTAAAAGATCGTGAATTCGACATATTGCACCTTTGTATCGGACTGGAGCATACCTCAGTTATAGAAACATGGGTAGGATAGGTCGTGACGCAATCGTAGGCCTTGGAGTAGAGATGTGTAGGGACTGTAAAGATTCCAAGTCGAGGACATTCGCTTATACATCAGTGAAGCAAGTAGGGAGTTGCAGCGGCGTGGCAGAACCCACACCGTGCACTTCTTTGGTACTAGAAAGGGCGTGTATAGCGACATTCTGGAGGTAAAGCATGGCGTCGCAGACTGGACAACCCCTGGGGCCAACGCAGTCCGGGCCTCGGATCTAGTGTGCTTCCCAGGTTGCGTTGGTCTTGAGTGGACGGACGTCTGGACGTGATCGTTCCTCGAAAGTTCAAACGACTTGTCTCTAGAGTAACGGCAAAGACGATACCGGACAGGTCAATCCATCTGATCTTGTGGACTCTGCCAAGACCTACGAGGTTTGCGAGGACTGAGCGTGAACCAGGAGACTCGGGGTGGTTGTGTAGCGTCGGCTGTATGGGCAGGAGGTGGAATATGGGATGTCGGTTTCCGAGTTTTCATTCGATCCGCGCCCAGAGCAAGTCTGTTGTCGTGCGATGAATGTATCGTCATGTGATGGATGTATTGTCGCGTGATGACTTTTCGTCGCGTCACGTCCTTGTGTCGTATGATGGATGTATCGTCGTTTGACATGTGCATTGTAGGGCGGAGAAAGTGTCGAGGTACCACGTCGGGCTTGACGTGGGCGATGTGCGCAACAACACAATTAATACGGCTAAACAGGCATTCACCTTTGAGTGCCGAGTTCTGATCAACCTCGGTCAAGATGTGCGCCTACTAATATCAGGCATAGATCGTCTGTTGAGTGACCTCACTGCGGTCGACGCTCTCCGCACCTCTGACGCCTATCAATGCATCCCTCTTCGTCCTGGTCGTACGTCTTTGTCGTATCTCAGTGACTGCCATGTTATACCCGTTATTCTGCACTACCGTCCTTGCTCAGCTGGTTGATATTCCGAGTGATACAAGCTGACAGTATCGTGATGGCAAACACCCACCGATCTGCGCGACCGGTCCCGCACATCGTCCGCTCAAGAGGCTGTGAGAGGTCAACAACGCACCTTTAACACATGCTGGGATCCATACCAATGTCCAGCATCCTTCCATGTTGCTGTCCCCTATTCTGGCTTGTGTTGATGTGTATCCCTTCCCTTTCCTCTTCGGATGTCATGGTCAGATCTCCACGGGGTCTGTACAACACAGCGCGCTTTTCAAAGCGCCCGTCTTCTACGCCTCCTAACTATGCGTATACTCTGCATCTGCCAAATCCAATGCACGTGGCGGGCATGACCCTTGTGTCCAAAGAGCAGCTGCGCGAGAAAAGCATTACCATCAGGATGTGAAACGACCGAAGAGCAAATGCCATGATCCTGGTGGACTGGCGGATTCTCGAATACGTTGTCAAAGAGACCCCTAGGATGTCAACCAGAGAGCTTACGTAAGACCCAGCGAAAAGCGGGATCAATGTGATCAGCGCAACATCTCCGGCTCTTGCACTGGCAGCCGGACTCCATTCGCCAAGGAAACAACGTCTGCGTATCAGGCGCAGGAAGATGGGGTACTGTGTTGCAAGCGAGGCGAGCTGACAGTATACAGCGGATGATGACGAAGGAGGAACTAGGTGACTACGGATGTTACCAGAGAAAGTAGCGAATATCTCCTGATGTTGGCCTGTCCGGTGGTCATATCCATCCTGCGCTGTGATGAGAGCTTTCCAAACATCACAGTAGATGTGTGAGGTTCCAGTGAAACGCATTATTGAATACCCTCGTAAGGCAAGGTTGATTGCATGTTGTGCTCCTCGGTTCAAAGTGGTTTGGCGGTTTGGTTGGATGCCACGCCTGGCTATATCAAAAGGCGAGCGGGTGTAGTTCCGCGTCCAAGGGACATGTGAACAAAAGATGGCGACAAAAGCGTCCATGAGGCCGACCAACACTCTACCTCCTCAAAACAGCAACTCATCGTAACTCACACACCAAAATCCGCTGACTGAGCATTCTGTATGGTTTGCTCCGCGAGAGCGATGTTTGAAAAGTTTGACCTGGCCGTGTCGGCCTATAATACTTCAAAGTCGAAGCACATGCCGCAAACCTCGCCTTCTTGCTTCCCCCCCCCCCCCAATTCCATTGACGAGGCGGAAGAAATGACAGAATTTCGTAGCGTAGAGGCGGTACGGGAATGTCCTAAGTGGACTTGAATGTGCGCGACGCAACTAGGATCCGTGACACAAGGGAGGAAAACGAGTCAGGACCTCGATCTTGTCGCCAAGGCTGTCTCAAGTCTAGCCATGGTAACGGCGAGTGTGGTGGTCAATTTGGGAGAGCCGATCACCGTTTAGCTGATTGTCGGAGGCGCGATCCCAGCTTCTCCTTCGCAAGAGACGATGCGCAGTGAAGGCGAGCCCAGCCAGACACATCTTCAGCGTCGATAGATGCAGTCATTTCTCAATCTCGCCGCGCTTGGTATGAAAAAATACATAAACAAGCTACATGCAACCTCTTGTAAAGCCCTTTCTCGAACATGTCAAGGTGTAGCCGAGCCGATCTGGGTACGGTCCCGCGATGAGACCACGTTTGAAATGAAGTCGATTTGATACTAGCAGGGACACATGTTGATGTCCTACAGGAACAGGGGAACTGTTCCGCGCATACTCCACGGAGACAAAGACTGATGCCGGAGGGCTCTGGAGTCCAGACTTGCAGCTCCTCCAAAACGAACAAAACCAGAAGAGTTCAATACAAGAGGAAGCAGCGAGGATGAACTCAATGTCATCGACTTCCAGACCATGGCGCAGATCGAGGACTGGACGGCGGCGTTTATTAAGAGGATCGAAGCTTTGATTGATAAGGCAAGAGCGACCGTCAGGTCTGGCGCTGCGTAGGAAGTCGGTGTTTCCTGGGGTTTACCCTTGATGACGGCACACCCACGTCTGTGGTAGCTGGAGATGTCATGTGGTTCTCTTCTGTAAAGCTCTTCGAGCGTCTCTCGCTCCCCCGTGTTCTTCAGCCGCTACCGCTTCTTGATGTAGATGTTCAAGACCGTAGCGACAAACCTCGCACAGGACGTGGGCGGCTGCTTGGCTTGGTGCAGGTCCGCGGCGGACGAGACGTCGAAGGGCTGGCTCGTGTAGCGGCGTGCATTATCTCCTCAGTCACCTGCGAGCAGAGGTTGCTGGCGCGTGCAGGCCTGGAGAGTAGGTCCACGGGTGCCCTCTCCACAACACGGCCGAGGGACGCGAGGTGGGCTGGATTGCATCGTAGCGGCAGATATGCCTACTCGCAGGCGACGCCGTTGGATGAAGTCGATGTCTAGTCGGTAAACACAAGTCAGCTGACGACGTCCATGACGGCGGTATTGCTCAATAATTACCAGGCAGGTTTCTGCTTCGACAGGCGCGCCGTGTTTCGCTGGGCAAGGCGTGTGGGTGGTTGGGAAATCGACGCGACAAGCGGGGTGGAATCCGCGCCGTATTTACAGGACGTGTCACTCTTGTAGTCTGAAACGCATCGCTTGCGCCACTTAGTCACTACCTCGAACCCGCAAGGGAAGGTCTATTGTCGTTGTTCAGCTCCATCTTGACCGACGTGCGAGCGTGCATGTTAGCGCCATGTTCTGATCGTGGAGTCGACCCTCTAGGCGCTAGCGACTCGTGATCTTTAGCGTGATCGCCTCGCAGCGCACTAGGACTAGGCGGGCGCGCGCTGCCTGTTTCTATAAGCTTCATCTGGAAACGAGAGGCAGCTCTCCCGTGCAGTTTGTCATCTGGTCAGAGATCAAAACCCAAGGCAGGAAAGGATGTGACGAACTGATTCTCACGAGCCCATCTACGTAGAGAAGGATGTTCGAGCAGATCAGCGAGTCGTGAACCAGATTCTTTGACTCCAGATACCTGACGCTGCTCATGGAAAACTCTCTCGTGATTGCAGGATCATATCGGCTGGTTCCTGATCTAACGGCCTCGAAAAGCCTGAGCCTTATAGGGAAATGCTCGGGATCCGCATTTTGGTTTGTGCACCGCGTCTGCTTTCCCACGCACATCCATCTTTGCAATGCCCTTCTCTGCATTGGGTGTATCGCGTCTATGCTGCTAGTGCATAATAGTAATAGACAGACCAGGCCTACTTGATGTACCTGAGTCGGACTGTGTGTAGCAGTTAGTGGATGAGATCCTTCAGGGATCGACGAGATCCGGATATCAGCAGCAGCACACCTCTTAACCGCTCTGAACAGATCAGTCAGAGGCGGGGGGGATCGAGTGGAGCGAGACTGGCAACAGGCCAAGCGATATTGATAGCCATGTTAGGTTTCAAGTATGCGTGCGGATCTAAGCTCCTTATCAGCGACAACTTCAAAGATGAAACAATTTGCACCAGGGACAACTCGCATCAGGGACATACACTTCGAGCCCTCGCAATAAGAGGGACTGGCTGGGAATGAACGAAAACTGGCAGCTTCTACGATCTCTCCTGAGACTTTATTAGCAGACCTACGCAGTGATGCTCGAAGCGAATACCTGAAGTTGTCTCTCCCGGATTGGTTTCGGTTGGGATTCCTCCACGAGCGACGATGAATCCTGGCGGCGAGGACCTATGGAATAGAACGCTGGACCGTAGACCTATAACAGATGTTAGCAGCGAACTATGGAACATCTTGATCGAAGAGTACTCAGCTAAGAAGACCCCAAACGATGGGAAGATCTATTACAAGATTATAGAAAACCAGGGCCATCACTTACCTCTCCTAGACGGCTGCCCACACATCTCCTCATTCCGCTCGGTGCGGTGGGAACAGACGTGTAGCACGCATTTATTCACGACGTGCACCACTGCACAAGCCAGGAAAGTAGGCTTAAACGCGTTGCTCGCAGATGGTACAGCGTGACTATAGCTCCTCATCCCCGGCCCCTTGGTGGACGCCCACTTTGCTATGCGACTCATTCCATTCATTCAATGATATGCTACAGCGTGTGCAAGGCAATAGACACAGACGCCGTTGTACCGCCGCTCTTCTCCAGTGCGTGCAGCGTCTCCATAACTCCTGCTAGTTGTGTGTTATTGCGGCTATGCAGCGCGTGATGTATACGGACATGAAGTGGTAGATTGTGTGCGAGCATGTCCAGTATGTGCGAGCTGCCATGGACGACGTGTGTGTAGCATGTGTGGCTGGAGGTCTCGTGGGTAGACGCGACAGACATCAGCGTTGCATCGCGTTGGTCCTGTCGGCGCGTTAGTCGTGCGGGGAATAGAGCATTTCCAGGCTATCTCACTGCTCATCTTGTCTCCACTGACTTAGGGGGTATAGTGCTAATGAGTGCATTTCGCACGTCTGGCTGTCCAGCGCGAGATGTGCCCTCCCATGGTGCGTGCTTTCCTCATGCGATGCCAAGGCCGAGGTTGCGGCGCACACAATACGTTTGTTGACGAGAGGCTGGCTTCGTAACGGGCTTTCAAAGTGTCTTGATTTTACAACGTTGCTATTCAAGGCGCCGCGATTACATCGCCTGTCGTGATTGTTATATGCCCTGGAAGTTTGTGGATGCTCACCATCTGGCATACCACCGGGCCTCGAGACAGTACTCGGTCACGCGATGAAGCTTGGCCTGTTTGGGCTAGTAGATATCACCACGTGACTGAATATTTTCGAGCGAGCAAGGGCACGCTGCCAATATCAACTTGATAGGCAGTAGAGAGCGATCCGCATTGCCATGACGCAACTGAGATGCCGCAGCTATATTACCGCACCCTCCTCACACAAGCCAGCCCGAGAAGGCTGTTCGTGCACTTATCACCCTCAGCGCGTATCACATCACTCTCAAGAGAATCATCATCTGGTCGCGCGCGACCTCTGATCCGCCTGCTATAGCCTACATGGAACATGAATCAGTCCACAGGAAAGCACGCCTCGATTCTGGGGCTTTGAGTCATGCACTACAACTCATTGAAAGCCTCTTACTTGTTCTCGATAGCTCAAAAGCGGTACGTGTCCTGATGTCACCTTTCGCATCTACGGTAGTCTGTTCTACAAGCCTACTGCTTTCCCTCAACTAGCTAACCCTCACATTCAGTACCTCCTCTACTTGCCATTGGTCTCCATGCCATCCAGTAATTACTTCCAGCATCGGAGCTCGCATCCGGCGCCATCTTGTCCGACTACTCGGCACGGACCGCCGGCCGCGCTCCGTACCGCTGACTAGTACTGCTGATTCTCCACGCGGAAGATGAATAGGCGATGCACTAGTAGTAATGTAGCGTATTACGCCCGATTTCGTTGTTGTCTAATTCCACCTTTGATCGAAAACGTAATGCAGATGTTAGATGGCAGACATCAGGGCTCTTGCCGGTGCGAGTGAAGCTGGCGTGAACATATACTTCTGTTACAAGATACAGTCTAATGAAGGGCCTCGATAAGCACATCCGATAGCTTTCAGAATAGCCTAGAAGATTGAGTGCAATGTTTCCAATGTTTTGGTCGGGACGCATACCACAAAACCATTAACCGACTTCTGACACTGCAAGTATCCCCTAGCATGATAGACGAAGATGAACACCCTATCAACAATGACAGAGAAGGAGATGCTATTGATAACAACGACGAGGAATGGATTAACACAAGAACAGAGGGAAAAGGCGCTTCCCCCTCTTCTCTCTCACGTTATGGCTCATCATATCATCTCTTGATACTTGAGCCCGCAGGCCCTGCTCCACCTCTTCTCACTACCGACGCCGGCAGATATTTGCCATTGGCTCCGCATACCAAATCTCAGAGGTTGTCGTTATTTGTCTCGCGGTATCGTTTTGCTTGTTTTCAATCGTGGAATCTCGGGTTTATCAGAACGAAGAGGCGATTCTTGACGTAGACTCATAGCAGATCAATTCATGTACTTGAATTAGTATGCTACGTTCAGTTCCTGTTTATTTGCTACAACTGACCCAGCTCTTCTCCGCTCGCAATGCCTCCTTGGGTCAGAACGGTCTGAATTTTTCAAGCGTGATCTGACATACAGAGGCGATGGGAATATGAATGTTGAGTGTATAGACATGTAGAGGCCCATTGCTGAGGACTCAACACTCTTGAAATGTCTGCAGAAAGGAAGGTCAGCTCTATAGTTGTGTCACAGATGATATTTTGTCCAAGGACATTGGTTGGGACGGTTGAGGGTAATACGAGAAGTGTTTAACGCGGGCAACAGGGAGTGCAAGTTGTTGCGTACCGTGGATGAGTATGTAATCGAACAGACGTCGACGCTCTTAATGAATAAGCAGTCTGATACAGTGCACGTAAGATAGCCAATAAATGCAAGACATTCTCATCTACGTTCTCGACAAAAGCAATCCGCAAGAACTAAAGCGGGGTTGAGTAGGCGCCGGGATCGCAGCTGGGGTAAAAGAGCGACAAGCACTGACCACCGAAGAGCTTAATCGAGATCGCATAGACTTGACGACGGTTATTACAAAACGTCATATCGATCAAAAACGGAATAAGAATCTGTTATTGCGCCTAAACCGATGATAATGGGTTTGCAACTGGACAAAGCTTGATCGACCGATAAAAGGATTGTTGACGGATGTAGTAGTAGTATCCGAGTCCTTGAGAAACGATCCGAAGTTTTAAGTATCCGGATAGGTGATATTTTCAGAACCCTTTCGTGATGTCCTACTACTGCAGCCGTATTACGCGATGCATGCGGTACATTCCAATAAGATAGGTTTCAGCCACGCCCTGCTAAGTTTAGTCTTTGTTACACAATCGTCACGCTGCACATTCCGGGCCGACGCGCCACTATCTCTCGCGCGTTGTGCGCAGACAAAGATACCCCGTCCTCGCGAATACTACAAGAGGTTGATGATATCCCAATATCATCTATTAGGCTCATTTACGAACGAAGTATCCACAACTATCGTATTTACATACAGTTCTTGAGTATGTCCGACGAAAACAAGTCACAAGAGACCGACGCGACAGGTGTGTCTCGCCCATAGTATTTCCTGACTTTGACGTGACTGACAAGCAGACCAAAATGCGGCGGGCTCTCGCTCCGCCATTTCTAATTACACCCCTCCGGACCCCATCGAAGTCCAAAATTACGCCGCAGGAATTGCTCGCCTGAAAGGCTTCCAAGTAGCCTACAACGAAAACGTTATTACAGAATCTCGTTTTCGTCGCATGTACAATCAAGCTCAAGACACCGTACGCGTCGCCGACATGAACGCTATACATTGGCAGGAGCAAGCTAAGTCATGGCATGGGGAAACTCTGAAGTTCCATGGCATGCTCCAGGAACAGAAGGTCGTCAACGACCGTCTACAGCAAGAAGTGAGGCTCGGCCTTGCTGTTGTGCGACAGGTCGTTGGGAAGATGCCGAGCGTGACTGCCGATCAACACCAAGCCATGATAGAGAAACTGGGGAACGTTACACTGGATGAGCGTGATGGACTGGAGGAATACGAGCTCTCGGACAAAGATCTCGTGGATATCCTGTTACAGCGATTGGACAAGGCAGTCCAGGAGGAGGCGCGCCTGCGAGAAGAAGTGACCGTCGACGAAAGAGATCGGCGATTGAAGATCCAAGAGATGAAGGACAAGGTCAAAGGTAAGCCCGAGCAATCGAATACACTAGTATATCGGCTGACATTCTCAGACGCTGAGACGACGTTGCTATCGAAGGATAGGGAGATTAAACAACTTCAAAAAGAGGTCCTGGTCCTCAAAGACAACCTTGCAAAGGCAGAACAAAACTCCGACCAGGGCCCCATCCAGCGTGCTCCGAGCGATGAAGTCAAAAACCTAACCCACGCCCTCCAAGACATGTATATCTTCTACATCACAGCCTCGACGGCCCTAACTGTAATCTATTCACTGGCTCATATCTGGCGCCCAGCCAATGTGGTCTGCGAATTAGAACGTAAGGGCATGTGGTACATCAAGCATCAACTCTTTGTCTACTCAATAGTCATGACAGATCCTGAGTCTGGTTTGCTTAGCCACCATCCTGAGGTGCGCAAAACAATATGGGCAGCTGTTTCAGCCATGCCGGAGCTTCAAGAAAAGACAGAAGATAGCTTCTGGCGCAGGTTTGGCGTGAGCCGTCTGCTCAGACTCCCTGAGGGTATGAAGAGACAAGCTGAGGACTGGCGCAAACTACGAGAGTTTATTGAAAAGGAAGCGCGGACGACAAATGAAACAAGGTGGAAAACACTTCATGACCATTGGCAGACCTCCTGGGCCGAAAGCAGACCGTCGGGGGAAAAGGACGTGTGAAAAGAGAGCAGCCTGAAAGAACATGTATCTAGACACTATCAGAAATCCTCTAGCAACAATTCGATCATTTCCTTCACAAGCTGGTTCGCCCCGCTATCTACACAAAGCCGCGGGATCCCGATCTTCTCCAGATGCTCGAATGCTCCCTCCATCTTCGTGTAGCTATAGCCCCACATTGCATCTTGCCTTAACTCGTGCGAAAGCCAAAGTAGCGACCCAAGCCCAAGTCTCGTTGCAAAGAATACATAGAAACTGGCCATCTTGCGCCATTCAGCTAGCCTCGCACACCATGCCGCGAACTCAATCTCGCACTCAGGGTGACTTTCCACGAATCTTTGCCACCGCTCCTCCACACCTTTTTCAAACAGCTTGGGTAATTTGACGTACACGCTCCTCATGCTACCAACGTCCTCAGACAGGAAATGGGAATGCTCGCGAAAGAATTTCTCCTTGCTGTTCTCCGCGGAATAGGTCTCGATGAAGAAGAAGATCATGAGTAGCATGTGTACGGCTGAGAAGGTGTCCATTTGATGCATAAACAGGAGACGACTAGTCATCACGTCTATCGAACGACGTGCGCGTGTCTTACCATTGGCGGGGATCAGTGGCGCTATATTGGCGGTTAGGTTCTCTGCCGCGGATTTCGATAGCATAGACATGATAGACGGCGCACAAGCGGCTTTGATGGAAGACATGGTAAGCCTCTCGAATCGTATGGCCCACTGTACAGTCTTGGACACCGACTTCTTCACGCCTCGTGGTGGTTTGGTGCGTTGCGTGTTACCTTCGCTGTCACCGTCGCCACTGTTTTGGCCAGACTTGCTCCCAGAAGCTTGTTGCAAGAGGCGCTCGTGTTCAGTACAAGTAAGTAGTACGTGATTCTCGGGTATGGCCTTGGCTTGAAGATTGCGAAATTGCGACTTCTCAATGACCATGTAGTTTTCGGAAACGATTCCAGCTTCCAAAGCCTGTAGCTGAGCCTTCTTGATAACGACACAGTCTGGAGGGCAGTGGACGATGGGAGCTGCAGTGCGCGCCTCGCAAATAAGACGATCAACTTCTGCGCGCGGGACGATGGTGTGGGTTGGAAGGACAATAGCAGCCAGTGTGCGAAGATTGTTTGTCATAGACTCTGTCCATTGGGGGGCTTGATCGAGAGCCTGCAATGTACGGTGAACAGCTTGCAGGTTCTGGAGGAATGAGTTAGGAAATGCTATATTCCGAATAGAACCAGTTTACTTACTGCTGTACATTCATTGTTGTTAAGAAAGCGCTGCAGGATCTTCACAACAGTGACGAGATCGTATGGCTCGCACTCCCACACCGTGTCGTCAACGTTGTTCCACGGATCAACATTGATTGACTCATTCTTGTTCGGGTTGTGAGTTACACTGGCGGAACGACGTGCTGGTGATGGGTTACTAAGCTCGCTAACCCGCACATTGATGTGTCTCTCCTTCGTGAGAGGTGGGCTCAACGGCATGCTGATCTCCTCTGAAGGCGTCCTCTGAGACGACCTATGTAGCACGTTGTCCATCTCCACATCGAGTATCTCTGCTGCACCGTCTTTGACCAGATCCGCAACCTCAATCCTATCAATACCGGAAGCCGTAGAGGTTGTGTCGTCGTCTGTCTCACTTGCGACGCTGGTAAGATCTGCACTCTCATAGAGAGAGTCGTTGTCTTCATCGCTTAGATAGCCTCCTTGTTCGCCTGATCGCCGCGTTGAAGCAGAGCGGCGTGAGAATGCCCGGTAGCGCGGGTTGGTATGAGCGGGGGATGAACTCTGGCGGACTGATCGTGGTCGGGGGTGCGACATATCTGCCTGTGTATTGTTAGCGGTTGTAAGATGCTGCAAGGGCTCAACGTTCTTCATGCCATGAGATAAGACCACGATAGCAAAAAGCGTATTGACGGTTGAGACGGTGCAATCGAGGCAATCTAGGGAATTCCAATCACGCAATACAAAACAATGACGAAGTAGTAGATTGCCAAGCACATATTGCATGTTTGTTTCCCCTGCAGATAGGGTTGTACAAGGCTTGGCAATTTTGTTAACCAAAGTAAATGAGGATACAAGCGTAGTGCAAAGAATTGAATCAACCTCGCACGTCCGTCTAGATCCATGTTTTCGTACGTATGTGAAGGGCCGACCAAAAGACATAGGTGCACACGTCTAAGCGCACTACACGTTCACCCTGCATGAACAAAAAAGTCCTAATCCCGAGAACCCACTTTAAAGTGTTACCTATTCATGCTCGTCGTCTTCTTGGGCTGCTGATACCCCTATATGTGCATGATTGATGTTGTTCTCGCGAAGTAAACGCCTTAGCTGATCAATCTCATGGCTCTGCTGCATCGTGTACCTTTTAAACTGCTTTTGCTCTTCCTGCGTCGATGAACTAGCAGGTTTGCGATGTACAGGCCTGCTACCCCCGACTCTTTCACTTGAATTACCTGCTGAGCTATACACTTGTCCACCTTTTCGAACTCTTTTTGTCAACTGATCAATGTCGGAAAGAGTGTTTTTGTTGTTATCAATACTGTCACCGTGTTCGGCTACGAATCCCATAAATAAAATGCATGGCAGTGGCTTGTTATGACTTGTCCAGAGAGTAGCAGACAAGAGTTTGGACAGCTGGGTTTATATTAGTAGATGACCTGGGGTACATGAGGGCACTTACCATGAATTTACCAATCCATCCCCGAGCTGACAATGGAAGTGATTCTGAACCCAAGGTACGCTCGCTCGATGCGATGGCTATAAGGATTTCCTTGAGATTGTTGACACTGCTCTTAATGTACTCCGACTCCTGGCGTTGTGTGGTCGATATGTTGACTCCCAGATTTTCCTTGCCAGCAAGGTCGACGATCGTTAAAATTCCTTGGGGATCTCCGCATGAATCGTATATCTGCAGTACAAACAGCGCGTGGCTTCGCGAAGACACGTCGTTGTGAGTTGTTTGACCAGTTTGTCGCCTCTTCAAAGCACTCTTAACTGCTTTAATTGTGTCTTCTCTCGGCGACGTCGGGTTTCCGAGAAGTGAGCCTCCGTCCTGATATTCCGGACACCAATAATCTGGTCCCATTCGTACACGAAGCCTTTTGCCGGAAACCAGCTCTGTGGGGTTTTCTTCCCCTTTGTAGTCTTGGATGCAGACAAGGCTCGTGGTGAACCCGTTCTGATAGACCATATCGATCGCTCTCCGGATGATAGAGGGGTCTTCGGGTGTGCCTTGCAAGAAGGTATATGATTTTCCAGTTGCCGTTGCCCCATATGCCAGAAGCACAAAGTTGCGACCCTTCATTGTGCTGTCGACCATGTGCGATATGTCGTCAAATACGAGCTTGTTTGTGGACCCGGCTTGACGTTCATCTCGCGCGTAGAAAACCTGGTCGCATTCATAGGTAGTTAGGCGATTCTGTCGCTGGGGATTCGTCATCGTGATGGAGTCAAAGCGGTAGGTAAACTCGTCGAGCTTACGCATGTGCTTGGTTTCTTGTTGTTTTGTTTGTGGTGTAACTTTAACCATGATCATGAGCGGGTTGAACTTGTCAAGCAGTTGGCTTGTGGCTCGCCACCTCATTATCCTCAAAGAACGCTTTTCCTCCTCAAACCTCATTTCATACATCTTGCGGATTTCCTCTTTCTCTTCTTCATGTTGGGCATCAGCTGAGGTCCGCTCTGCATTGTATTTGTTTCGGAGTTGCTCTTTCTCGTCCTCGCATTTGTGTCGGAGCCCCATCTGTTCGTCTTTATGCCGGGACTCAATCTCTTGAAGCTTTTCTTCATATCGTGCTATGGAGATTTTGTGGTCTCTTTCGAGCCCTGAGAAACGAGCGCTTTCCTGCTCCTGAGCTTCCCTAAGTCTCAGGTCTTGAACTTTCTGACATTCATCCTTGAACTTGGCTAGTGCAGTTTGGGCCGCCTGTAAAGAAATCATCGGGGCTGCTTGAAGATTGGTTGAGTCCCAATGCTATTTTCTTATATTGAATGCGAGCACGCTTACGGTGTAAAACAAACGTGTGACTATCTGTATGCATTAATTTCCCTGGTGGTTATATTGTTTTAGATCCACTTAGACAAACATCAAGACACTAGAACTGGAAAGATATGACGATGACACGGTAGAGGGTGAAAGAAGACATGGAACTCAATTCAACATTGGTGTGTTCAGTCACACCCAAACTCGAGACTCTGATACTGCACTAAGCGTTACATTGGATATCTACACCTGTTAGAGCGATGATGCATCCATGTATTAGATTATCTGGATATGTCCCAAGATATTTGGCGAGGCAAAATACCACAACAAATCAGAACCAGAGTTTAATGACGTGGTTCTCTCAGGCCGAAAAGCGTTGGTCAGGTTGTTTGCATCAAACATCTCGGAACGTGCGTCGCAATGCGAGATCAAAAACTGTGATGAATATCCGTAAAAGCAGGTTTACCGATTAGTAGTTGGCTGATTGGTCAGCTAGCCGATCACGTTGTGTGTGCTTGACTCTCCTTGCAAGGTATCTTTAGGCAACCGACCATCTCCCTCCTGCATCTTTTCTCCATGTCCCAAGCCGCTCGGGTACTAGTTGGCTGCCTTCCCGTTCACAAGTCTATACACCCATCTCAACTAAGATCTCGTATTTTGCCGCGATCTCCGCTCTGCACCCTCAGCATAGTGTACGCTGACAAGATAATCGCCGACAAGATGTCAGACATCTTGTTGGAAAAAGCCCTACGAGAGGCGAAGACGGACCTAATCGCAAAATCAAGACCCTTGACGCTTGCCGCCCCTGCACAGTCCAGGTCATCAGAAACAACTACCTCCGAAATCAGCGCATCTACGATCCCTGGATCGATCACACTGGAAGCTCAGACGTTTGATGAACTCTCACCGACTGAATTCATAAGAGCTAAACTAGAAAGCTTGACTAGCGGTCAAGACATGTGGGTCGCATCAGCCAATAACAAGTCAACACCTATGTCGAAGCTGTTTGTTGCGCTAGAGCAGGACAACGCCGGATCGGGTCACTTTTCGCTCCGTTTCAAAACAAGATCCAATGCTGAGGATACCGACAACACCGCCCTTCCCGGCAAGATACCAGCTACGGTAGATTTGCGGGGGGTTCTGCCGCAGGTGTCTAAGCGACTAGCCACCGTCCCTACCGATCAACCGGCTACAGACAAGGTTATTTGGCTGCTGCGTTTCGAGCGCTCTCCACTCGGCGATGAAGATATCTATCTAACGAGTACGGCAGCGGAACTTGATGTGTGGGCGCTTGTCCTCAACTACTTGGACAGTGGCAGACCTTTTGGTGTGTGATTGTCGTGTCTTGATGTCGACCAAGACACCGTTACCTTGGAAGCTGAGATGGGTTCCCTGAATTTGCACATGTATTGTAACATAGGAAGCCTGCGCAACTTGCACAGAGCTTTGCCGGGTGTCGGTCGGAACGCTGCATGAATTGTATGGGTCTTGATATTTACGTACCAAGCCATAACTGACTAGACCACTCTGCATAACGGTGCCTCATTCTATATTTCATCTAGAGCACACAGAGGCTTGTCTAACTACAATGGCTGCTCGTTCGCAGCTTTCTGGCCGTAGTCGGCGACGCACTTCCCGACCTCGTGCCAGACAGGTAACTACCGAAGAACTACTCCACGCCATTAGATCGCCATCTCCCTTTCGCTCGGTTCACGCGGCGATTTCTATCCCTGAGGATGATGCAATCCAGGCAAGTGTGGAACTCGAAGACGTTAACAATGACTACACTCCGACTCCGGGCTATGGTTACAACCGAGTAAGTCAGTCCATCTTCCTCCACTTGTCTTGCACAAGACGATATTCGCAGCATATACATAAGTCTGGCCTAATTAAAGCTCCGCTCGTGACTCAGCAGAACAGTTTAGCTAGGTTGCATTACATGTCGAGGTAACTTCTACGCTTGCTAACGTCGAGAATCGTAGTTAGCGTCACCGACAAAACGTAGGCAGGATGGGGAAGGTGGGAGCGTCTATCATAATAATCACGAGGGCGTAAGTTCTTGTCCTTGATGTCAGATCCTCACTCCCAAACTTATTATGCGATTCACAGGACGTGCAGGTGGGCCATATCTCCCTCGATGAGGAAGAAAACGCTATGCCGCCTCCAAACTCCGTCCGTCTACGAGTAAGTCCCTGCAAACATCCTCAACAGCTTGTGAATTGACTCCACCAGCCGCCAACTCGAAACTTCACTCCAGAGGTAGTGACGTATAAATCATCCCGCAAACGCCATCTGTCTGCTGCCACATCCACTCGCCCGTCCAAGAAACCTCACACTACCGAAAGCTCCACGCCAATGGACCTTCTCACGTCCAATCTCCATAATCATTTTGGCGCCTTTGCTCCTCTCATACTAGAGCCGCTCAACAACACCCTCGACAAGATGAAGATCCATAACGACGCAAATTCGGAGCGCAATTTTTCTGCTCTTCGCGACACCATTATTCAGGCTCAACAAGCTCAAAAAGAACATCAAGACAATCGTTTCGACAGTATGCAAAGCGCTATAAACATCAACAAAGACAACATAAAACGCAATGTTCAGCACCTTGGAGATGTGCTTATGAAGAACACGGATGATTGGCAAGACTCAGTGGAGGAAGTTGCAGCTGCAAGACACACCATTACGCAAAAGCGCATCGACACTGTCCAAGTTGCCATAGAGGATTCAGCAAAAGCAATTGAGACAGCGAACAAGAATCTCGGCATCGTACACCAGAATACAACAGGCATCCAGACAGACATACAGACGCGTCTTGAGCAGTTCCAACAGCATGTCACGAATACAGTGGTTGCGGAAATCACTCGCAATGAGAACCTTGCAATAGCTCGCTCCATCCGACTCGACAATGATCTTACATCAGTGAACAGCTTGGTTGGCACAAATCACACGACTACAATGCAGACCCTGCGAAACCACACTAACCGTTTTGCCGCCCTGTCGACATCCTTTGATGATATTGAGAGCAATCTCACGTCTCACCGGGGAGATTTGCGCGATATGCGGAACCAGGCACTCGTTGATCGTACAGCATTCATGGGAAAGTTCACCGAGCTCATCGGCCGGACAAATAGCGCTCAGGATACTATCACAGCCCACGTCAGTCATCAGATAGCGGCTTCGCAAAGCGCACTCACGGCGCTGCTGGGCCGTGTTCAACAAACCCTCAACGAGACTTCGCCGCAGATCCCTCAGTCTCTCACCAAACTGGAGCAAGGATTCGATCAGATCATCAAACTCCTCGGTCGTGACGGGGAGCCAAGCAGACGAGCCCACGATTTGAGTACGGAAAACCTGGTCCAGACCGCTTTGACTGCCGACGAGGTACATCGAATTCGGAATCAGTTGAAAAGTCAAAATACCCCAAATCCTGTTGACTTCGAACCACACAATACACCTCGGGCGCACAAGGAAAGTAGGGCTCATATCATGGATTTTGGAAAGATTGCTCATCAACCCGAGCAAGATCTCGAACCTGTGCAAAGTGAGGCCAGCGGCAGTGAAATTCGTCAGATTGGATCTGAAAAGCCCAACTCGGTTTCTAGTCTATCCGACGATGGGATTGAGGATGTGAAGTTGAACAGCAATACTGCTACTAGCTCCTCACGACCAGCAGATTTGGATCTCGACAGTATCATGGGTTTGCCCGACTATAGTTCCCAGATGCAAGCGAATCATGAGAACGATATACGACGGGTCATGCAGTCGGCAGATACTCAATCCTCCATATTCGGGCTGGCTCTGACACATGAAACTGCCACCCACGCGAGAACTGCGACTGATCTTCGCAACGCCGAATCCAAGCTTGCAGGTGTAGTAATTGACATGAGCCAAGCCGAAGAAATTCACAACAATATGTTGCAGAATCAGCCGGGCCAACATGATAGCATCACCGCCCAAATGCAAATTGCAACAAATCACATTCAAGCCTTGGAGAGCGAGAACCGGCAGCTGCATCAATGTCATCGCGAAAAGTGCGAGGAAGTTTGTGCTGCCAAAGTCGACGCACAGCTTGCTACCGAGGGTGAACATATCGCCATGAATCAAGCCCATCAGGACAACACGAGTACCGCTGTTCAGTGGAGCATCGTAGACGCTCATATGCAGGATATCAACACCCAACGTGTACAACTACAAGACCGATACACACGACAATCCGACGAACATGTGCAGATTGCAGGTGAAGTGCATGATATCACTAGGATTCACTCTAATCAAGCTACCGCCACGCAAGACACTATTGTCGACGCACACGCCCAAGTAGTGACTGCTCAGAACAAGATGTTGAACCAAAGGCTTCACCAATGCGCCAATGAGCTTGAGGAAACTAGGAAGAGTTTTGCGACCGCAGAAGAAGTTAACGAACTACAGGCCGACCTGCACAGGAGAGGCAACTCCGCGGTCACGATTCAGGATGAGATTAACCAACGCCACACGAAGTGGGAACACCACGTCATGGCTTTGAAGCGCAAAGCCGAAGCGGACAACGGCGAAGAGGAGTTGGCTCGCATGGTCCTCACGCCTGAGCCCGTACTAGAAGACGAGTCCGGGCGACTCAATTGCAGTACCCATACCCAGAACGCGATATATTCGACTGCTCTTGAGGCCGCGCAAAATCAAATCGATACACGTCATGCTTCATCAATAGCGACACAGATCGGATTATCGCCTGTCAATGGTGATGAAACCCAGAATGGAGATGGCCTACGCACCACCGAGAACAATCAAGCGCAAGTGAGGATCCTCTCTGAACATATTCATCATCTTGATGCGCAGCTTGCAGTTGCCCGCGACCAGTCTAAACAGTCTTCGTTGTCTCTGGACGATGTCACAATGACAGATGCGCTGGAAGCTACGCATATCCGGGAGCAGTCCTCTACCACTGTGCAAGACAAGATTATCATCTCACATGCGAAAGTTGTTGACAGTCCATTTGGCACTACCGCAGATGAGAAGCTCCGTCATGCTGAGCTTGAACATGCGCAATCGCAAGGTGAAGTGGAATCCTTGAAGCGACAGAACTTTGCCCTTGCGCGTCAGCGAGCGGCCGAGCAGGAGAGATTGGGCAATGTTGTCGAAGGAAACCGTGGACTTAGAAGTAAGATGTTTCGTATGTGGGTCATGGTTTCTGGCTTGTTACGGGGAGAAGAAGGGCAGGTTGAGGATGTTGTCGCAGAAGCGAGGCGCAATCTGGGTGCAGGAGCAGGATTGGGCGGGGAATTGCCCTAGTAAAGGCCTTTGGAGGATTGTTCTCAAGAAGTTGCGTTCCTGGTCGCGACGGATGCTATGAATGCCTATCCTGAACATCCTTCTCTACACTGTGATTGTGTATCAAGGTCCCGTTACCCAATGTTGGTAATGGATCGCTCATCTGGCAGGGGAGACAATTCATCCCTTTCAACCTTCCTCAAGACTTATGCGAACAATCATCTTGTCGTCTATTTGGTATTGATATTCACGGTGATCCAATGAGAGCTTCTATGAGCTTACTGACTAGTGCTCGCCTCGTCATCCAATCGCGATGATACCATCCCGTGATTGGGACATAGCAATATGCTTGCTTTGCTTTGCGCGGCCTCAAACAATGCTTGCAATCGTGATTGTTTGATACCTTGCGTACATCACCTCGTATCTCAATAACAAAGAACGACACTGCTTCGCAAACCTCCGCGGCAGACCTTTTCTAACATGTAAGTACCCACTTATCCGCATAGTCACCATCTCGTCGCATCAGCACAATATCACACCTATGTCAAAGCGCACCAACTTCATCTGAGATCCCTCAACGCGGCCAGAAATCTACACTGTCCACTTGTCGACGGCGCGGGCTACGTGCACACTAAAAAAATCTCATCGACGATAAACAATTTGGCTGCGATCCTAGCAGCTTCCACATATCAAGACATACGCCGCTCATATCATGGAACGTTTCTGGCGACGCATTCAAGCCATCTCCCACCCCGCGCTCCAACCGCACACGCCTCTAGGTCAAGCGTTTTGGCTTTTCGTCCTCCTCTTGACAGGCTACTGGATCTGGGCGGGAACAAAAGCGCTGGTTGCCGTGGCACCACCGCCTGGGCCACCACAAGATGCAAACATGAGGGATTCAAGGGTTCATTGGTGACATCGAGGTTAGGCGGAAGATTACGAAGAACATCGAAATAGTAGAAGGTGCCGGACCAGAGAAAAGAATTCAGGGCAGACGTATGAATATGAAGATTAGAAACTTTCTTTTGATATCTTGAATGCCAATCTCTGTTCTAGAATTCTCGCGCAATGAGAGGTTGTTATTGAAAATCCATTGGTATATTTGCTCGTGAAAGCTACTGTACAGTATACTAGAACACGACGCAATACCCTTTACTCTGTCATCCAATAGATTCTGTACTATTCGAAACCCTACAACTCAAATCTGAATATGTATACTGAGGACGGGGCCGTGAACAGTGGTCCGGGACGATGGCTTGAGAGAGACACTCTGACTATCCTTTGATGCTCTCCCCTTCAATCGGGTCAACAGATTTGGGCCGACACTTGACATTCAGCGGTCCTCCCAAGACCTTAGCTACGCTCTCCAATCTCACTTTCTCTCCTCGGCTCAACATCCCCAGCATGTGTTCCAATCGCTTTGACTTTTTCAACAGCTGCCTGTTGAGTAACACCATCACCTCATTGTTCATCTTGTGCTTTTGCTCTGCCTGAGACGCCTCTTTGAAGAAGGTGTTCATTCCTTGAAACAGTGCACTGCTCTCACCCCACTGCATAGCAACACTCCATGGCGTACATGTAAGATGACGATTATATGTGATGCAATAGATCTTACGCCAGGGACGGTGTTTCCAATGCTGTTCAGCATAGTGTGAGGCGTGTTTGATATGAGTGATGACGGAGGTGAACGATGTGCGAAGGGATGAGAATGGGTCAGTGGAGAGAAGAGACTCGTGGGCGGCGAGGCGGGTGGCCAGCAGGTTGGTCAGAATGGCGGTTTGGGTGCCGGACAGTGTGGAAGGCGGGTAGGGCGTGGGTTCCCATATGCGGATGTTGAAACCGAATATGTTGGCAATATAGGTGCAAAGGTCGAGGACAGGGGAGAGAGTGTCGTTGAGAGTTACAACTTGTGGGGAGAGGCGCTCAATTGCGGCTGGAAGGAGGGGAGTAAGATTGCGGTGCAATCCTACCGTGCGCATCCAGTGTAGAGCAGCATATGTTGCGTTGACGGCAGGAAACGTCTGCGAACCGTGGTATCGATATGCGTCAGCATGTGCATGGAGGAGGTGTGTTTCAGCGGACTCAAGTGCCGCCACATCATCGTTGAATTCGCGAAGGAGTTTGTGTTTGATGTGCCCGTATTCCTCAATCATCAGGGTATAAGCCGCAGCAAGCTCGTGGAGGACTGGTATGATTTGGTTGTCGCCCCTAAGGTGGTTCGCATGATCGTGAACGAAATCTGTAGCTGGTTTGATCCATGTTTGCGTAGTATCCTGATCACGAGCACACAGACAGTCGAGGGCCTCGATCTGAGCGGTGCGGTTGAAGGGTTGTTTGTTGCGCCAGGCTATCGTGTCGGCTTGATAGTCAGGGAGAAGTCGCGGTGGGTGTGCCTGGTCAAAGTGGTACACGTAGGCAGCCCAGCATATCGCGGCAGCGAGCAGAACAGAAATGAAGAGGCCAAAGAAAGCCAGTATCTGCTGAATGGTGCTGAGACAACGGAGACTGGTCCGGCGACTGGGCACAATAGTGCTGGTTGCAATGCTAAATAACAATTAGATGTTATGCTGGCACATGGATTCAATGGATTACAATATACCTAACTGCGTCTACATGTACATAGTCCTTATTGCTGTCCTCTGTACTGCTTGAGTAGGGAACAGAGGCGTTGTCCATATTGTATTGAGGTAAGAGACGAAGGATCTAAAAGCAAAGGTTAAAAAAAAGCTATTATGACTAGAGTCTCATAAAATAGAAGTATGAAATAACTAGGAATATAGACACCTACACTTGGCATCCGAACACGGCGTTAACTGTGGTCACAGCGTTGGGTAAACAAAGAAGACGTATCGTAACAAACAAATACCCGTTAGGCAGCTACTTTTTGGGGGAACACAAAGGACATGGTTGGATGCATATATAGAATGTTGCCTTGTCAGTGTTGCTATCGCTACCAATACAACATTCCAGTCACTCATCTGCAAGAAACAACAAGAGTCTGTTAACGTTGAAATGGCGCCTCGCAAAGCTCCCAGATCGTAAGTCGCAGAACCTCCAGAGTAGATGTCGTGCTGAGAATGTCAGAAATGGTCCACTTACCAGCCCGGGACGTACCGGTTCGGGACGTACCAGCTCAGGACGAATCAGTCGCAACCGTCACTTGCGAGGTCGCTCACCTCGTGCCGAGTTTCCGCCAATCCCCCCGGAAGTCAACGCTCTGATTCGCCCCGGGCACGTCGTCACCAACACAGAGCTCTTCCATCTCAGCTCGCTGCTCGACCCGCGTCCAGCTCGTTCGCGGTCGCAGTCGGCACCGCCCGCTGCGCGCTATCCCAACCACCGTCTGCCCCCGCTGCCCGCGCTGCCTCGCCAAGGTCACGTGGATCGGCCGAGCCACGACAGCGACAGCATCCTCGACCGCATCCATGCAGTCGCCAAGGCCGCCTACCGACGCGCTCGCCGCCACCCTCGCACTACAGCTGTTGCGGTCCTCGGCACGCTTGCCGCTGCGTTTGGCATCTACAACCTAACCGCCTACGCCCGCCAACCGCCCCCGCCAGCCCTCGCCGCCTTCACGAGCCTCTACAAGGGGCCGCCAACATGGCTCTACGCCGACTCGCCCGACCAGATGTTCGGCCTGGATGCTCCGCTCTGGCCGCGCCACATCCAGCCCCGCCCCGTGACTCGGTCCCTCTTCCGCCGGAATGCCCGTCTCTGGAGCCCTGACAGCTTGTACAAGCACCGCAACCCCTACACGCTCGTCACACCTCCAGAGTCCCAGTTTGCCGCTATTCGCCGTCGCTACGACAATGCCCGTCAAGAGTTCTACAATCGCCCGCCCTGGGATATGGACCAGACGCCCAATATGACACTCCCAGGCGACCAGCTGCCCTTCTTCCAGCCAGGATGCGTCTGCAACATCTCTCGTGCTCTCTCGTCAGCTGCCACCCACGCCATCACCCCTGCCTGGCGACAAACGCCAGTCCGTGACCTCGCCGACTACTGTCCGTGCAGTGTGTACCAAGCCTTTGGTCGTCTGTGGCGTGCCCTCACAACCGACTCGCTGCCCCCACCCTTGACCGACTACTATCATGGCTCGCCGTATCTTATTTACACCCTGAAGCTTGGCTCTGACACCTACCGCCACTCGCTTGATATGTCTGATGAAGAGTTGAGGGATGCTTACGCCAAGGGTTGGTTGGAGGAGCCGGTGGAATATGTGTTTACGTGGGAGTCACCAGCCGATGATTATATCTTGTAGACTGAGCAATGCCAGTGGTATCTTGTGGCCTGGACCGAGGAGCTTGACTGTATGCCCGATTTATTATCACTCCCTCTCTTTCAAGATCTTAAAAAGTCACATCATTCATGCTGGCACGCCCCACCACGAGTGCTAGAAAGATGTTATCTAGTCGTATGTAGATCAATTCACTCATGTAATATATGCTGTCCTACGTTAGACAAGACATACACACACGCACTGACATGCGAAAGATTCACCTATCTGCATATAGGAACCTTCTCCTTTCTACTCGTCTTATCTACCTCACTGACAACCTAACGTCTATTATCAGATTCGTAGTCGTATTCGTCCCTGAATGCCAGCTGTCTTTTGCCTCTTTTAATTCTTCTCCACATGATCCTCTCGTCTAGCTTTAGCAGCCACTGACAGATTCGACACAACGATTTCCCCCTCGGCGCTACACACCATTCGTTTACTCAGGATACTTCGCTTCCAGCCATCAGCGACGGCCCATTCCAGTGGCGCCCTCTTGTCAACCACCCATCCCCCCTCTCGCACAATGTATGTGCATTCTCCCAGGGCGTGTCCACTGATAGTACAAAGGCTAACCTCTCTACCTTTCGAGGCGGACAAAAATACTCCTGCCCTCTCTTTTTGTCCAGTGCATTGCACTCTGTACGTTGTTCTACCTGAGCTCTTCAACATGTACTGCAACAACCCCGATGCACAGAACGACGTCGACCCCTACGTCCTCGAATTCATCCATGTCCACATACTCAGTTTGTTCGCCACTCCTCCGAACCTCGTCCTTCATTTTCGGTATGTGCAGTATCGTCATCCTAGTGTTGGAGTGGGCTTCTCTTGGAAAACTGGGAAGTGGGGTGCGCGGCGCTATAGAAGGTTGGTGGCATGGGAATGAGACTGTATACGCGGGGAAAGACCGGGACCCGGTACAGGAAGTAGTTGAGAGAAATAATCTGATAGGAAGAAAGAGGGAGAGGAGAGCTTTTGTCTGGCAGGATTAGGTTAGAAAGGTGCATGAACTGTAGATGGGTATGAGCAGAGAGGCATAAACGAAACCACCCTATCGTCGACTGTGATCATGCTGTGAACGGAGACATCAGGGTATACTCATCTCATTGATTTCGCGTCTATGGAAGTGGTGTTGTCAGGTTGGTCTGGCCATGCTAGTCTACATCATCCCACTCTCCTGCCAATTACAAATAAAGAAATCAATCTCATCCTCTCTGTAGGCTTCTCTTCCAAGTTATCCGATGCTTCCACCTACTGACGCTTCTGCCGCTTCCTCACAGGTTCGTCGTCATCCAAATCTCCGTTCTCTGGCACCGTGGGCAGCGGAATGCCAAGCATCCGGTTGAGCGAATCTGTCCTCGCCTGATTCAGCTGTACCAACCGTCGCCCAACCATCACCCACTTGCTTGGGCCCCCGGGTTGATTCTCAGCTTGCGAGGGCTTGGTCGCCGATTGGGGTTGTACCTCAGGCGAGGGTGGGGGCTGTGGCACGAGCGGCGGTGGAGATTGTACCATGAGCGGCGATGTGGGATGGAGAGGCAATGCCGGCTCGGAACGAACGAGAGTCGATAGCATAACAGGGATGGGTGTCTTGGTCGATATAAGGCGCCGGCCGCGACTCTCCGTGATGGGGTAGACCTCTACTTCGCCAGAGGGGAACGTACGCAACAGGTAGAACTTCTCAGATGAGGTGGACATTGGATCGTGGTCATTGTTGGCAACATCGGGAGGTAGGATTGATTCGTTTGGATTATGCTGCACAGGTGAGGTGCTGCGCGCAGGTCGGTCGGGTTGAGTGGCCGTATCAGGCTGCACCGCATGCGAAGTTGTCAAAGTGCCGGATACATGATCATGGCCATCGTCCATATCTTGGTCGGGTTCGGCGACCGGCCGAGGTCTCTTCCGCTTTCTTGCAGCCATTTTCTCCTGTGCACCTCTGCTGTTCATCTGTTCTGGTTGCTTTGATGATCTCAAGATGGCGTGGATAGGTGATGCGAGAAGTTGAATGTGAGTTTATGCCTTGTACTATAGGATGTGTGTATGGCCTTTATGTACGTACACGGAGCATCTCAGACAGGTGAGGCGAAACTTTTAGTGAGACTCAAAGTGAGTCGTAGACCTGTTCGCCGCCATGAATGCTAACGTTTCAAGCTGACCGAGTGAGTTTCGGACTCAAGTGATTGGCAAATGGCCTACCGTAGGAGAGCATGTATTGTAGACATCCAAGTGTGAAACTAGGTTTTGGTTGGGATTTCTTGAGTAATATGTAAGACCCAAGAAGACGATGTCTATCTTTCCACTCTGTCAAAGACAAAGACACTTCGGCGTTAAGGCACTCCATGGAACTTCGCCCTCTGCCAGCATGTGGCCATGGGCTCGCCCATGAACGAAAAGCCTACTACCTGAATGTTCTTCAGTAGCCTCATGATTTGAAAGACCTGCATAGAGATGCGCTACGAGACTCGCAGTATACAGGCATGGCTCTCGATGTCTTCTGTTGGCGAGCACTGCTTGTTACTGCCGCAACTTGTTCAAGTCCGGTATTTTGGTGAGCGAGACCGATGTCTATCCAAGTTTCGGAATGGAACAAGTATGGGTGGAGAAAGTGTAGACATGTTCGTGAGTCAGGAAGCATTCTATACCGATGGGGACAATTGCGGGGCATTAGGTAAGACGTCTTTATCCGGCATCAGCGCTTCTGAACCAGGTCCACAAGTTTCTGAGGTTCAATCTGATTAAGTGATATTTTCACGGCGCAGGCAAATTACTTAGCAATTCGCATCCGTATGTATGTACATTCTGTCCGTGATGTGGTTGCTAGACCTCGAAAACTCTAATGGAGTACTGAACTGTTCCCGAGAATGCGGGGTAGAGCGAAGCGATAGCTAGGCTTCGAGAACCACGCTTAGATAGGCATGCCGCAGCAGAGGGAACTAGATAAAATTAGTCTCTTACTTCGGTCCAACACGTGCAAGCATGCTTACTGTGCGCTGTCTCGTTCGCATTGCTTCTCTGGGTCTGCGCCGCTCGTCTCGGTTCAAGATGATATCATGTTAACTAGGGTAGATGCATTGTTCCGATTGCTCTGAATTTCCCTATCAGCTTCTAATATCCGGAATTCAGATGCCTAAACCCGAGGGTCAATGCAAGCGTTGGCTATCAATGCACTGTAGGTAGTCGTAGGCGAGGTTGTCTTGTGGAACTTTGCACAGACCACACCAGACCGGCTGACGTCATAGTCATATGCGATCAGTCCCGTCACCGGTGAAGCAAACTCCAGGGGTTCCCAAAACATCATCGTGCATCAAAGAAATGGTTGTGAATCACCGGTCGAGCGTGGTCCATGGAAAAACAAGCGGTGTGGATATGCTTTGTTACATTGTTTGCATCTTCTTTTGAGAAGGCTGATCGATCTGGCCACATTCCGTCTGGAATGCATGCTATCGAAGGGTTGTATGCATGCAGGGGGTGGCGTGGCGATTTCATGCAAGGGGGACCGGAATGCGTTGCGCAGCCGAGCGCCAAGACCCTCGGTCCGCGCTGGAGAGATCGGGTATGCACTTTGGTTTGATTCACCCCAGTGTTTCTGTCTCGCATCAGGCCCATTGCGAATATCCCTCAGCAGCAAACTTCATGTGTGATAGCGTATGTCACAATTGATCACAACAGGTACGTTCTTCTGATGTTGATAATCACGATTTGTCTTGTCGGCGAATTGCATGTGTTCAAGTGTCACAGAATGCAGACACGCCCAGAATTGGGTAGGTGGGATAGCCACAGAGCTGGGAACTCACCGACTTTTCCACACAGTGTTGGTTGAGTCGTGTTCGAAACATGCAGTGCATCGACGATGCGTGCCCCTGTATCAACCCGGGAACCCGGTTAGGCTGCAGTCCCTTGCGGCGATAGCGAAATCTTTCGCGCTTTTGGTGTTCTCTGGCTGAAGCGATATGTATTAGCAAGGATTTTGCTGTCTTGCGCATATCTTCCAACGATCCTGACCCATACAAAGACTTTTCGTTGGCTCGGTTGAAAGCAATGATCAGGAAGGCCTAGATGGCAAACATCTGCACAGATAGTCAAATAAAGACAACGGTGCTACCTTCCTGTTGTAGTAGACGACCGACGCGGGCACTGACAGACATGGGCTTATGCTTATACGAGACGCTGGTAGCCGTTACACTCCTAATTTATCCATCACTGCATTATGCATGTCTCCACTTCTTTACGAGTTTCATACACAACCACCTTGCAGAATGCGATAAGACAACATAGTGGCAGGAAGCCGCTCGTTGCTGCAGAGAATCTTCTGCAGGCATGTTGCATCGAGCTCAGTCTGGCCCAGATGCTGTAACACCCTCGTCTTGCCATGCTCCTATCCAAGCTTTCCCCGTTCCGACGAGTTTCCAAGAAATGCCAAGCAATCGCCTCTACAGACCCACTTCCATAGATGCAAGCCCAAACGAGCCGTTATGGCTGAGGGGAGCAGAAGGTCTACCGGATTAACAGAAGGAAGAAGGAGAGGGCCAGGGGTTCTGGTAGATATTGTGAAGTCCCAGTAGAGATTTTCAGTATCAGGAGAGAAAGCAGTGCTAAATTATCAGTTCTTGTTTTTTCAACCGCCATCCTAACAAGGAAGTGTCGTAGCTCTTAGCGATTTTTGCAACTTGAGTTTCACTCTGTTTTATAAGACGAAGGTACGCTTCGATGATTCATAACGCTACTATGCACGAATCGAGTACCTAGATATCAAAACAGATATGTGCTAGGCGCATCGTGCTCATGAAAAGTACCAGCAATGGCCGCTCAATAATACTATTTCCCAGCATCCTTCACAGTGATCAACCATCCGTATATGTATGCCAGACACTCCGTCTGTGTACTCACCTCGTTACGCGATTCTGCCTACAGTGAATCTTGTCTGATCAAGTTTGACTTGCACGACTACTATCATTTTCTAGCTTTCATTTCACAAGGTATTCGCCCCAGCTTTTCCCACGTGTATAGCCAACAGTTGGTGTTCTAAAGTGTTTTTCTATCACAGACAGGCAAGCGTAGTGCACAAACAGATATGACATTTACTCGCTGTTGGAACATTGACCTGATAGTTGGGGAGGCAGGCACGGGAAGGCGGCGTCAGGAAGAAAGAAGTGTAAGCATGAGAGTTGTCTATATACGCAACAGGGGTATCTTACAAAACTGGCGCTGGCGACATCAAATCCGAGTATGTACTCAGTCGTCTCTGAGGGAAAACGGATAGTTGCGCGAGTACATAGCGATTAATCAAGGCTAGTATGGTTGATTAATGGTTCGTGTGTTTGTAAATCTGTAATGACATAACAAAGCCCGGGCAACGATAGGAGTCTAATGGTGTATTGCCGCACATCTACAGCTGCTCCTATGTAATAGTCGTCCAGTGATCCCAGATGCAGCTCCCGAAGAGCATTCAGAGCGGTAATCCATGTTATCAATATGGGATTTTACTCTCCAGCTGATGTGTATCTTTCCCCAGCGTCCTCATGTTCCTTTCACAAACATGTATTTGCACAGTCGGTAAGGCTTCCAAGTCCCTGCCTGAAATCGTGGCATGGCGAGGAAGCGGACAAGGCGCTGTACGTTATGTAGCGTGATAGAGAAGCAGACTGGATGATCTGCAGCGCAATCTCACCGGCAACGGTAGCGGCAGAGGTAAAAGGGGAGTGGTTTACTATAACGAACTTGACCTTACGCGGCGAAATCCCGTAGGGTGTGGCGACGGCGATGTTGATAGTGATCAGACGAAGGGCAGAGGTGACTCAGGCGTGGTGGTTGCAACTTCATGAGCGGTTTTCCGACAAACATACCCCATTAGGCGTACCTTCACCAACTCACACATTATCCGCCTTAGCCTTGACTAGCATTAGGTGATGAACTCTACGGAGTGTGGTATTGTTTGGGAATGAAGATGTTCGTGGCTGTAAGAACAGCAGGGAGATCGAGGGCAGAGATCGAGGCGCGATGAGTTCTCTGATATGGTTTCGCCAAGGAGAGGACAGATGCGTAGTGGATTGCTGGTCTGAGCAGTCGGTTCCTGAGAGCAGGGCGTCGCGAATAATGAGTCGGGTTTCTCACTAGGCAAACGAGGAACTCACGAAGGGGTGGGATGGAGAGTCGTCTTGATTCATTCCCAGACGTACTGACATTTACTCGGTCATCTACGGGAATTCACCTAGCCATCTTGGTCAGGTTTCAATATGTCCACCATTCCGGGGTTGATGGCTGTGGGGATGCCTTGGTCTGCGCTACATTGGCCGAGCCGCTCGAGAAGGCTAGTGGATTGTGCGGTGATTGGGAGGTATTGCCCGTAGGGGCTGGGAGTTTGGCCGGTGGGGTTTCGGAATTGCGGGAAAGGTGTGCGGTCGAAGTCGAGTCTAGGGTCAGGACGACTGCGGGGGTGGAAAGAAGTTGGTCTCGCGGAAGGTCCATGTAACCGTATAGAAGGACAGTGGGCCACTGGAGCCATGCTCGTTTGGTGAGCTGGCGATCGTAAGCGACGTCGTTGTCGGAGGGCGCCTTTGTCGCTGCGTGCAACTTTCACGTCACGAAACTCCTCTCGAGAAGGCTCGTCGAAGGGTGCACCACGTTGCTAGAGGTTCTTGTCAGCCGGATCTTCGTTTGAGGAGTGTGAGTCTATGTCGTCTCACTTGTCGTCGCTGTCGACCTCGAAGTTAGAGCAGCTGCTCTCGTGTAGCTCGTCGATTGCGGCAATGTCCGGCTGCAGCACGCAAGCCGGATCCAAGCTAGCAAACTCACGGAACTCCTTACTCTGCGGCGTCGTGGGGCTTTCCTCGACAACGTCCTTCGATTCATCGATGCTCGTCTTGCGTCCTGCCTTTGGCGTGTTGGCGAGCTTCAGCAGCTGGCTGGTGGCATCGTACAAGTCTCCACGCATGCCGCGCGCGGCAGCCTTAGCAACAAAAGCTGGAGGTTGGCGCAGTGCTGGTGAGGTGAGCACAAGTCCAGGGCAGGAGTTGACATCAACACGACCGTAGTGGAGGCACGGCTGAAACACTGACACGGTGATGTAACCAGATAAAAGGTAATCGAGGCTCCAGTGCGATTCGAGTGAGCAGCAAAGACGTGACGCTGCCTCGTCGGTGTTGAAGTTCAGCCCGGGGGTACTGAAGGGCGAAATGGTGTTACCCAGAGAAGTGTAAAGACTGACTCGGTAGCCAAAACGCATGAACTGCGTGCGGAGGTATCGAGTGTTGAAATGCTGCTAAAGCGTAGTGGAGTTGCTTATAGTGTATAGATGATATTTGACACTCTCAGACGGGTAACATTCTTCGGATCAATGAATTGGAGATGGAGTTATTTATCTACCTCAGCAGAATCTGCAGGTCCCAGACTGCCTCACATTCCATCCCAGACCTTCGACGTTGGCATTAGCATTGGTAATAGCAGGTTTACAGATACACCGAGAACTTGAACTTGACGTCATGCGGCTATTTGACAGGTCCAACTTCACGACGGACCTTATCTATACTACATGCGCATGCACACGGTACTATACATTGCCCGCCATTCTGTCTCGAATTTTTAGCGTTCGCGTATTAGCTGAAGGATGAATGTACATGCCAGGGACTTGGACGCTCCACGTAAGGTGACTATACAACCCATGTAGTCTATCATCGGCATTGTTCCTCCGCATCTGCAGAATCTGTACATTCCCACACTGCTCCATGTTCCATCTCAGAGCTTTGGCACTACCATCGGAATAGTGGATCGGTGAACATGCTGAGCTCTTCGGTATCCACAACCAGCCGACCAGCTAAGTGCGCCACTAGTCTCGATCATTTACATTAGCATACTCTTCGAGTACCAGAAGAGCTTCGGCGACACGCTTACGTGTAGCGGATTGTAAACACTCTCAAGACTTGGAGGCTCCATCCTCATGAGCTCGTCCTTCTATACACACAAACTCTTTTGTCCCGAAGTTCTGGCCTGGGCATCAAGGAACCTTCGATTCAAAGACTCGACGTGACCAAGGCGGAAGTCTGAAGCAGACGTCTCTGGACCAGCGTGGTGGGCCTAAGCAGCATGCCTAGTTCGTGTCGCCCACCGTGGATGAAAACTTCATGAACAGACCAGACGTGTACGGGTATTGGGACAAACTGGCGCCTGTTTGGCTTGTGCAGTATGATGAGTAGTGTGCTTGGGCAACGATCTGCCGGTGCCGGAATATCGACGAGTCGATGCAATTCGAGTTTACCGCATTGAACTCGAGTTTGACGCACTGGGGCGGGTACTTGTAGCGAGTTGTGCGCGAGTGTGTAAAGCGCTTGCGAGGCCGCATCTGCTATGAACAGGTACAGGTGGTGTTGGTGCCGGTGTTCGCAATGAGCGATGAGCTGGTGATATATGATACGAGCGGCCGATGGGAAATGCTGCTCATGTCATTATTGGCGAGGACGTTCAAAGACGGCTCCGATGACTCGTTTCTGGGCGCGTGAAACACTTGAGCCAAGCCTTGGATCAGAGTTGAAATGATGACCTACTTGGCAGAGCGGCGAAACACGCATGTGCTCAACATGACCATCCAAAGCATATCCGCGTGTTGTATGCTTTGCCCCTCCTGCAACGTCTGGTCGAGCCGCGCCGTGCGCTACCTTGCTATCCTCTGGGATCGAATTTGTTGGAACGACTGGCGCAGGTGGTGTCAGTGTCAGAGGCAGCGACGAGCGAGATCGAGATGATGACCGATGGCGCAGATGGTTGAGGAAGAGCCCTGATGGCGTCAGCGTTTACAAGTAAGCTCGGAGGTTCGCGCCACTCACTTGTGCGCGCGTGAGATGCGGGCTAAGGGGATAACTCCTGCTACAGCATAGCCACACGGTAGATATGTGCGTCGTAGCACCAACGGAAGCAAGACCTTTGTCTCGAACATGTCATCTTGATTGTAACTACTCTTCACTTCTAACCTGCATACACGTGGCCCATATTCGTCCCGAGTCCATCTACTGACGGGCACCCGCAACGAGTCGTCCCACAAGTGAGGCTTTCACCTGTCTTTGACGTGAAGTGGATGCGCATGATCTCGTACAGGTCGAAGTTCAGGCTGACACAGGGTGTGATAGCTGCAGCCACGTCAAGGTTGGAAACTTGGTGTTCTCTGCACGAGGTTGCGGAGGGTTTGTTACAATGGCAACGGTATGTATCTCCTGTCGCGAAGTCGTCCATCGGCAGCACATGACTTGAGTTGGTGTTCACGTCACGACGGATAAAAGAGGTATTTGTAGGGATCGCTTGCGTGAAAGCTTGCTCGCCATCACGCGACCTGTCTACGACTTCTTAGTGAACGGCCTGGGAACGGATGGGCCTACGTCTGTCTCATCGATTAGGGACGCAGCTTGGGTGGTTGGGGTTGATGTACAAACAGACGGCGGCGCGAAGCCTTCCGGCCAGAGCTCGATGCGTCGCGTTGTCTATGTTCGGCTCGCGTAGCCATGGATGTTGCGCATGCGATTCATCGTGGTAATATTAATATGTGTGTTACTCATTGATGGGAACAGATGCATCGCGTCGACGAGAAATCGTGACTAAGACAGAGAGACCCATGTGGGGCTCAACTCCGCTCGAGTGGAGCTGTACTAGCGGCGAAATTTAGCGCCAACGGGCAACGGTCATCTACAGATAGCCTCGGGAATAGCTCCACCGTTCACGAGATCCCCGTTGTCCGCAGCGACACGATTGCCTGCATCAAAAACATCTACCAGGAGAACATGTGTCTGCATGTTGTGAGTCCCGCGTCCAAGACATCGCAGATCGAGATGAGGTCGATCAGGCCCAAGACCGAACGTGCGTTGAGGCGCCAGCGCAAGGCGGAGGAGGCAATGCGTGACGCCCAGCTCGAGCTCAAGGGATGTCCGGAGAAGTTGGAGGATCTTGAGGCGCTGGAAAATCTGACGTTGCTAATCACGGAGCGGGCCGTCAAAGAAAGAGCTGGTTGAAAAAGGGCTGTCGGAAAGCAAGTTGTAGCGGAGCAAATTGCCGTTGAGTTCAAGAGAGTCTTTGATAAGAGGGGATGGCTTGGACGGTGTAGCAAAATTAAACCTCAGTCGATGAATTCTTGACAGGCATTAGCACACACGATCTCTGGAAAGACATGAAGTCTTCGATCATGTGATTGTCCAAAGCAGGTATGTGGATGCGTTCGGCATCCACAGGTTGTCCCAACAGTATCAATGACAGAACTCTCAAGTACACCTCTTTGTGAGTCAGGCTGAATATTCGTTCGTTCAAAGCGCCAAACCGCTGTCCCACGTGTTCCAAATGTCCGTTGTGCGCCGTACTGGCGACCAGTACACCGTCAATGCAGCTTGACGTGAAACCATCACGTATCGATTCGCTCACAATGGCGTCTGGTTGCCTCTGCACGTGGGATGATGGACTGTAATAGCGTATTGGGGCGACTTTGATCTTCTCCAGGCAACGATGGTAGACGACCGTCACTGTGTGTCGATTCTCTTTCGTAGTCTCAAGAATATCGGAGGATGTTCCTGTTTCAGGCTGCTCAACTGGCCGAAGTCTTGCTCTGTTTTTTCACAATCTTCATTGCGTGTCTTGAGTTCGATTGCATCGATAGACGGGAAGAGCTGTGCTATACAATGGTCTTGCTGTCATCTCTCGTGATGCAGCTGCAAACTGCAAGGCGCAACATCAAGATATGTGAGTTGACTCTGAGACTTGCGGCTCTTGGAGAAGATTCCCGTTGTGTTTCGCTAATCCAAGAGCCCCATGGCGGACAACCGTCGGTATAGCTAACTTTGGAGTGGGCATGTTATATTTGCCAACTGTCTCAACGGCCGAACCAGGTAGCGGGGCGAGATACTTCGTCTATTTGTCCCCTCGATACATTCGAGTGATACGATCGAATAGATTGGAAAAGAGAGATATCCACAATGTATTAAATGCTTTGTACAGTCTCTTTTTATCAAAGATGCGGATGGCAAGGCCGAACGGAACGGAAAATGTAAGATTGTTCGGTACGCACACTTCTTCCATGACGTTAAGCCTGGATAGTCTCGGATAAATGCACCCATATATATGGTCATTTACTGTCTATGCTATTCTCTACTACTCAAGGTCGTGACGACACTGGTGACGATACGGTTCTTACGTGTGTCGGGGAAAGGGGCAACAAAAGTATACACTGCACAGATGAAAACAGTCCTAGCAGGTGGACGCAACGCTACTGCTCGGGTCTTCAATAAATTCCCGAGCAATAGAACTCGGGTGTTTTCAGTGTCGTGTCAGTTGCGTCGGTCGAGGTGATCTGCTGGTTCGATGTCTGTTATCCACCTTCGCAGTACCAGTACGTATACTTCAGTACTAGACTTGCCTGCATCAATCTGCAGCGTCGCGGTCTACACTATTTGGTGTGCAATTGTAGGTGTATTATTATTCATTGCTCTATCGTTAATCTTGCGTCCGTTTCTCGCAGCTGTCAAGGCGCAGCGAGATCTAGGATCTTGAACCCCGACTTTTAAGTCGCGCGACTATCTGTTTGATTCACTATCGTTCAAATTATTAACCTTTGTATTCATGAGTCTGGAAGCTTTCAAGATGACTTCCCAACGCTATGGGTCCTTTACTGTCTTCTCGATATGGTGATGAGACAGTGCCCATGGATTGCTGCATTTGAATATGCATATTCCATCGCTTGTCTGAAGACATTAGCAATCAAAACAACTAATTTCACCAAGGATCTGTCTTCTAGATTATGCAATGTACATACTCGTCATGTCAGTATTGCGGATCCCCTTGTCATGGGATTGCTTTTCTCGGCGGTGCGTCAATCCAATCGACCGCTCTTTCCCTATATCTCTACAACGGCAATGAGATACTCACTTTGGGTTTCCACTTGCCAACCTTCATCGAAGGATCCCGGCTGAGCGAGTGTGCGGTCGTAAAAGTGAGGCACACACACTCTCCGTTCGGCCAGGGTTCAAGGGTGGGCGGTATTGCGACTATTGCCAATATCCACTCCCGGAGATTATCGTCAAAACTCGAGCCGAGGTTCATGATGCTAAGGTGAGCGTCCTCCAAACTGATAGGGCTTGACTCGGCTCGATGTGGCTTCGAGTGGTAACTAGGTTTATTATGAGGCTGGAGATTTCGGGATTGACTCAAGTAGTTTCCCCGAGATTGGAGTATCCACCCATAAGCAGTATTCCGTTCTGTGTTGTCGTCCTCGGTTAAGTTGCTGATTGACTGATTGAGCGTGAACGTACGATAGGGTGAGCGGAACTTCGGTGGAACGTACTTTTGTCGCTATTTCCCTGTGCTGTCTCCAGGTCTCCTTGTGAACAACCCCAGGTCGGTAAAATTCCCGTTCGTGCTTTTCGGATGTTGCGCATTGAGTTGATGAAGATGTGCACAACGATGCCCAACGCCATTTCGAGAGGTTTTAGAGAAAACCCAGGAGAGGATGATTATCCAGCCCTAGTGGTATACTGTTTCTCCAGGCTGGTATACTGTTTCTCCAGGCTGGCATTCTGTGCCTTGTCACTCTTGTACCGTCCACCCTCGCCTTTGCTTTCAATGAAAGACGGCCACACAGGTAGCCTTACATTAGCAATCAAATCGAATCCGAGACATTTCATGACCACTGTCAGACCAACCAAGTACCAGATCAAACCGATACATGCCGTGGCAATTTGGAAGGTTGATTCTTGAAACTTTAGAACGCCATATAGCGGGTGGTTCAAAACGGCGATGGATGTTCAGCTTTCTATGGCTAGATGTCGTTGGAAACACACGGGTCGGTCAGGAACCGGGGAAGTTCCTACGCTGAATGAGTGGCTGCTTCAAAGGTGGCTACTGTGCTGTTCAAGGAATCTGTCCTGTGACAAATCATGATATGTAAGGTACTTATGGGTAAGATTTGTAAGATAGGACAATTAGCTCGGTGGCTCCGTGGCTCATGCCATTTATACATGCCAAGACCTGTAACATTGACGCCAACGGGTGTTCTTAACTATGCTCTCTCGACTATGCGATTCAGATAAGCGACCACTGACAGACCAAAGTTTGCGAATTTGGCTGCTTGGTTATGGTCAATGTGCTCCCGAGATGAGTGTACTCGAAAGCAACACCTCTAAGACGGCCCAATTACAGACATAGTTGATTACAAGCATCAAGTGGAAAACCAACAAAGAGACTGAGATTGACAACTGTCCTTACCTTGTGCACATAGGCCAGGAAGAGACACTGTTTAATACAATTTGTCCGTTTTGCACATTGAAGTTTGGAGCGGGGAGAGATTCATGCGTAGTTGCCACAGCCGAGTTTAGCGTGAACATGCAACTAGTGCGTGTTCCCCACTATGACGTATTAGATGAGCCAGCTCCTCATCCACTTCTCGATCACTGTAATCAGAAGTCTCCCACGCGTCGCCCTCACCAAGAACCCCTGCTACCATCGCATACACGCCTGCCTCCGTCGCATGCACAAGAATGATCGCATCTGCAGTATTGTTGTGAAGACATAGCATTACTCGCGCCATTAACGCGTTCATGCACGTGCGTTGCGTTCATGCACGTGCGTTGCGTTCATGCACGTGCGTTGCGTTCATGCACGTGCGTTGCGTTCATGCGTGTGCACCACCACCACCGCCACAGCCCGAGTGCCTCGAGCAGATCTCACTGTGTCGCAATACCTGTCATCGGCTGCAAATCCGCACCCACTTCCACCAAGTTCATCCATTGTATATCAGCCCGCTACCATGCCCACAATCCTCTCGTCGAAGAATGGCAATGCCAGCGTGCCCTAGCCGCGCAGAGGCATACACACAACGCACCGTGACGCGCTCTGATGTCGTGGCTTAGAAAGTTGATGACTGAGAGACATTTGGCATGTGCTCTGCCTGACACACGGACATTGCGACGTCTGGCGACGTGATGGCGAAGGAGATCTTTCAACGTCTTCTAGATACAAACAAGGAGAGAGTGAAGACATGGCAGGAGCAGACATAATTAGGACTTATTTTAGATGCGTTCAGCCACTTGCAGCACCTCAGTCCAGCCGGCCGAATATACCCAGCCGCTACTCCGCACTCACGCAACTCCCTCGAATTCGCCTTGTTGGCCTCTTTCTTGCAGCTCTCACACCGCATCCCACGAAGCGTCGTCAGCCTCAGGCCCGCCGCCTCTTCTTCGACGAGAACCCGTTCTTGAGAGCGAACCCCGCAAGCCACAAAGGAAGCTGCGGTCATAGCAAAGTTCTGCACATGTTGCTTGTGTGGTCGAGGCTGGCCATCTATATAATGTGGGCCATACTCATCGCAATTCTGCGCGGGTGGACTTGGTACGGCATGACAAACGTGAGCGTGGCAAGCCGTCGGGTAATGTTCCAGCGAATTGGTCAATTTTTGTAGTCTGTATAAACGCAATCGCCAGACGCCTTCACAAGTACATGCCGGCAGAACCATCCACCACACCAAACACACCCCCCATGGGAGTGACTCCCAAGCAGAACGACGACTTTAAATTCCGGGCACGATATAAAAAGAGTGCAAGCGAAGCCTCATCACGGTTTCCAACGGCGCCTATACTCGGGTTCTACATCGATCTCCCATTCGCTGAACAGACCATCGTAGACCAGGACGACACCAAAACCTATGCGCACTGGCGTGTCACGGCGCTTCTGGCTGTCTTCTATAGCTCTCAAAGCTAGACACTATACCCAATCGCACCCGGCTGTAATGTCGAAACGTCCTTGCTGTTCGATTATTGTCGGATTCATAGCGACACAGAAATCCGCCAAACTGATCTTACCTCCGCGAGCTGCCCATCGACTACAGACCCGACATCATTCCCGGCCAGCAAACCGCACTTGGTCATTGAGCTGGCGCACACATCTGTAGGTCCTCGTGCATATTGGTACAATCATACCGCGACCGAAAGTACTCGCTGTCCGCACTGCTTCTCCACCGTCGTGGTACCACCACTGAAGTCATCTTAAGCTGCTTTCCATCTTCCTTCTGCCGCGCTTGAGATGCTCCTTTACCTTCATGATCATATTAGAGGCTGACTTGCTTCGGCTGCATCTCATACCTGCGATTGCTTGCTACTTGCAGCCTTTCCGTTCAACTCTCAACACACCTTGTCCCCGTCGTCACTCGCAGCTCGCCTTATTCTCGCTCCGTTTCTTCATTATCGACAACAACTGTCAACCTTTACTCAATACCATCCTTAAACATGCACTCGACATATTACCATGCTTCTATGGCTTGTCCTCCGACGCATGTGACACCTGCAATCACTCGCTGCTTCACCTCTCCACCACCATGCACCATCGTCAATGCCACAATGTTGCCCTGCCCCCCACCTCTAGATACAAATCGATTCGCCTTCCGACAGACCCAATACCAGCTACCAAATTCACAGTGGTACCTATATGAAATCGACTTTTGAAGGGTAGAAGACATGTTAACAATTTCTGGAACGCTTCTTAGAAGGACGCACTCGTGTATGGTATTATACACAGATGCTAAGGCGCAACTGCCTCAGGACAATCTTCGAACCACTACAAAGGGTGCGGCCGAGAGCAATTTGGCTATACGATAGATACGGTATTATATAACCAGAGTTTTTAATTGGCTGTCCAGTCGAACAACAACAATTCAGCTTACCTGATTGGCTGAATATTGAGCACCGTATAAACCGTATAGCCAAATTGCTCTCGGCCGCACCCTTTGTATTGAGAAGGCCGTTACGCGTATGAAATCTGCTCACGTAGTGCTGCTCTAAATTTTGACCTTGACTAGCTCGCCAATTAATCCCAGTGGATGACATACCGGCTACCAAGCTGCAATAACATATGACGTAAGATGGACTTGCAAGGGCTTTTCCACGTCCAATACGCAGCTCAACCGCATCTCATAACCAGACGAAAGGCTGGACTGATCATAATCAACGATGTATCAATACCGCACAGGACATCGCGCTCGATGCGCGTAGCCCGACCAGAGAAAGCCAACGGAGTACCTCGGCCCTCCCATAACATGGCGTTAGATTGCATCACCATCCATTGGAATGCTCGGAAAGTGTGCGCTCCCCTGTCTCATCCAGCGGCTATGATTCTCCACTCCCACGGACAAATCGATAGGTCTGCACCAGCAACAGCGAACATGCCGACGCAGTACCACACGCTCCTTTCTCTCTCGATAGGAAAAAGCAAGCCCTGACCTCCCCACACCAAACCCAGCGAGCGCCCTCTCTCGACTGCAACCCCTTGCTTCTCCCTCCCCTGCGCGAGAATCTCGTCGCCTCGGCCCCACCGAGCACCATGACCCCACGCAGCCTGTCTCCAAGCCGAACACGCAGCACCCTCGCAGACACGAAGCAGCTCTACAGATACAACATCAGCCCTCACGCAGTTTGCAGCAATGCTGCAGCTCGCCCGCACATGAGCATCGCCCTCCCCACACGCCCGAGCCATTGTCGACAAACGCCGCGCCACTATGCACGAAGATAAGATAATGGGGCAGAAAATGATGGGGTCGCATGTCCTATCCCCATCATGACGATAGCCCAGCCGTCGTGGGAACCTGCCACTCGAGCGTTACATTAGATACGGACACCATTATGCTGCGAATGCATTAGCGCGAGACAGGCGTAGACGGCGTACTATCGTGCTAAGACGCTGCAGATGGCGTCGATGGGCTATTCGTGGCATCTGGTAGAGATGTGGGGGATCATGCACAACTAGGTTGGCTATGCTATGGGCCATCACCCCGGCGATATCAAGGTTGCGAAGTCGCGAGGAGGTGGAGAAAAGCTGCGCAGCGGGCTTTCTTGTTGCCTCTGTACAAGCCCGCGCATGGCGAGGGTCTGGACGGAGTAGTGCGGCTGAGTTGGGTTTCGTGCACACAAGCATGGGTCGTGACTATTTCCACTAGCGCACGAGTCATGCCACCAGTCACGTCACATTCCGCACCAGCGCATGAGTCGCATTCTGTCTGGCACCTGACAACCGACATGATTGGTTGGTTCTTAGCTCCCCTCAATGCAGCATCACAACTCGTGCAGGCAGAAAGTCACTCACCTCTTGGTCATTTTCAATGTATCTCTGGGCTACAGGAGTGCAAGCGAGTGTACAGCGTGAGAGCCTGAAATTGTGCAAGGGGGTGTGCAGCCTCGCGCTGCTTCCCCGCTGCATCTCTGCGGCTTCCTCCGGCCTCCCCAACCTTCCCCGTCTTCCTGATACGATCCTTATACCCAAAGACCCGTCCCAGAAAGTCCAGTTGATTGCCCTAATCAATGCCGTGTGAATTCAATACAGACATCGCACCATGATCTCGACTTATCGCCCTGCAGCTTGCCAGAGAAAAGCGTCCTTCGTTCGAGTCATCTGTGGTGGAACACACTTTGTCTTGGCCTCGAAACCAGAAGGATGAGTTCGAACTCTATGTTCTAGAATTTCAATAGAAGAGGATAACAGAGCTCGGGCATTCTCCGATAATGAATAGTTCTGTTACACTTCATTCCTGTATTTGATAGACGTTGCATTCACGTATTGCTACCTGGTTTACTGTTGACAGCAAGATCTCTACATACCGGACATGCAGAGATACTGGAGGACATATACCGGGAGTAGCCTTTGTAACTGCTGCTGCTGTGTAACATGTACTCGTCTTCTACTCCTAATTCTGTAACACCTGAAAAATGTGCAGGCAACATATTGTTTATTGGATCCTGCGGACCTAAGAAAGGCGGGTACATTTGCGTCGGAGGACTCTCTAACGGTCACTATTGCAGTCCAGGCAGCTCTTGCCGCTCAATCACAGTCAATTTGGGCACTAAATGTCTGGCTTCGTACGCTGAATGCGGTGAGGTGCAGGTCGTAGGTATGTAGAGCGTGTCGGCCAGCTGGTTGGCCATCACATGCAAAGTCTCCAATGTTGATTTGACTCCGTCTTCTTCTGTGCTTCGTAGCGATTGTGAATCTCGTCTGTGGTCATCAAATAAGATAGAACAAGTGTACACATGTAATTTGGTTAGGCTTTGGCCGCTCTTCAGCAAAAGTTCGTGAATGTGAAGGTCACCTCGAACAAGAAGACTTGGTGATGCTGTCTGAAAGGATTACGTTCCGGAAACACGCTAGATCTTATTTGGGTATTCACGCCTGTACAATGTACGGTGTACAACGTACAGAGGGTGTACAGCGTACAGAGAGTACATTATCAAGGTGGATCTAGGAGGGAGTAGCTAGACGATGCACCTCTTATTCGTAAGATGCAGTGACGTAAGCAGGGTGATCTAACAGCAGAAAATCTGACCTGTGGCTGCATATGCAGGCTTTACCTTGGATATACACCCCCCGTACGTTGTAAGCATAAATAGCTATCTCTCTCTGGTCAGGCAACACTCACTTTGTTACTCCACTTCTATCGTTTTATCCTCAGCGACTAAGCATCTACATTCATTCAAAATGGCGCTCAACAAGGACGTTGTTTCTGGGTCGTCTGAACGTTTACTGCGCCGTATAAAACGGGACGAAGCTCGAGATGCTGCATCCATCATCGCGGCAAGAAATCGACAGGCTGAATTCATCATCGCGGCAAGAGAGCACAACAGCCAAATCGACTGCTCCTCTAACAGTAAAAGCCACTTCCTTGCGGCACCCCAGGAGGTGCGATTCAGGATCTACGACTTTGTACGTCTGCAGCCTGAGCGCTTCCGATACTTGCGCACTACCTGCGGCCGACTTCGCGATGAACTCGACCAATTTGACCTCAGCTATCACAAATTCGTCCTCGCAGCAATCAATAAACAAGGGGGCCTTTTTGGACGGCAATTCGAATTCAACGTCTCCCCTGAAACAGAATATCGAAGGTCCAAGCGGGCTATAACGATCAACCTCTCACTCGATTGCGATTTCTTTTGTCGGGCACCTGGCAAAGTCACATTTCGTCCTCAAGTCGTGGATGCGCGTTTCAGCGAGTCGCCACTTTTGGAAATACTTGCACTCGAAGCCTGCGATGTTGTACTCAATTTACGAGGCCCAAAACTGCTCAACCCCAGCTTTAACATACTTTCACGCATAGTCCAGGTGTTGCCCATATTATGTCGGTGCAGCAACTCCCCTAGGATCGAAATCTCATGGAGTTTGGGCGAAGCAGCGTTGAACCTCAGGAATTGTTACGCTTGTATTACGGATTTTCCTCATTATATGGATTCTCGCTTCTTCGGACCCAGACTATGGAAGCTGGAATATCCATTCGGCACGGGGTTTCCGCAGAGCAAAGATGCGGATGAACCTTCTGCAATCCTGCAAATCAACAAGAACGGGAATGCTGGTCGCTATGTCGCTTGCACGCCACCCCTTCTGGAGAAATTATCTCCCGATCAGAAGAAAGAATTCTCTTCGATTCTTTATTGGCCTCACGACTTAATTGGGAACTGTATCAAGAAACTCGTGAACATTGCTAAGATCAACAACAACACAACACTCTTACAAGATCTTGAACAAGCCAGAGAGTTTTATTCTGATACACTATCGAGGTCGCTACACGAGTTCCGCATGAACTCGCCAACGCCAGGAACTGCTTCAAGAACCCCCTAAGCACACAGCTTTTGCAGACATGAACGTTATTTGCGGCCTTCTGTGCCGTGACTTATCGCTTTGATGTAAATGACACCAAGAAAGGTGGGGCCTTGTTCGGTATGCATGATTCTCGGCCCACATACTTGCATAAGTCTTGGCCTGCTGGGCAATCAACATCATTACATAGTCCTATGCAAACCTCTTTCAGCACGTAGGCAGAAACTAGAGTATACCCATAAGCAATGCATTTCCGCGATCTACATATCCAGCCAGGTGTTCGAGTCTATACCAAAGCCGGCATGCCTGCTGCCAGCCAGACCTCTCTTTCGACCGTCTCTCTATCCGCGATGATGAAGACGTATGTCGACGCTTTGTCCACTATAAACACGGGCTCTATCCTCCTCCTCCACTTCCTGCCCAGCCCTTAGCGAACCACGTTCTCTGGGCGAGGGTGATGCTTTCTAGTACAGCGAGAACCATGTTGGCCGCCTCTTCGCAGCCACCGTTGGCCGAGATTGGCGAATGTTGATGCGGGGTTTATACCGATGGTGATGGCGTAGTCAAGAAAGTGGCAGGCAGCATACAGGCTGTGACGTTGGCATGGCTTGCTGCTTGTATAGTCGGTAGCATGGCAGGGTTTCACTGATCGACAGTGGAGGAGCAAGTCATGAAAACCTATTCGATGGCGCCTGCAGATCCCAGTATGTGTGTATGTATGTCTTGTAGAGTGATAAAGGCTTGCCATATTCTAAAGCGTTGTGAAGGCGAAGGATGCTTATGACAAGGTTCTCTTATCGCTTCTGAGCTCAAAGACGAGATCACTATTTACTCAGGCAATGTCTTGTAATGCGCGGTCGGCGTATCGACGTAGCGTGCTCTGGGCTGGATTCGCCGACGGAGCTTGTTCTAGGGGCTATAGACAATTGCCGGCGCGGCTATAACGCAAAGGCGGTCTTTATGAGCGAATGTGCTTGTAAGGGAGGGATGAGGGTACAGCAAGTGCGCAGCATCTGATTACTCCGTGTGAGTTTAGAAATAGACCTTGCAGTTGGGACCAGATTGGGCCTACATGTTACGCGTCTTGGTTTCGTGGAGCGCCTCGTCGACCGCCTGTGACCCAGTCGAGCAGTCGCGGTCGCTCGCTCGAAAAACGCCCGTTTCGGTAATGCGCGCATGGCAGTGAGGACAGTCGTGAAATATGAAGTGCGTGATGAAGTAGGTGATCAAACAACTAGCTATGACTCGCTTTGGCCAAAACATTAACACGTTTTGGCAACAACCCGAAAACGGATGGCACCTGCGTTGTAGCCACAGCACGAAACAATAAGGAATGAAATGAAAAGATGCTTTTCAGGCCGAGCAAAGTCCGTCGCAGTGCCAGCATCAGAGGACTGGTTCTGACCAAACGACCATCTTCAATCCTGCCAACTGTATTCCACGAGTCTAAAGCGGCCGTCGAGCAAGCACGCAAGGTGCCTATGGTGTTGCGGAGCGCACAGCCGCCGATATAAATTCAAAGCTTGAAAGACTGGTTGACTGGATGGCTGAAGACTTGACCTAAGCAACTTGCATCGACGTTCGCTCTGCTGATGAACTGGCAACTTTGAAAAGGAGATTAACTTTGAACTGGTCAATAACTTCCTAATATGCTGTGAGCCAGGATTGATCATTGAATGCGACCAAACATTGATTTCATCAATCAGTCATGCTTTCCATTATCACCATCTACTTTCTTCGTGTTAAGATGTATTCACAGTCTTGCTAATATATTGCTACTCGGGTCAAAGGCAACGAAACCGCATGAGATGTGCATTCCTGGCGAGATAAGACACGAAGAACCATTTGGAAGCGGTTGAACGATTCAGAAGCCTAGAAACTGAAAGCTTTTTGAGCCATCCAATCCGTTAACAGATCACCCGCCCTTCGTTATGCGGAGGATTTTATAGATGGAATACAAAATGAAACTTTGACCGTTCTCTGACGACCTGCAAGGGCGCCCCATTAGAGTAAATGTTATTGAGGTGAATACATATGCTTTCTGAGGAACGATTTCAATCCAAGACCTTCATCACGCCGATCGCTCACGTAGACCCCCGACACTAAACAGCAAAAGTGAATGGTCAATCCCCGAGAGCTACAGGAGATGCCTCGGTCCAGTTTTACCTCCCCCAAACACTAATAAGAGACGCTGAGCTGTGCCCATCCCCATGTACATCACGGGTGATAGAGGAGCACAACATGTCGATCTTGATCATGATATAATCAAGATATCTAATGAGCCGATAGACCGCTACGAACTGGAGAGAAGGATCCGATACCACTGATCTCGCTGACTCCTGCACCTAATGCTGTCTCCCCAACACATCTATGGATTCTGTCACTCAAAGGGTGAGTTGTTAAACTACAACGCAACATCTAGCACAAGCCATTCCATCTTTCTTCTTTCCAAGATTTGTGATTATGCTCGTTGAAAGCTCGCTCCGCTTTGAATGCCGGAATGAGTATAGGAGTCGTTGGAATGGCTGGATTAGAGGAGGTATCCAATGGGCTCAATAGCGCATTCCTTCTGGCAGAGGGTAGCTTAAAGACGAGCGAGTTGGGTGATTCCCAGTTCGATTTCCTTGAAAGCTCGTGGTTGGTTACGAGAAACCCAGCAATATAGGCCTGGCAGCTACCTCATCCACGAAACGACTTCGCACTGGAGAAACCAAGTGACTGAAAACCAGGCGTCGTTATGGATATGAAAGGCGGAGAACAGACATATATACATCACAAAAACCAAAAGCACGTCACGAAAATGCGCGAGCGAGTGAACAGTACCTGATAGTTATGGATAAGTGTACAAGAGTAGAAAAAGAAAGTCGTTATGTGTTCTTGCAAGGTCCGGAAGAGAAACGTCAGAAACAGTAGCGAAACAAACCCCGAAGACTAACCAATACCAAACCATAGTGAATGCCAATCATGCATCTCTTGTCAAACGAAACAAGATATTGGAGCTATTCTCCTATACAAGAGGATCGATGTCTTCCATATCCAGATCTCTGGCTCTGATCCCATACATCGCTTCAATATCCCAATTTGAATTTCCTCAACAGGTGGTTCCAATGCGAAGGTCGGCGCGATCGAGTCACTCCAAGATCCAAGGTACCTGACTGACCTCCACAAGGTTCGGTACAACTGGAGGATGTGGACCGGTCGAGGGGCAAGATGCGACGATTGAGATATAAAAGAGACTCCGGGGGGACCAGCCGGTGCTGCGTCACAGGTTCGGGTCGACGTCTTACACAAGAGAGAAAATGACTGGATAAAAATGTTAGCTACCGAGGAGAGGAAAAGCCGCGAAGTCTTTGATGGTATTAAATGACCTTTCACGAGTAGAGGAACATACAGATTGCAGGGGCGATCCATGGTCCGATCTGATGTCTTGATCCTCTTCGCCACGCTTCAATTTGCTTGCAATCTTGTCAGGTTCGGGGCTGTGACGTGGCGAGTGGCCGATTGTATGATATATGGAAGTAGAATATCGGGAGGCTATGGTTTGTGGGCACCTTGAGTAGTGAGGTAAGGCTTATTGGTGAACTTGTGGATGGTGGGATTGATATGCGACGATATGGCACATTGAGGTTGCTTCAATGCGAAGTCGAAGTCGAAAGCGAAATTGCGGTTGGACGTGATATTTTGACAGGACTGACGGCAGAGGTCGCCATGTTCTGTAACATTTTGGTTAGAAGGATTTGCATGACAGAGGAAGCTTGCTGACTTACTGGTGTCCTCATCGTTGCCGAAGGCATCGTTATAATCAGAGGCGTTTTATCAGAAGTAATGGCTTGGTGACCCACGACTGTCTTCGTCAGTGTCAGAACGCGTAACGAGATAAGGGTTGATGAAAGGAATTTGAGAACTTACTGCTATCCCTTTCATCATCAGAAGCATGCTTGCCGTGAGCTGAGTTGGAAATAGATACTTTGCTTTTTCCACGGCATCCTGGTCAGTGGTAACGCGTGTGCGTTGTGAGGCCAATATGGATGTTGAATCCAACGAAATGTGTGATAAGATTGAGGTTATTGTGCCAGACGCCGTTGCACAAGCCCTCCAGCATGAATGATATACCGAAAGGATAGAAGCCGTAGTTGTAGTTGAATACCGAAGACAGTATGAAATGTGTAAACATACTCCAGTGAATGCTAGTTCGTATACTTCGTGCCATGGTCTGGAAAGATACCTCAGCGCTCAGATTGCTCGATAGCGCCTCTGACCAAACAGTGTAAAGAAAAACGCACCTCGCACCAGCCATGCTCTGACGAGATTGAAGAGGTGTATTTGCTTGGCTTTACCATCCTAAAAGTGGTCGCCAAGGTCGAGCCCCATAGTCATCCTGATGATCGACTCTATGGAGAGCTCTCCCTCCCTAATGTCTACACCAGGCGCTGGAACTGGGTTGACACTCATGGTGGCGCCTGGACTATCGTGCATACTCATAACGGTATCTTCGTGAACGGCAGGGACTGGAACTGCCTTCTCACCTCGGCTCGAAGAAGGCATCACAGACCGCTCGATTGTCTGGACTATACTCTTAGGGGGGAGCAGAGAGTTGTTGACAGACTCAGAAGATGGTAATGGGGATGCATGTACTTCTGCTTGACTTGCGTCAGAAGATGGCAGTACACGCGTCTGGGCAACGGTCGCCGGTTTCGAAACTCGAGGAAAATCGGGATGAGTTCCAGACATGTCGCGGCGGGTCCTCGACTCAGTCTGATTTGATTCGAAACGTACAGCACGCTCCGGAAGGTCTGCGGCATTGATGGGCGTGTTGAGTTGTAGAGAAGGCAACAGAGAGCTTGACACATCTTGTTGATTCTCGAGACCAGACGGAGGAAGCGAATTTAACCCGATCTCCCTCGCCGATGATGTCAAATCGCGTTGAACAACAGTGGAACTGCTTGCAAAGATGACATCCTCAGTATGCTCGGGTGAGAGGGTTGAGATGTTTTGCGCTATGCTTTGTTCGTTCTTCTCCTCCATCGATGATGTCTGGCCGCGTTGAGCCGTCGGTGGTGTACTCGTAGAACTCATATCTGCTGTTTGTTTGGGTAAAGAAGAGACTCTGGGCGAAGAAGGCGGGACCTGGTGTGGGGTCGACGAGACCTTGTGGGTGGGAGACCTTGAGGAAGAGTCGACAGCCAGAGTATCCTCGTCGTCCTGCTGACGACTAGTATGTGGTTTCGACGGAGCGTCCTGCGAACAGCCGGTTTCTGATATGGAAAGGTGACCTGGTTCACGATTGGTGGAAGGGTACACCTGTTCAAGAACAACGTCTGGGTTGGAAGGGCAATTCTCTTGACGGCCCGTATGCACTTCCGAGTTACCAACCTGTTTGTGCCCAGTTTCCGATACGGACACACAATCTTGCCCTTGGTTGACATTCAGGTTGGAGCCATGATCCGTTCCATGGCCAGCAGCCTGACTGGGTTGGCGATCTTGTCCGTGATTGCGGTTCGAATCGGAAGGGTCGTTTTGGTCGAGATTGGGATCGAAATGGGGGTCAGAATCTTCTCGGGCAGTGACGTTGGACTGGACTGAGCTCCGCCCAGGAACAGGGACTGTTGGCCAGCTCCCCGGCACCTGTGCAGACGGAGACTGGTCACGTCCTCCATCCAGGTTTGCACCGACCCGTCGGTAGGCATCTTCATTACTTCCCCCTGTGAACCGTCCATGTTTAGGCAGTTGTTCAAGTCGTGGTTGAGGCTGTGGTTGAGGCTGTGGGTCAGGCCGTGGTGATGGTGGCGGTGCCATGGAATACTGCGAGACATTCCTCTCCATAACTTGGGCATCCGCCTGCCTGTTCATTGCCTCCACTGCTCTGGCCCTCAAAGAAGTCTCGACCTCCAGCTGCTTCAATAAGTCCTGGTACATCTTGTCTGCCTGCTTCATCTGTTGCTGGTGATTTTCTTGCATCGATGCGCTTTCCAACGTCCCACGGGTGATCTCAACTTGGCAGGTCTGTAGCTGGTCCTGGTGGACCTTCAGCTGTTCCTGATAGTGAGCGAAATTGGTGGTAAGCTGTGAAGTGGCTGAAGCCAGCTGCGATTCGAGGAATTGAACCAGATTTTGCGTGTTGTTTTGATAGCGCTCATGCTCCGTACGCTCACGGATGCGAGCTTCTTCTGTAACTGCCAGGAGATCACTCTTGCTGGTGATGATATACTTTTGGTTGGCAATAGTGCTCTCTTGTTCCGCCACTTTACACCTCACTGTGTAAAGTGCAGCCTTGTACTCATCCGTGTTCTGTGATAAGGCCGCCTTACCTTTCCCCTTGTAGGTGGGAGGCTCTTCTATGCTTTCAGACTCGTAGTCCGTGCGTTGTCGTTTGTTGGGCTTAACACGGCTTGGTCCTGGGGTAGGTGACCTGCTACGAGGAGTTGGGACCAGCATTGATTGGCAGGACGACGGAGTTAATGCAGGTTGTGCAGGCGGGTTGGGCACGTCAGTATGCTCGTAGGAGGTCGCCACATTCGAGCTCGGAGTAGTGGCGGCACGATGTCCCGCGGACCTGCCCGTACCAGAAGCATGATGTGACTTTTCTTTCCTCCGCGCGTGGCTGCGAGGTTCCCGGCGAAGTTTCCGGCGGACAATTTTGTCCATAGGGGTCAGGGTGCGCTGCCCAGACTTTGCCGAATGCAGAGCTTTGTCCAGAAAGGCGGGAGGCTTGTAAAGGTGCCGCCGGGAAGATTCTGCTGGTGCTTCGATGACTGCTTTCGGGCCAAAAACCGGGCTGTTCGATGGATCCCCGGTTTCGATGGAAGAAAGGATCTCATTACTCGTTTCAGTCATGTCATCGTCTGCATCGCTGGTGTTACGCCGTTCCTTGCTGTGATTGTGTCTCACAGGAGACTCAACACGACCTTGCAGGGCCATATCACCAATGGTAGGTTTAGCGCTGTCCATAGAATCACTTCTGAGAGACGTCAGCACCTGTCAAGAAGTACAAGCTATCATCAGCTTACATTGGCTCATCTTCGGCAATATCGGACAGTCTAGAGAGCGGGAGTTGCCGTAGAGATGGATAACTGTTGGCCCTTGCCATTGTTCTCTTTGTCTTGGATGGTGATTGGGGCGGCATGGACGTCGTAGATGAAACGGTTTTCCTGTCCTGATTAGCATGCTGTTGTGGATGTATCAAGAGAGTTATACCTTGCCGAAACATTTTGTGTTGAGCGTCGTCTATAAGGCGTCGGAGCAGAGTTTGAGTCAATTGGTGCTTGAGTGAATAGCTTTGCGGCTGACTCTGAAGGCGAAGGAGTCTGGTTCCTTGACCTTCTTGATGCTCTTGAAGTCATCGGTATGCCTAGCATAGGCTCTTGTCCCGAGAACCGTGGACTGCTGCGTGAACCGTGTTGCCCTAAGAAGCGGCGACTACTACGTAGGCCACGAGTGTTCTGGCCAGAGCCAGAAGATACCGGGGCCATGGTGTGGAACGTCGGATGGTAGAAGGTTGATTGGAAATAGCGGCCGCTGCATGCTAAATGTAAGCGGTCGAGATGTTCGCATACTCAAAGCGTGCTAATACATACTCAGGTCCACGAAAACAGAGAAGGGTGACCAATAGACGCTAGAAAAGAATTGTGAGTAAATGAACGATCCATGAAGCCAGAGTGTGTCAATACTCACTGATGTTTACGGAAATGGAGCGGTCAGAGATACAGAATGAGGAGGACGAAACCGTAAAGACAATCCAAGATGAGAAACCTTGGGATCAGGTCTATTTCGGTGAAGGTGTCACGTTTACATTGAAACGGAGATTCTCTATGTCTCCGTTCTACGTTCTGAGGACTTGCCAAGTTAGGCTTGCGATCCGCAACACGCCATTTGGCAGGCTGCCGACGGGTTTCTACGTCAAGGAATTCCATGACGTTGAGAGGGGTGTTCCTGTTTGCTATCCTGATCAATCTTGTGGTATACGCATGCTGGAGATTGCGGTGAGTATCCATCAGCCGGGAACGTAGATGTCGTAAGTGGAAAAGGTACTATGTCGTGTAGGTTGTGTGGTATTGAGCAGGAAGGTAGCTTACCGGTACTCCACAATGCCCCACTATCCCGATATATCCGCCAAGAGGCTAAAGTTTTAGCGCCTCCTCCAAAATTGCTCTGTATTGTCTTCTCAGGACGACACAACTTGTAACATGGCGTATCATGCGTTCTTCTTCGTACCGACTCAGTACTCAACCTAACTCTTATTCCTGTTTATAGCTACAGGCACTTCCAAAACCCCCATAAATCTTTCTATGTACTATTTCAGAATTTCATGCCCCTCGTTTAGGCATACGTCACTTGAAGCCTTGGACCCAGCCTCATGCCGTGACACAGTATGTTTCCGTCCGCCTAAAACAGACCGCTACGTAAGGCTGCATGCATCTCAACTCCTCGTCTTCTACACTTCACTATTCCTTTATTGGCTTCACAACGCTACTTGAGGCTGTATCCCACAATCCCCACCTCCAGTCCAGCCTACACGCGTATTTAGTGGTGCGTGATGATCTGAAATACTATACCCATGCAGGACCTGCATACCTTGGAACAGCCCTGATATCGCCCGATCTGTTTATCTTTTCTTGTCCCAGACCGACAGGTGAGGCCGCAACCCAGCTTGATCTTGCGCAAACGAAAATCGTTAGCTCTGCATCTTCTTGATTGCCTTACCCCACCGTATTAATCGTGCGCCTACCCGTTCTTCGTGTCGATGTATCGACCCGTTTTTCTCCCGATCGCCTCGCCCTGCACGCTAGGACGAAAGAAGATGTGACAGGCCCATGCATTTACCTCTTCCTCACGCTGCGTTGTTGCGCTTTGCTCTACAGCTGTTTCGTCTCTTCATATTCTGGTGCATGCATTGGCATCGAGCGAGCGAGCGACCGGAATAGATTAGTTTGTAACCTGGATCGATCCTACTGACTAACTACCTGGGTGACTGGGTAGACGGGTGGCTGGCGTGATGTGAAAACCCTTGTGAGCGGGGCGAGGCGGGAACGGGCGCTAGGAGGCTGGAAGTTTGGCGTTACACATCTTCTTCGCTGTCATATTTCCCGTGAAACTAGAATCTTGAGGAAGTTGGGAACATAGCGGTGTGCAGGAGACAGCCAGTTGGCGCGGGCTACACTATAGATTTGCCTCGTACGGATGTATGAACTTCTTTTACTCCATGGGAAGTAACACGGTAGGCAAGACAAGAAGAAGGTGATGCGATGCGTATTCCGCGTGCTGGTACCTGAACTTTTCCTCCTCCCCTTGAGAAGTGCGACTTTGAGCAAGTCGGTTGGGCTCCAGCTTAGCGGTGTGTATGAGACGGAAGGATAGCGGCCTTCCCTTCTGCACGGAAAATGAACCCACCTTGAGACGTATCTCGAGATACGGAGTCAACAGCCATCCCCTCTCAATCTAGATCCCAAAGACCAAACAACTTATACATTTATACGGAGTCCGCTTCTCTACTTCTTTCCATTAATTCAACCAACATCTACGGCCTCTCATCACATCACATCGCCTACCAGATTTCACTCTTCTAGTCCTACACCCAAGATGCACACCACCACCCTCTTCACCCGAGTCAAGCAGCACTCACTCTTGTTCCTGCTCTTCTTCCCGACCCTACTCTCCCTAACACCACTAGCCTACTACACACTGGGCTACCCTCTTCCCAAACTTCTGCACATCCCTACCTACCATCTCACCTCCATCCATCTGCTCATCCTCTGCATCATCACCGCCCTTCTGCTGGCCGAGCACCTACCCAAAATCCCACGCATCGCAATCCTCGTTCTCTACAGCGCATATGTATTTCTGCGCTGGGCAGTCTGCGGTGCATGGACATGGTTCCAGGGCATGCCAGCGCACATCGCACTTGAGGACCGTGGAAGGACCGTGGAACACCGGGTCAAGCACCTCGAGAAGGTAGTCGTCGGGTTGCAAATCGAGCGTAAGTCGTGCAATCTTATGCCATCCCCCTTGATCTTTCATGACTGATAGTGGTGCAGAAACTCGTCTCGACGCCGATCTCCGCATTGCATTGGCGCGGCGGTTCCTCCCGCACAACCAAGGGCGGCAGGTGGACCGGACGACAGCCGAGGAAAAGCGGCTTTCGAAGGAGCTGGCGAGCACGAAGCAGGCGCTGTGTGATGCAGAGGATGAGCTGGCCAGTCTGCGTGCGTTAGAGCGCGGCATACGGAGTGCAGTGACGAGCCACTTTGTCCGGAGCACAGTTAGAAATGCGGAGCCGTTGATAGGCAGGCTGGAAGGAAGTGAGAAGCAAGGACAGCGGGACTTGGTGGCAGCGGAGGGGTTTGCGGAGAGGGTTGGACGGGCAAGGGGGGTGGTGAGGGAAGTTGGGGGTAGGTTGAGGGAGGAGGGTGACTGGAAGGACTTGTTGAGAGAGAGGTGGGCGGAGGGTGAGAGAATGGCGAGTTCGAGGACGAGGAGTGAGAGGGGTGAGAGAACTGTGGGTGAGAGAACTGTGGGTGAGAGAACTGTGGGTGAGAGAACTGTGGGTGAGAGAACTGTGGGTGAGAGAACTGTGGGTGCGAGGAGTGGCGGTGAAAGGGCTCAGAGAGCGGCGCGTTAGATGGTTTGGACGTGCAGTCTGTGGGAGTGTTGAAGTAGCTGCATGCGCAGTTTGTAGGATCGTTTGGATGGCATGTATCAGATCTGGGAGGTTGTTGAGATGGGCATGTTGCTGGCGTCAGGGTTGCAGAAAGGTATCCCGTCATGGAGTTGGAGGAGTGCTTGATTGCTAGGCTTGAATCAGATTGGGAGCTCATGTTCAGCTTTGTAGAATTTCATACGAACCTTCGCGAAAGCCACTGCTTCCTCAACCTGGTCCCGGATCTGAAGGCGGAGTGATGCGTATTCTTCGCGAGTGAGGTTGTCGCGTTCTCGGTGCAGATCAAGGCCGCAGCATGGGATGAAACCGTACACGTACTCGAACGGGGCTACTCTGGTGGAGGCGTTGGAGCTGCAGTTAAGCATGAATTGGATGTGTGGTTACGCGTCGGTCCAGACTGCACCCGGGTGCTCGGTGACAAGGAAACGTTATACCTGCAGGAGGATGGACTTACTCGAATGAGCGTCTGCTGTCTTGAATGTTAACATCTGGTTTAGTGATCATGCGACGATGGTAATGCGACAAGAGTTTGGTGATGCGACAGCGATGATGCGACAGCGATGATGCGACAGTGGCACGGTGACTGCGCCACACCCTGCATAAGAGTATCATTGGCCGCTATTTAAGACCGAGAAAAGCGTGGATAGATGCTCTAACGTGCCGATGATGCACAAGCATGGTTCTCCACTGGCCGTCGATTCGTGCTGGAGCGGCGTGGCGAGATAGACCCATGCAGTGGGCAGGCGGCGCACGAAACAATCCGCAGCGGCGGGGGAGCTGTCAACGAGGCCACTTTGAATGGTGTATGGGAGGAGAATGAAGTGGGCGGGGAGCCTGTGTTGAGTAGACAGATGGTGAAGTGTTGCGAAGGTCCTCTCTCCTCAGACATTTACAATCTCATCTCCCTCATCCCATGTCTTGTTACAAGTGTTCTCTCACATACTACATCTTTTTCAACATACGGTATGAACGACTAAAATTGCACAGCTGCGACGAGACACGCGTAAGGGGCAATTATCCAGTCGTGGACTGATGAGTTCGTGAAGGAATGAAGTTGCCAAGTCCTTAACACTAAGCAGGAAGCGAGGGCGCTTACTGACTCAACACCCACGTTAGGCTCTACCCCTATAGACGACGCTAGGAGCGATAGTGGGTGCAACGGCAACAATGGGGAGGCCGGCGCTGAGTTGTAGACTCGGACACGGCGGTTGAAAAGGCTTCTACTACCATGGCTATCGAGCACTCCGGCTTCTTTTTAAGCACGTGCTTTTCTAGTGCTGAGACGGCGATGGCGAAGGCGAAGGCGACAGCGACATGTATGTAGATAGCCACCTTGAAAAACGCAGCGCTCCGCTCACAGGCGCCCAAGAGACGCAGCTCGCTTTCGACTTGCTCAGGAGCACATGCTTTGAATTCGACATCGACTTCGACTTTGTAGACCGCGGCGACACGGATGATGGGGACCGAGTGCAATGTCTGCTCCGAGGCATCCTGAAGCTCGACTCGACATCCCTCTGCGCCCGCCTCGCCAGGCTCTATTCGACTTGGTTCGGTTGAAACTCGGACATCATCCAAGGCAATCACCGGTACGACCACCACGTCCATCAGCTCCGCACCAACCTTTCGCCCGGCGGCATCAATGCTCTGATCCACTGCTTCAATATGGGCGCTGTCGATGCGAGCGACTCGTCATGCACGGCCTTGATATCGGCGACGTCAACATGGGCGACTTGTACATCCTCACCAAGCGCTCAGAACCTCACGCCACCATGAGGGGCTGGGCCCGGATTGCGATGCGCACCTTCTGCGCCTCTTCAGCAAGCTGCTTAAAGACAAGGTGAGCCTGCGATATGGCGGGAGTGCTGCTTGTAGGGGACCTGGGGAGTGTGGTGAGTACACTGGTCGAGGTAGCTGTCCCTGAGCCGGCGGAGAGGGGTGCATTCTTGACCGGAGACGGAGATGGTGGTGCAATGGGGGTTTGGTGTTGAAAAAGATATATCCAATCCATGCGCTGCAGGAGTGATCAATCACTTTTGCATGTTCAACATCTGGAAGAATCTCGATTGCACGGGAAGACCTCGACGTACGCGCTTTACTAAGCTCAGCGTCGACTACAGTACATCCAGGAACTCCACCATAGTATCCGCTGCTTCGAATGCCATTGACGTGGCGTGGGTGCTCAGTCGCTCAAGTTGTGGATATATAGCATGTACCATGGCGATGATAATGTGGTTATGTCGATGTATCGCGTTCTGCCTGGAGTCTGTGGCCTATTCCCACTTTATCACCAACCATGACGCTCGCGAGGCTCTGTGTTTGAACGCTGATCTTCATCGGAAGGTCGCTTTGGCGGTGGTTGGGCTAGAGGGAGGACTTCGATCCAATCCGGGTTAGTAGGTTTACCAATCTGCGGGAGAATTGGGATACATACACTCAGGTTCGCGCTGCCTGGTCGTTGATGCACGTGCGCTGACTTGACTCAACGGAGTTCAGTCTCTTGAAAAACTTCTATTCTGTGCCTTCAGTCTCCAGATGTCTGCAGATGCGCGGACAAAGATGGTGCGAGTGCGGGGGCTGGTTCGACGGAGATCGGTAACGTGCCGGAACATCATGTGGGGAAACTGTGGCGGAAGCTGTGGGGAAACTGCGGGGCAACTGCGCTACGAGACTCATGCTTGCCTGACACTGCAACACCAGTGTCACGACTCCTATGTCGCTATTTACGCATGTTACTAGGCACAAATCAATCTTCAAGTCCATGTCATTGTAGTTCGGCAGTCACTTTTCCAATCGCAGAGAAGTTGTTCTATCCCTGTCGCCTTGAACCGGCAACGGCCCAATAAGACGCTCAGCAGCCTCACTATCACGAGTTAAAATCGCTAAGAGGTCTGGCCCATGGACGGGCTCGTTCAACCAGCGGATTTCAGCCAATAAAATCGTGTAGCATAGATCTGGAGAACATCAAAGTTGAAACTCAACACCAAAAACTCCAAGGGCGGGGCACAACACCAACTTGCCGACGCGATCTGACTGGCCAATCATCGTGCCGAGATCTGCGGGTTCAACGAGCCCGTCCAGGGAATACATGAACTTCCGCTGTTATCGTAGCCTCATTGTACTTCTGGTTCCAGAATTGAGTTGTAGAAGGCGCGACGCTGTGTAATTGTTATAAACTATAAATAGTTGCGACGTAGCATTTCAACTATTTACTCCTTTTCGGAGTCACTACGGGGCTTATTATTCTCTACTGTTGCCTCCTTGTCCTTGATCTCATCCTGCCTACATACTCCAGAGTACACATATCGCGGAAGCTCATACCACGTCTGTAGAGAGTAAGATAGGACTTGAGCTAATAGTATAGAAATATATATATAAGTTAGATTTCCAGCTAACAAGGAAGAAACTTCCTTGTTAGAAACAGAAAGCGGAAATATAGATCTTTAGCTAACAAGGAAGTTTCTTCCTTGTTAGAAGCAGGAAGAGTAGATATAGATTTTCAGCTAACAAGGAAGTAACTTCCTTGTTAGAAGTTGGAAGTCAAGGTATATATAATCAGATTTTGAGCTAACAAGGAAGTAACTTCCTTGTTAGAATTAGTACCTTCATATAATCTTCGACACCTATATCCCAGCTATTTATTACTTCCTTTCCTCCAGTTTTACTAGTTGGATCTACATTTGGATCTTCCCTCAAATTGTGTTTCTAATGTGCCATGTTTTGGTTTTGGTTGCTCCAGAAGAGCCTTTCGGTTACACATACACAGCTGCCAAGCGAGAAGCTTTTCGTGAGAATCGTGCTCGACATGGAAATCAACGCCGCTTGACCTGAAAGAGTAAGCGCTGTAATGCAGTCGCTACCAGGCTTAGTATTTACCCTTCGAAAAGGCTTGCGACAACATGCTAGTAACGTACAAGTCACGCACTTTACTCCCGACTGCAATACCACTATTAAAAATACATACGTCATCGATCCTGCCCCAGATCGCATGGCCTGCTGGACCAGGGTACTCAAGCTACTTGGATGGATTGTTGACAACGACGAGTTCACAGGGATCAAATCGCCATCAAAGAGTTTGAGATTGATACGGCACATGTACCATTACGCGACCTTGGTCGACAGCGTCAAGAAGATGTAATCCAGATGTACTGTGAAGCCGTTGCATGGGTTGCCCGAACTCGAGCGCTGACTAACGTGGAGGGCTTGGCTGTTTCGAGAAACTCGCCAAGTGAAGAGCGAGTCCCCAGCCATCTCCACTGAACCTGTTCACGAGCCACGACGCGCAACATGATTGCATCTAAACTTCTACGCCATCATCCGGCATGCTCATGAGCATCTTGCACAAGACGCTATAGGCAGAGTTCAAGGTATGCATTTCCCATCCCCAAGACGCGTCATCCCATTTCCAACGAGTGCTAGCACACGCACCTTTGCTGTAGTAAGAGGCGAGATGTACTGACCTTGCTCCAACTTCAGCTGACACGTCCCTCGCCCGACTGTTCCCGGCCTTCCTCGCGCATCACATCATGCCCCGTATCATCGTCGTCGGCCCGATCTAGACGCGCCAAACCTTCTGCACCGCGACTGGCAGACACGCGCTCGCTGTGCACTGATGACGTGTTTGGACACTCGTCAGGGAACGGCCAAGCACGCGCCAGAGACATGATTGTTTGACGGGGATACGGCGCCAGGGTAAGTCTGGCATTGAGTTGGAGTCCTCATGGCTGTCGGCTAACCACCATCGTCTTAGTGCGCTTTGATGATCAATCATAGTCGTCAAGTCCAGCTCCCCATCAGACGAGGCAGCCGTGTCAGCCGACCCAAGTTTACTCTCGCGTGTCCCTGGGGCTACAAACATGCATGGCTCCGTCAAGACAGACATGGCCGGTGACGCCGGGCTTCGAATGGCGGCACGGTCAGATGACATGGGATATGAAAAGCGATGGAGCTGCCTGACCGCCGGGCCGCGCTTTCCGAGCGTGGATCTGCGTGTCTCAGACCACGCGCTCGATGCAATGGAGCAACATGCACCGTCGCTCTCAACAGGCGCGCGTGTCAACCTCAGTGAGTAGGCCTTGCTTCTCAGTCCCGTGCCTTCTCCACCAAGACATGACTTCTAACGTGTTGAGTCAGTGGGTTCGTTCTTGGTCCATCATCGATCGACCGCCTCCGAGCCTTCCCCCGATGCCATGTTCCGACTTCGCCATACCTACGCCCCCACATCCAATCGTAACGCAAAAGTCCGCCGAGGACGTCGTCGTCAAGCGGCCACCAATAATCACCTCTTCTCACTGCATGAAACGCATGTCGCATCTGCGCGAGAGGGAGTCGTGTCCCCTCAGCAAGGCTTCTGTGACTCTCGGGAAAGCAGATACCATCCTTGCCAACCATTGTCACAGCGTCTATCCCATCTCAACATCTCTTCATCCCTGCTTACCACCCTGCTTGGAGAGACGTCGTTTAGCTCAGCCTTCACACCGCTTCTGCAACAAAGGCCTCTGATACCGTGCAGCCGCTCGGTCATGTCGGAACACGTTATGCTGATGAGGAAAAACCTCTGCGTCGTTTTCCACACGTCTAGTTTCTCAACGCAGCACTGGCTTGCAATGGCGGTGGTGTTCGTCATTGGTCGAGGGAGCGGCTCCGAAGGGCGTTTGTGCGAGTACAGGTTGGGGTATGGGGTCGCACTGGTTCAGGTCAGTGGACGAGTTCAGGTCTGTGAATGAGTCTCGAGTGGCGCGCGGGTTCAGGTTTGTGGTTGAGTTAGGTCGTATGGAATGGTGAACCAGGCCAATTTCGAGGTTGGTTCCATAGTTGTAGTTGTAGTCTGAGTAGAGTTGGGGGTGCTGTGTTCCCTTCGCGACGTGAGATCCCCATATCCTTTTCGATACGTGAGATTCCGCAGATGCCTACTTGTGGTTCCTATAGCGACAATCTCAACCAGCACGTTTCACCCTTTGCCCGCCCATATGTGCTGACACAACGACCCCCTGCTCTTGGCGATGACTTCCTATCCTGACTCGTGCAACATGAACTCTTTGAAGGTTCCATGGCAGCTCAAATCTCCTCTACCCGAACTGCCTTCATCCCATGCTCAAGGATCAGTGTTCACTCAGTGCGCCCGCCGCCTTACGAAAGGCTACTGCTCTTCTTCGTCACTACGCCAAACTGCCCATACAGCTCTGTGTACTACTGTCGTGATCTCCACGGAGCCGCTGCACGATTAGGTTTGATGAGTGCGGGTACAAACAGGATTGATGATGGCTTGTTATCTCGTGGGCAGATGTGTTGAGCCGAAGTCTTTGGCGTGGCTGGGTTATGGAGAAATGATTCAGCCCATCTTGTGTTGGCCGAAGTGATGATACTGTAACATTCATTGTATATGTAGATGCCTTGAGAGCGGACTTTTTCAACGCTACGCTGGACATGTTGAGCAGTAGAGTAGTCAAATTCGGTGTGTGACTATACTATCATACATCAAGGAAACATATGGAAGCTTTGCATTGCTAGAGAGACCTTTCCGAGGCACGTCAGACTCGGACCAGCATTACGGACGATATGCTCCCAAAGGGCATGAAATCGTCTTTGGAAGATAGGTCGACGCATGGCCCGATGGAGCAGTAGTTCCTGGAAAATACAGAGCGGCAGATATCAAATCATCAACATCAACGTTGAAGAGGCAGAGAGATAACTTTTCCACTTCATATCACCACCTCGTCCCATGCCAGTATCCGTGCTTGATATCTTAGGCAGCCTTTCCCTGGGTTTGTTCTCCGCGTTTGACTCGAGGTTTATCGATGCCGAAGAGAACTCAATGATGCTGGACTCACGGAGCAAAACACCTACTGAAGATAACCAATGAAGGCGATGCAACCTAGGAGAAATGGCTCTAGACCCTCTGGAATATTACTGGCGGAGATTGCATCGTGACCGTCGTCCTGCACCATGTGTGTGCCGTAGTAACCGAGAAGGTGGAAAACCTCGTTGATATTCAGTCATAGACGAGTTGCGGTAGGGCCAAAGGTAGTAGATACATGAGGCGAGATGGAGCTATGAGTAGTAGAATGATTTATATGAATTCGAGTACACAGCCGCTTAGAAATACGAATTTGATAACACAATTAGAAAAACAGGAAGTTGTGGGAGTTCCAAAGCATAGCGTTTCACAGAAGCATGACTAGAGAGCGAACATAATTCCAAGCGTGGAGCTTTACTACTTGACAAGGACACACGAATAGGATGCCGGATAGAGTTCTACAGTGTAGTAGACTGTGTATCTGAAATTTCAGTCGGCTACCTAGGCCTCAGTATATTGCCGGCCCGGCCTTGGCTCGTAATGGTGCATGTTCTTCCTGGAAAGCCACTCGCTTCCTTAGGGCCGGATCGACCGCTCCGATCTAATGGAGTCCCGTCATAATACAGCTAAGGTTTCGATAACTTTACTACACAATGACTCTCAATTCAAGTAATTTATGCTGCTTAAATGTTTTTGATATCTCCCATTGTGCTCGAGACTTGTGAGAACTTTTTTCTCTATGAAGGCGGCAGGTATAAAACAGGTCTTTGATTGACTTGCAGCGTGAATGACCAGCGAGTGCGAAAAATTCTCTGCACTGCTGAATCTAGGTTCATTCCACGGGAGGAAGACTTTCGTTGTAGTCAATTTTCTCAGAACAATCAGCTTCTAGCGAGCCGTTCTGGTCACAATCGTGTGTATATGTCGTTAGTGAGAACTCAACGAAACTACAGTCGCTAATGACCCAGTAGTTTCGCGCGAAATCCGAAAAGACTAAGCCTGTACTACTACTCCTGAGTAAATTTAGATGGTTCGCAGATGCAGGTAGGAAAGCTTAGTTCATACCATTGTTCTATCTATTACCATATTGATCTCAGAGTATAAGCGCTGCCAGTGACCCTTCAGGTGATATATACAGGGTCAAGGAGTCGTAGGAGACCGGGATATGATGACTGTATAAAAAGGCTAAAAGTTTATGGTATCAACGTTAAACCAGCTCTCGGGTTGTTTACAGATATTGCACGGGTTCATGCAATGGCATGTAAATCATTGTCATACTCATGTATATTTCTTCGTGCAGCACAATCTTTCAAAAGAGAAGTTGCGACTTGCACCGGCTTCGACAGGTCGACAGTCATGCTCATAGACCTTGAACCGCATGACCTGCTTCATTACCCAAAGACACGAGGTGGAAAGTAAGTGGAAGTTCGGGTACCAAATATCTCCACTCCATAGCAGTAATGCAGTTTCTTGATTCAATCGTCTATATGAGAAGACGGAGCAATCGGGTTTACAAAGCTCATCTGCGAGTTGCTAAATTTACTCAACCACATGCGAACGGCGCTGCATATCTGGCCTAGCTCGAGAACCCAACCATTTTATAAAACGTAGGGGGGGCTACGTATATATGCATGTCCCTTCGATCCCAGTGATAGCCCGTGGTTGGGTGCGACCGGATATCAACGACGCCCTTCACTTCCTCTGGCATGTGTTCCTGACGGTGTGCCACCATCGGCGACGCTCGTTGCGGGCAACGGGAAACTGGCCGGGGAAGTGCGAATGCCGCGCTGGGTTCTGTCGGTCGAACGAGGTGAATGATCCGAGCGGATTAACACTTCGAGTGTCGAGCTCCAGTGACACAAATGACTTGCTGAAATGTTGGTGGTAAGGGAGCAAAGGTGCCGACCGGACAATGAATCTGACTTGCTATGGAAGACACAGTATCCTAGTCACGGAACCACGATTGTACAGGACGTAATAAACAAGTATGAGTACCTACCTAGCAAAATAGAGGCATGCATGCACCAGTTACTTGGGCCATGCACAACGCGAATGATACGTATAATGCCGAATTTCATCGCAAAAGTGACACACATTTCCTAGGCATAACGGAAGTGTGGAGTGGATGAAGGAAGCTTCGTGTTGTGATTGGGAATAGTTGTGTTGTATGTGCGAACTGTATCATTGCTCCCCCGTTAACACTGACGTTGTTAACGCTTCCAGGTTGAAGTATAATATTGAGCTTTGTGGTAGAGGCGTTGAGTAAGATATTCATTTTGGTAGTGCGGGTGGGTGACATTCGTGCATTTTTGAAACTCCGCTCTTCTCCAACGAGGCGAACTTGTTGGCGGCAGTACGTATGACAAGTAAGAAAACTTGTCGTGAGTAATCATAGTTTGCTCCTCTTGATACTGGTAGAAGCTGACCGAGTTGAAGATTGCTCTCGTGGCCGTTATGAACTAGCAGTCACCGGCGACCAACCGTGTCCATGCCTGTCAAGGTGCTTCGACTACGCAAGCCAATCTTGTGGTTTTCCAGACGTTGTCCAAGACTTTCTTAAACCTGATCTCGAGGTAGCAACCCTTATATGTGTCATTTAGAGAGCGAATGCTTGCCAAGAAGCTGGACAAAAGCCAGAGTTGCCCGCCCTATTAATTTGATTGTTTGGATAGCAATGATGCACTCCAATCACCCGTTTCCAACCTCCCTCGCCATCCTCGACGGCCGGTGCCTATGGAAAGTTCTGGTTGATACAACACCTTCCATAATGCTAGGCTCGTTGAAGTTAAAGACACCTCCGTCTGCAACATTACACACGGCTTGGGTACCTTACGCAAGCTAGAACAGGCCTTGATTCAGCCTGAGATTCGAAGTTCTTGGGTCGGCGTCTGATTATTTAAACTTGATCTCGAGCCTTGTCCGGTGCTCAAAAGGTTTGCCTACCCTCATCATTTCAGCAAGGTGTTGGTGGCGCTTGATGGATACATGGGTATCATCGCTGTGAGGTTCTTGTCAAACGCGTCGATTACCAAACGTGTCTCGAGAAATGCGTTATATGGAAGACCCCGAAAAAAGGTTCGAAATCGCTGTATCTGTAAGGCAGTTGTGCAGTGTCCTTGGTGGCATCGTAATTGGAGTAATGTGCAACGAGTTCTGGGCGGCACGAGGGTGATTCATTGAGGCACGTCAGGTGTGAGGCAGTGATGTGAGGTATGTCTGACGTTGCTAATGCTGTTGCTGGATAGTGAGTATGGGAGGCGTTGGCGTGTCGTGCCGATATGTCCGCTTAGATTCGCAGGCCAGACTATAGGGCGCATATATATTCCTAGGATGGAGATCCCGGGAAGGACGTTTTTGAGGGCAGTTCCGCATAGATAGAGTTGGCCAGAACTGCTATGCGAGGAATGACTTAGGTCTCGCGCACTCACAGTTGTAGCGGTACCAGAACGAGAACCATGACGCGACGCGAGGTTGAGTCACGAGCTCCGATGGTGACGCCACGCAACAAACACCCGAACTTTCGCCGACGTTGCGCTCTTCGCACAGGAATCGTCTCATACCTTACTGTCGACTATTCCGTACGCGACGCTTTCTCAGGAAGGCCCGTCAAGCAACACATAAGAATCGTGAAGAGGAAGGAGCCTAAGATTGGCGCGGTTGATGGGTGACAGACATTGATTACTTTGCTCACACTCGACGATGAGAGTAAAGCTGCGATGGATAACAACTAGAGGCTTGCACGATGCCTGCTGTCACCCACTGTGCAACTCTCAGTTGTTCCAGTTCGGCTTCTTGGTAAAGACATAGTTCGGATTTTTTCGATCTCACTCGGCCTCTTCGATTCGCATGAGCTGGAAGTTTACGAATTCTTACGCATGGACAAGACTTCTAGACTCTTTCAGGCAAAATGAAAGGGATGGAATATGTGTTTAGCTCTTCACCTCGACGCACATGTGTGTTTATCTACGACGAGCGTGTCAGAACGCGAATGAGCAAGACATCCTAGAGGTCTATGATTGATACCCTACTGTTTCTCGAAGCTGAGTTGCGTACATGTTTCTATCCAATGAACCGATCCCTCCGTTTCGTCCACAATAGCCGCCAACTCCTCTTGGATTTGCTTTGCTTATGTTTAGAGAATGCAAT